AAAAAAAAAAAAAAAAGTGTACAGTCAAGCACTTACGTAAGAGTATCCACCTGATGATGACCATAAAATTCCGAAACGTGTTATATAAGTGACATTTATAAAGAAAAGTGAAAACAAAGTACATCAACAGTCTAAAAGCATGACCTTCAAGATTGCCCCTTCAAACTAAATCATAAAACAAAGGCACCATTTTAATCCTCAGTCAATGAGTGCATTTGTCCTTTTGTGTGAATATTGTGAACCAAATTTGAGCTTCCATTTTCACAGGTGAACGGACGATTGACCCTTGGAGAGAATATCGCGGACAATGGCGGTCTTCGTGAGTCTCTGAGGGCGTACCGCAGGTTTCGAGAGCGAAACGGGCCTGAACCCACGCTGCCAGGACTCGAAGCTTTCTCTGACGAGCAACTCTTCTTTCTATCCTTTGCTAATGTAAGTGAAAGTAGTTTCTCTTTGTATTGCGAAACAGATTTCAATCATCCGGTTTACAGTTGTCCATCCATTCGGTAATGACCTCTTCACATCACCACAACATTCCTAACAGTTCCTGGTTATGTCAACTTTGATACTCTTTACATGGCGGTGGAACTTCGACGTCAGAATAAAATACGTAAAGAATTAACAAACCATTGCGATCTACATATAAAATATCTGGACCTGTAAGTAAAATGCCTGTAATTTGCTTAACAGTGAAATTTGTCATCTTCAGTACATTCACAAAAATAGTGGTAGCCGGCCAAATTAGTTAGCAAATACTTTGCAAATAAAACAAAAACAAACTCCATGGCACGCAGTCCGCAAGCGAGCTATGCCGACCGGGCGACCGCCGCTTGTCGGCAAAATTAGTGTCACTTTTGCTTATAGACTGTGTCACGTGGTCAGCGCAACGGATCCCCTCTGCCGTTAATCTCGGTTTTCTAGACCGGAGCCGCTACTTTTCTATTCAAATAGCTCCTCAATTATCCTCATGAGTCTGAGTGAAGCCCGTTCCCGACACACTACTTCCCAGAAAATCTAGTAGCGCCGGGAATCTAACCAGGTACCTCTGGAGATGTAGCCAGGAACTCTAATATTTGAAAATAATTAATCATAAATACTATAAGCTATTCGATTTCCATTAAAAGCAAAGACGCCGTGAGCAATTATAAGAGACGCACCAGCCGAGGTACAATATTTCTGTATAAGTTATGGGTCTACATTTTCATATAATGATAAATTTCCCCTTTACATATTAATTCTCACTTCTTGAATTCATCGCAACTTCATAATTACGAGAATAAACTGGATTCAATTTGTTCGTGCGGATGAAATGTGTTTCGATCCTCATAGGTCATATTCTGACAATATGTAAGAATGTGCCTTCAAGTTCATCGGTGTGTGCTTGAAAGTTGCAAAATTGAAAGTAATATAAACCGATATTCTCAAGTAAACACTGTAAGACTGTAAGAGTATTTCCATGCTTCAAGGGCAGCCTGTAACATGTGGGTAAAGGCCACGGCGAGGAGAGACGCTACATCCATTTAGCTGGGATTCACACGATCCCAATGCAGTAAATGCGTAAAACAAAGGTGCCTTTGTTCAAGACGTGCAGTATGATTTAAATACCAAGGGGATGTGGCTTTACGCCTTCTAAAAATTGCCTTAGATCCTGTAAATCTCATGTACGTTTCGCATGGGAGAAAAGAGAAACGCATACATTCTTTACGCACATCCTGTTGGGTTGAGACCACTAAACGACCTGGAAAGGATAATAATATAATGGATCTTAAAGAAATAATGTATGAGTGTAGAAATTTCATTCAACTGGCTCATGACAGCGTCCAGTTTCAGTTGTTTTGAAAATGGTAATTACAATTCGCGATCCACAAAGAATGAGGAATTTCTTAACCAGCTCAGCTACTCGAGAAAAACTGTGCTTCAAGGAGTTAGGCCCATATGTTACTTATTTGTGTTTCCACCTCCAGAATAATTCATCCAAAGAGGATCTCCAGTGAGGCTGTTTAATTAAGTGAATATTTAAGTAAACAGAAAATGTTCAAGATCTTGAACATACAGAAGAAAGAATTAGTTTCTGAAGAATGATAGTGGGCAGTTTTTAGACAATAATAAAAGGGGGGGGGGGGGGATGAAACGAAAAGAAGTTAAAGTGCTGTTGTTGCATGTCTAAGCTAAATATTGTGGAGCGAATGTAATTTTGTCCACTGCCGGTAACTCTTCCTCTAGACAAAGGCGATAATTTCAGTTACATAAGATCTAAAATTTTGTGACTATCGTACATTAGTACAAATACAATGTTTTCATATATTATCCATCGTCTTGTCTTTATCTAAAAACCATTTTGCTCAATCGATTGGGGCCAACTGAGTAGGTTTTACCTGAAGACGGAGGCAGAATCCAGTCTCCGAAACGTTGTGTTTTGAAAAATAAACAGCGCGGTTTTTAGGCTAAAACAAGACAATGGATAATGTCCAAAAATATAATATGTGTACTAATTTCAATTACAGTTGTTAACAACAAGTGTTTTAATAAAAAATGCAAACAACATACGTTTTTTACAATAACTACAATTTGAATATTACTTCGGCCTGGTATATTCTTGAGGAACACCACTCCAATCAGTACAAACCTAATGCTGATCTTCAGGACCTTCGTCACAAAAATGAACGTCAAACCATGACCTTAAACGTGCAGATAGAAACTGGCAAGAACGGAGTTGTTATGAGGAACTGTCTATCCTCCTTTGTTCCTTTGTTTTCAGGTTTGGTGCGAGAACTGGTCGAAAGAGTCCCTTCAGTGGGGCATGGATGATGAACACTCCCCAAACCGAATTAGGGTTCTGGGGGTCCTGTCAAATTCTCCGGAGTTTTCTAAAGTCTGGAAATGTCCGAAAGGTTCGGTAATGAATCCCGAACGTGACAAATGTAGAATATGGTAATGAAATTTTGGGCGGAACACAATTATTGGTATCCACTCCTTGGTACATTGGTTCAACAGGGTCCGTGCCATAGTTCATGCCATTAGTGGCCCGGCTTCTTACCCCGGAGGCTTCGATTCAATTACAGGCTGTGTGGGATTTGTGGTAGGCAAAGTGACACTAAGGAAGTTTTCTCTTCCACTATTTCGGGGTTTGCTGCCAATTATCACTCAGATACTATTCCATTTTGTCATCTATCATCCGGTTATGGTACATACAATGGGCCCACTTACAGCTTAAGTACGAAGGGACTCAGCATCACTTCCGTTACAATTTTGGTTCAGTTAGGAGGTCAAGAGACTAACTGAATCCTGAACGAGTTCGGCCATTAATCTACATTTGCATTTGAAGTACTACGAGTATATTTGTTCATAGTATAGGCTTACAAATGCAAAGATTTTACTTTTTGTTTCGTTCTAATTTAAAAATGTATACGACTCTGGTCTGTCACATTACGTGATAACCGCTTTGTTTTCATTTATCTTTAAAATATTTATGCCTGGTCTCGATTCTAAAGACTGAACTTATCCGATTTTAATATATATTATGACTAAGAATATCTTACTTTAAAATTTCCTCCATTATAAAAATCAGTATTTATTTCGAAGTGTTTATTCTTACTAAATTTTTAGACGTTATTTATGAATCCGTGAAACAATTATAGGCCTATTGGTACTATTAATATCATTGTACTTAAAAAGTATGTTAAATCATGATCAAGACCAAACTACTCCACATGTACAAACAAGTTGTTATATCAGGAATATGATATTTTAAATATATAAAATTTTGGAAGATATTACAAACGTATCCCATGTGTAATATCCACGCTTTAGAACTAGTCGTAATACTTGTATGGATACAATTAAATTACTTCCAGACTCATATGCACGGACGAGCTATACTTGCTGTGTCATTGTATAACACGAGTGTTGGCAGCCTCAAGCATATTCACTCGTACACAGTTGCACTAAACTATGACCTACTGTTGTCCCGAAGTTTGAAATTTGGGATCCCTGATCTCAGTTTCCTTGACATTGATATATTGACGATTGTCCTACATTTCAATGGAGTCATTAAAATCAAAACTGTTTTATGATTTTAAACAGAACTTACTGTGGAATTATAAAAAGTAATGTCAAATGACAATATCACCAAGAATCAAAATCCCCTGATGTTTTTACCCCCATTTTACATTGTACGTGATGGTTCTCACAGTTATTTTAATGTACATGCATGTATATGTATTTTGAACATATAATGTGTTCTGATATAAGGTTGTGGTTTAAACATTAGTTAGAATAAGAGTATACAAATATTTTCACAAACAAATATATAAGGGGCCACATATGTATGAGAGAGTGTCAATGTATTGTTTAATTTGTTAATAAACATAAAATGTAAATATATAAAAATTGTTGCAAACAAGAACATAAGATAACTCGTTGTGCCTATGAAATATGGTGCTGAATAAAATAAAGTAGTTTATTAGAAAAATTATTTTTCTTTAGCTACTCTATTGTTTCATTTTGGAAACTTCTCTTTTCATGGTAACCTAATTAATTGCTGGTTCACACCTACATTTTTGGACCACTTGAACTTTCTTCCATAAAGACTGAAAGTTAAAGAGATACCTGTGCTTAATTAATTAAGCGCCACGCCATAAAAACGTAAGGGGGAGTGGAAGCATAGTTCCACCATTTTTGGCCTTGACACTAGACGGAGGTGAGTGGTCAGCTTTACGCTCCGACCGCTTTAATCCCAAGCAAAAGAGTTCCCGTTACCCATTGTATTGGAGGCTCAGTCCGAACACTATGGAGAACAAAAGAATCTTGACCCCGGTTCCGGCTTCTGGTAAAGTACTTCGGTTGATACAGAAGGAAATAAATTTCGCGACATCCCAGTCGGTATAGCGGCGGGCTACGGACTTTTGTTTGATTACCGGCAAGGGCAAGAGATCTTACTGTTCTCCACAGCGTCCAGACAGGCTTTGAGCCCAACCCGTCCTCCTATCTGATGGGTGCCAAGGACACTTTATCCGCAGACAAAGCTGTCGGAGCGTGCAGCTGACAACCCATCTCCATCTAGTGCCAAGGATAAGAATGATGGGAGTTATATCTCCACTCCCGCATTCATGTTCATGGCATGAAGCACAGGGGACTACGTTGCTGAATATAAGTAAAGATGTTCCTACGCATAACAAAGTGATGTAGTGGGGCGTGAAGGTTATATGCATGAGTGTGATACTACATGTGGACAGTCAGCTCCAAGATGCTACCAAATTACGTGTAGTACCAGTGGGCCAGAAGATAAGCTGTACAAGAAGCCAATTACGATCCCACCAGGAAATCATTTCCGGGGTGTCAAATACAATACAATTAAAATGATCAAGTCAAGAAGGGTAAGATGTGCGGGGCATGTAACACGCATTTGTCGGTCTCAGAAAATGAACCAATGTGGAGGCTGTTGTGAATACGATAATGAACCTTCGTGAGTTCTGTAAAATGCTGATATATTCCTGAGTTTCTGAGCAACTTGTGGCTTCTCAAGAAGGCCTCATCTCCACTGAGTTAGTTAGAGGACTACTGATATAAGTTTAATGGGTTATAAGACGTTTTCTTTTTTTAATGTTTCGATAAATATGGCTCCATTATTTCACATGAGTCAGCTGCTGTACAATTTCTGTTATGAAAGCTTTGAAACGTATTCTGTCCAGACAGACACGAAGGAGGATCCAAAACATTATATTGGAGAACTTCTTAAACTAGAGACACAGTGTGGAGTAAGTTTTACGACAAACTTAAGAAATTTAATACAGTTAACCCTTTAAAGCCCAGTGGTTACTATATTTACCACCAAATTTAACATACTGAAACTCTGTGTTGTGCCCGCAGAGTAAGCTTTTATGTTTCGTATAGTTCTCACAACGAACAGCTACTCCTTCCCTTAGCAGCAGTAACTGGTTAGTCTGCGGCTAGTCGCTGGCTTCCCTCCGCGGCGGCCCGGATTCAATCCCGGGTCTGGTCAAGTGGGATTTGTGGTGGACAAAGTGGCGTGGGGGCAGGTTTTCTCCGAGTACTTCGATTTCCCCTGTCAATCTTTATTACACCAATTGCTCCACAATCACCCTCACCTATCATCTGAGGCTCGTACAATAGGCCAGAAGTGGCCGCAGTACAAGGGATTTAGTCCTACTCAACTAGCAATAAAAAGACAACTGGTTAGTCTTCGTAGCGGAGACGTAATATATTTCCTGCTAGGCACGAACTGAACTTTTGTGTTTTTCGAAAAAAATAAGCCTTGAAATATCTCTGGTCGCGCGCCTCAAGGGGCTTGGCGCCAAGACGAACCGATTGGCTGTAAAGTGCCAGTCGTAAAGTAACGCTGACTCTGACTCTAACAGTGTTTAAAGGGTTAACTTAGTTTAAAGTCTATGTGTTTTAAATTAATATGCATACTTAGAAATGTCAGTTATGAAAAAAAATAATTCATGTTAGTATATTATTATAAAATATGTTTAATATATTATATTTCGGCTTTATTCTCATTGAAACATGTTGTATTTCTTGTGGAACATTGGAACTTAGCAGATCTATATTGAGTACGAAGGAAGACATCTGGATACCGACCAAACAGCTGTCTTTTTCTCAGACATTTTGAAGAACACGAAGAATTCTTATTTATTTATGTGGGTCAACCTAGACCTTTCTGCCGTCCAGTAAGTTCTTTTAAAAAAGTCGATACTTTAATTCAAAATGATACGGCAGTTTAGGTGAAAATTTGTTTAATTTGACCTTGGAAAGTAAGTTTGTTCTTCGTTCTGTCTGTTTTGTTACTCTGGAGATAGAGAGATTTAGGTAAGAGGGTATATTCGGAAATTTATTTTCTTTAAAGTCACACAATATAAGCGTACATACGCTTCGACAATAAATAAAAAGCAGTCTCCTTGCTACTTCTTCACACTTAATGAACGGTCTTATCCTTTTTACATTCTTTCTTTCAGGATCAAAAGTATTTTAGCAGGCTCTTCTCAAATGTCTTCACCTATACTCGTCTCAACAACAAGAACATTAAATATTCAAGTCTGTAAATTCGATTATTTGGCTTTCAGATACGAGTTGCAACGAAAGAGATCCTGAAGCGATTAAGAGCAAGAACTCGTGGAAGTTCACTGTTCTTTTTGAACGTAATTTAGGTGTATTTTTGTCATTCGTTGCCACATTTTGAAAGATTTTCAGCTCTCTTTATATCATGATTCTGTCATGTGTTTTATAGATATGAGCTTACACTCATTTCTGTCTGAGTTTTCTTCTAGAATAACCTCTTTACTAGACTATTATGTAACAAGAAGGAAATAAAAGAGATACGAAATGTTCATAAACCGAGAGCAGCAATAGAGATATGTTTAAGTATTCCTTTTGCTGTTCTAAGAAATAATTTTTAATTTTTTTGTGCGCTGAGGTCATGACTAAGCGTTATTCTCTAACGGAAGTGAGGTTTGAATGGAGTCATTACGCTTATAGGAGGTTTCCGATGAGGCACTGCATAAAGAGTAACATAATCTAGGTTGGACTCTTGAATTCGTTGAAATTCCTTTCAGGTTGCTTAATAGTGACAGTCTCGGGAGGGAGAATAAATATTTCAATCGAAACCAGGGACCTTTAAATTCCCTAGACCAAACACGATAGCTTTAGGTACTTATAATATTTTATAAAAAAAGTAATTCGTAGTACTAACTTTAATATGAGGAGAAAAACAATTATTACCGGAGAGTAAATTACGATTAGCAGTAACAGTAACTTCTACAGATATACGATCTTCAAAATATATTAAGTCCAACGAGAGAACCTGTTTCAGAAACATTATTATTATTATCATTAGCTTGTTTACTTTTCTGCACTAATGTGTTTTTCCTCCAGTGCTTGCCTGTAATTTGTCCCTTGACTTTATATTATGTCTGCCCATAATGTAATTACCTGTATCTACATTGTGCTGTGTCTGTAACTGGCCTTGTGGCTGCTGACTCGGCACATAAACAGCACAAAAATGAATCCAATTATTATTATTATTAAATTTGTTCCTAACAAAGAGATAGAAAATATCTTACATGAGGGTGCTTAAGAGAAGGTTTTAACCTGAAGAGGCAGGAAGTAACATGAATATGGAGGAAACTGCATAATGGGGCCAATAAACATCTTGACAGTATGTCTCCAAACCGAGATTTAAACCACGAACATTCCGAATTGGAAGCTCGGGTACAAATCATGCTACCACTGCGATCGTTTCAGAAATATTACGAACTGTTATTGTTGTTCCGCGAGGTGCCATGAGGCGGGAGTTCTAATAGACTGATTAAATACCTATATTCTGGGATACCACACAGTGTAGTCAGAGGAGAGGCAAAGGGCGTTTCGGAGAGCGTATAACCTCCATATTCAGAGTCAAAATATAAACCGATCAAGAAACCAGCATGAAGCAGGCAGCAAGAAGATCAATGATTACGGTGGATATGTTTCTACGAAGCATCGGTTGCCTTCTAACGGATTACATGACGTTACAATCCCAGAAGATGGAATCATTCATGGCTGCCACTGTGAGATCCTCAGATCCAACAGACTGCTTAAAGACGGCGGGGGGGGGGGACATATCCGAATTTCAACGTGAATTCTGACAGGGCGTGGTATTTGAGGGCTAGTTTTCATTCAGCATAGAACCATTATTGTGAACGGAGGAGTTCATGGAGGTAGGCTTAGGCCCACTGGGGCTGTAGTGCCAAGGGGGAAAAATATAGAACCATTATTATGAAAACGAATGAAAAGGATAATGATAATTAACGAGAGTGAGTGAAATCTTCCTTGACATGGCCTTGAATGACATGACGTGACATAATTACTGTTATTGTTCTCCTCTTTACCTGTGTGGCGTGGTTGCATCGTCAGCACGAGCTAACCAGCTTCGTGAGACAGCAAAACTTCTTCCATTTTATTAGGCGAATGACATACAATGAAGCTGTGTTATTCTCATCTTTAATTTGCACTTCCACCATAAAAATGAATGTACCTAATTTAGTGGTAGACAAAATATGTACTGTCTGTAGCCACTAACAATAGCTACCACGTTTCAAGAATTGTTGAACAACAGCGGATATGGGTAATGAAATATATTGAAGGAAGTTTCTGTTCTCTGGCTGATGTAAGGGCCTGAAGTTCTCATTCAAGTTACCCTATAGTCAGGCCGTGCCATATCAATAGCGGGTTCAATTCCCGTTCCAGTCACATGTGATTTGTCGTGGACAAAGCAGCATTGGGGCAGGTTTTCTTTAGAGCACTACGGCTTCCCCTGCCAATTCTCATTCCAACAGATATTCCATACTCATATATTATCCGGCGCTGGTATAACAGGCCAATTAATGGCCCACGTATCAAGTGGACTCAGTCTTAACCCAACCTACGAAATTAAAGAAAAAATACACTCTCGCTACCCGGTTACTTCACCCTTATTCTTGCTTATTTCGTATATTGGGTATTAGTAGATCTTGTGTTTTACGGTTACGCAGGCAGTAAACAGTTTCTAATAAAGAGACTCTAAGTGCTTCGAAGACGTAAAAAATTCAGAGTTCAGTAATATATCAATATTCTCAGCCATAAATAAATTAAGAACTTGATAGTATTCACTGCAGAATATTTGTCTTCCCCGTAAAAGATAAAAATATGAAATTATCATTACATGCTATTTTGTAAGAGTATGAGAATTAGTGTCTCGCGTTAGAGGAAGAATATGTTTCATTCTGGTCTGTCACACGAACAATATTATAAAAATAAAACAACGCCGTGCAGTGTGACTGTTGAAGTTTTTACTACTTCAATTCTTTACACCCTTACATGTTTCGGTCCCTATAGACCATCATCAGAGGGACATCGATACTCTTTGGAAACCACTATTACAATGGGTATTACACACATACAATGTTTGTAAAGAAAGAGTAGATTAGCGTAAAATGGATTCATCTGGCTCATGCTAGCGTCTAGTCGCCGTCACATGTGAAGATGTAAATGATGTAAGATTATTTTCTTCCGAGATATGACGCCATATATTTAGGTAGAAAAGTTAAAATTTCCGGAATAAGCTACTGCTTTCATCTTCAAGATAGTAGTGCGAATATTCTTGCATTACTCCAACTGTCCTTATTATGGAGACACACTCCTCCTAATCGTTGGTACTCAACTGCTAGACTACATGACGTCACATTGGTGTTGACCTTATTCCTGTTCCTTTAGAACATAAAGTTTCACGGTAACGAATTTTCATGTTCGATAAAATGCTAGGAATTGCTTGACTTACTATGAGAGAACTAGTTTTTCAAGAAGCTAGTTAATTAGTCATTTATATAAGTGCCCTAGCCGGTCACGGTAGCCGAGCGGTCTAAGGCATGTACTGTCTTCGCTCGCTTGGAAACCGGGATCGTGGGTTCCAATCCCACTCAGGGCATGGATGTTTAGTTTGTGTGTGTACGTTTTTCTGTGTTTGTGTACAGGTAGAGGCCTTTCGACGAGCTGATCACCCGCCCAAGGAGTCCTACCGAATGTGTGGTAAGATCTAGAGAAACCAAAGTGAACGGAGAAGTTCATAGAGGTAGGCCTAGGCCCACTGGGGCTGTAGTGCTAAGGAAAAAAAATAAGTGCCCTAAGTAGTATATTCCACAGCGTCCAGACCGTTTGTGGGGCCCATACAGCCTACTATTCAATTAGTGCATGGGACTCTTTCTCCGAGGTAAAACGTCCTGAACGTGAAGTCGATCACTGACCTACATCAAGTTTCGAGTTCAAGAATTCCGGAGCTATACCTCTACTCCCCATACGTCTTCATGACGTAATGCTTAGTTAAGTAAGCACATGGATAACTTTATCTTTAGCTTTAGTCCCCTAAATACATTCATACTTTCGCATCTGATATGTTTAATGGAATATGAAGGCTGGATGTTATTCACTAGTTTCATCATCAGTTGGGTTACATGTAAATTTGTATTGGAGTGAAATGATAAGAAGACGCTTGGTCAAATTACCCTTAGTGACAAAATCTCCATAGGGCGGCCCATAGGCGTCTGAAGGCGACAAGAAAAGATGATTGATAAATTGGCGGTAGGACAGAGAGAGGCAGAAATACAGCAAATCTTCAAAACACTCTTTCTATTATGGAAGGAAAAAAAGGCAGGTTAAGAATAATCTGCAATGGGAGGTTTGTTCAATAGAGGTAAATTGAATCACAATACAGATTTAATTAGTCTTAAAAATAGACGTCATATTCAAATATTAATTCTATACTCTAGAGGAATTCCATTCTGCAACGGCGTCTCGAAAATAATATTACACGTAACTTGCCATGAAAAGTTGTTTGGCACTGGTACAGGAAATATTAAATATAACTACAAACAAGACGTTTCCTCCTTGACAGAATTGTTCTCCCCACCTTCAGTTCGAGGTCGGTACAGAAGCAATCTCGCAGTCGTGTTACCTAAGTGTTTTCCTGAACGCAGGGCACACAAAAACAATCCGCAACGTCACAAGGAAACGTTCTGCTCAACGTGACTTGTTATGAAGAGTAAGTGCATTGTTATAACTGTGTAGGAAAGTGTCAATATGAAGAGTAAGTCTGTCCTCATTTCTGTGCTACAAGTTGTCAACGTGAAGAGTTATCCTGGCGTTATTTCTACGTAGGAGTATGTCAACAGGAAAGCAAGTCTGTTATTATTTCTGTGTAGGATATCGTTAGTAGCAGGTGCCAGGTGTAAGTCTGAGCATTGTGCATTCAAGAAGGAAGTTCAATTTTCATTTTAAAACGTGTATTAATATTATAGATCTCAAAATTTCGTTAAAAATTAAGCATAAATTGCCACGCCCTTATCAGTTCTGAAAAAAAATACGAATTGTTCTTTATTGGTGTGTTGCTGCTTATTTGGTTTATTGTACGATACTGAAGATGGAGGTAGTATATTTCTCCGATACCACAGTGACAAGACTACATGATCTAGGAGCAGTATATAGTACTCTTCACAGTCAACGCCGTGAAACAAATCTCCGTTCACAAATTTTGAAATAAATATTAAACTTAATTCTGAGCGAAGTCGCTGGCTTCCCATCGCGGCGGCCGGGGTTCGATGCCGGGGTCTGGTCAAGTAGGATTTGTAGTGGGCAAAGTGGCGCTGGGGCGGCTTTTCTCCGAGTACTTCGATTTCCCCTGCCAATCTTCATTCTACCAAAATTCTCCATCATAATAATCAGACGGGGCAGGTACAATAGGCCAATCAGTGGTCGCCGTGCCCAGTGGACCCAGCTGGACTCCACCCCCCAGTAAGCGAATTAAAAAAATATTAATTCTGAACGACCTTAATTTTTCATAGTGAGCCTATAAGTCAAAATAGTGATATATTGCTGCAGAGTTAGTGCAAAGTCACTGAATGAGAGCCACTGTTGTTCCACCGGCGGAGTTCTCCACTTTCCCCTTTCAATTTTTGTGAAACAAATTAGAATCAAATATTGTTCCTTATGTATTTCTTATATAATAGTACAAATAAGGCCAATAGACTATATTTTATGATCTGTGTAAGGAAAATGAATAATATATGGACACTTATTTGCTAAAATCCCATCAGTAAACTCGAATCTTAATAGAGATTACGCAGACTGGCTTCTTTTCGCGGTAACGACTGCACATCATATCTAAACGTTGGGTTCATCTGACAATGGGACGGTATAGCAAAATAAGGCAGTGTAAGTATCATGGTCGGCTTCATCGATATATGACAATATATTACGCAAATAAAATCCTCTCTCTGCATTCGATAAGAAAACTGAAAGAAAATCTAACTTGGGAATTTAAAATAGGATTTGACAACCGTTACATAACACAGTCAAGAGAGTTACCTTACTAACTTCATGGAGCTGAGCACCTTTTGAAAAGCCGCCAGTTGTGTAGATACTCAACAATTTTCCAAAATTTTATGAAGCCCGAAATTTCATTATCGTGTTCACAAGAGCCCTCCACCGGTCTCTATCCTGATCCAAATCGATCCAGCCCATACCACCGCATCCAATTTCTCTAATATCCATTTTAGTATTTTCCGCCCAGTGGTCTCTATCCTCCCGGCTTTCCTATATGCATTCCTTTCCGTGCTACATTCCATGCCCATCTCATCGTCCTTACTTGATTATTCTAATTAGACTTGGCGAAAAGTACAGGTTATGAAACTCCTCATTATGAGTCAAGAGTACTACCAATTAGAAAATTGTACATCCGGCTCAAAGATCTTCCAACAGTTAGTGGGAATTCTGGGAAATACCTGTTTCACTTTTAGGGATTATTTAAAGCAATTATATCTGTAACAAAGCTGAACAAAGAGACTAAAAGAACATTTCTTATTATTATGTATAAAATGTTGATACTGAAATGCGTAATTCTTGCGAACACACATCCTACCTTGGGCATAGATGAAGAAGATGTTACATTTTCCTTTTTCAATGACTCTTTCAGCCCATTCAGGAAGCAGGCCTCATATTCAATTCCGTAATCAATTTTTACAGACAGTAGAACTCCTTAGATGAGTGATCAGCCTCTTGCAAGGCCGGTACCTAAACACAGGACAACACAAACACAAAATAAAAGCGTACACACACCAAACATTCATGCCATGAGTGGGAATCGAACCCACGATCACAGCGTCAGAGCGAGCGAAAGCAAGCCATCTTGCTATGAGGAGCTTTGAATGACAAAAGTATGTAGTTGAGAGCATAAATGACACAACGGCAGCATACTGAAAAGAGCTGTACTCATCAGCTTGGCAGCCTGCGTCCCCCGAAACCTCCATTCTCCCAGGATTGCCTCAGTTTTAGTTCACACGAAGGAAAGCACTACACACGGCACACGGAAGGCACATCCAGTCGCAAGTCGTTATTTGTAAGTGACGCTGATTGTGTTCATACTTCTTTACTTAAGGTCCATAAACTTTCATCGAAGGTTACCGAAACCAATGCAAAATTCAACTGCATAATTTTAAAAATTATTACATTACCTTTACTTTCACTTTGTATTATGTTATATTATAATCTTAATGAAATCAAAACTAAATAAACAATTGAACGATCATCAATCTTCAACATATCGTTCAGTGTAATATTAACATAAAAAATTTCAGGTATTGAACTGATTAAAGAACTATTCCAATGGAATTACAGTAAATTCCGAGACAATTAAATCCCTCAGAATCCAAATATCAGGAATCCATTTTAATATTACATTTCCATCTCTGACTTACAAGAAGTTTGGTCCATACCAAAATTCTGTATATAATTACTGATTCCGCATCGCATGCACGTGATCAGCAAGTCCTTCATTTAAGAATCCTAACACTTGCAGAATTAGTCAAATCTTGAAATACTCTGTTATGTAACACTTTATATTCCCCTACTCAATTCGCCTCAAAATTCGGAGTATTTAACTTAGCAAATTGTTTCCTGATACATGTATGTTCCTTCAGAGTACAAAAGTAATGTTTAATTACAATATACCCATTAGTTCCAGCAATCTAAAGTAATAGACCCGTACCGTACATAATGTTCACGCTATACCTACTTACTCTATTCTAGGCCGCGCCATAGCTCAAGCGGTTAGTCGCTGGCTTTACACCGCGGCGGCCCGCGTTCGATCCCGGGGTCTGGTCAAGTTGGATTTGTGGTGGACTAAGTGGCGCTGGGGCAGTTTTTCTCCGAGTACTTCGGTTTCCCCTGCAAATCTTCATTTCACCAATTGCTCCACAATCACCCTCACCTACCATCTGGGGCTGGTACAATAGGCCAGAAGTGGCCGCAGTACAAGGGACTCAGTCCCACTCCACTAGCAATGAAAAAGAAAATACTCTATTCTAACAATACGAGTATTCACCCGAAACGCGCATCCACATTACTCGTGCTCGTGCTCGTGTGACTGCTATACTCGCGAGTAATGTGGACGATATGACAAGTCACGAGACAAGAAAATTGTAATTTTTTAATTTAAAAACTATAAAATACGACTACAGCCTATACACACTACGAGTAAATATACGGATCCTCACGCGCCGAAGCTTGGCGAGCAATTGAAGTAGTGTGGACGAAGATTTACGAGCACAAGTAAAAGCCAGACGAGTTTCCCGATGAGCACAAGCCTGGCGAGCACGAGCACGAGAACGAGTAATGTGGACGCGCCTTAATGACACTATACTCTGATAGACGAGTATAACATCAGTAGTATTGATGTCATCGCACAAGTTTCGAAGAACATGCAGTATAAAACAGCAAAGCCAGCAGCAACAGCTCTATTGTTAGTACTTCTGTTGTGTTTATACTAAATGAAATTAAACAAAAATGCTGTACTTTGCTAACAAAACTAACTCTAAATATCCAACAGCCGCAATTGCACTGTCAGTATTTTCATTTTGCTTTTATTATCAATAAATCTTCAGAGAACACAAAGGGCAACGCTAAGCATCCTAATATTCTAGTACATTTGCGCTATGTAAACACAGTACTTTTACGTGTATTTGTCATCAAGGTATCAAATTTTACATCACAAACCTAAACAGAACTCAGAAATACAGTATGTACATCTGATAACTTGTACAATGAAAGTAACATGGTCAGATATTGCTTGAGTTATATACCTCGAAGAGTTGTCGGACAGCCATGATGCTTACATCGATGTATCGAAATCTTGAAGCGTGTGCACGAAAGCTGGACTCCTTCTAGTAATACAGGAGCAAGGGAGTCACCGCCATCTGACATCTTCCATTTTTCTCTCTCTCTCCTCTGCTGGCAATCAGACTGTACAATCTGTAAGTCAATGTGCTGATTGGTGTAAAATTTAATAACTATTTATTGTACGCTCTTCATGGCGCGTGCGGGATAAACATCCAGCGATGTCTTCCTCAGGTCGTTAGATCTGATGGCCAACTTCTTTTGAGTCTTCGATTTTCATGAGGTTGTAGTAGTGGTTGAAGAAGTGAGTTGGAGTGATTTTATCGTTTGCTGAAGTACTTGGTGCTGTTTTCTCGGATGTCTTCTGTTACGTAATGAGTATTTAGATCTGTATGTAGAGTGTGGTTGGATACATATCATGGTGCGTTCGTGATGGATCGCAGTATTTTAGACTGGGCACGCTGTATAATGGCGATGTTGGATTTGCTGGCGCAACCCCAGAGTCCATATAGGCTTGATGACTGTTTTGTAGATTAGTGACTTGTTTCGATGGAGAGGTGGGATTTTCTTCCTATGAGCCAGTTGAGTTCTTTGGTTTACATCATCCGTTGCATAATATAAAAATTATAAGTAAGGGGCCGAACACGTCGAACTAGAGATAGAGCTTTATATTGAAATTTCGGCGGGGACACGGGTTATGTTGACTAAGTCATTTCGCAGTTTCTCTTACTCCCTTCAGGCAAATACTGGCGTAGAAGCTTGATTAGTACACTATCCCTTTCCCTTTAAAGTCATTATTCATTAAATGATCTTACCAACGTCATTGTCTTATCGCAATTATCTTATCAACGCCATTTAATGTGAAATATTGGCAGCGTCTTTAAATTAATCATAAATAAGAATAAAAGTTATTAAACCGCATTAAAGTTTTTTCAAACTTGCAAGTTTTTACGTCCACCAGGCTGTTATCATTGTTGTATCACTATTAAGAATGGACGCTGCATACTCTCGATGCGAAAGAGTCGCCAAGTAGCAAAGTTGAAAGGTTGGCGGCCTCAGGTGGCAAATCTCAAGAAAATTTCGGGAAATTAGTTAATTGGCTCAAAAAATAAGAGAGGAAGACACAAACACAAGTGGCAATGATGGTGTTATTATCAGCCTGCGTCCTCACTTGAAATAAAATAATATGATAAAAATACGAAACACACTTTTCTCTAAGAAGTTATGAAATACATTATATTATAAGGAAGTAAGAAATAAAAACATGGAACTAAAATGTTACGTCAGTTCAGGGCCTTCATTCAGAAATCCAATTGAATAAATACATATTTCAATGCTAATTAAATCTGATCGCAGAAGTGTCCCTGAGAAAGCAATCACCAGCATGGCTTGTCCTGTCTGGGATGGTCATCTTCGTGCTTGGAGCGGTGCTGGGATGGTACGGCTTCCCGGCGCTAGTGAGGAGTCAAATTGCCTCAGTAAGTAATAGCATTTTCTTGCTCGTCATTTATGTCAAGCCACATTTTCCCATCATATTCCTTCCAGGAGGCGATCCCAGTGGTCCAGCGGTTTAAGGCAAGAACTGTCTTCGCCCGCTCGATGACTGGGGCCATGGATTCGAATCCCACTCGAGGTATGGATGTTTGTTTGCATTTATTTTATGTTTGTGTTGTTCTGGGTATAGGTCGGGCTGATCCACGTCCAAGGAGTTATACTGACTGTGTATCGGTTAAGAAATTGAGAAGCCACCAATACCCAACAAAGGGCCGTAGAGCCATAGACAGAGTCCTTACAGGAACAGGTTAAGATTCCAATTCAATTCAGTAGAATGATATATTTGAAGGCTGTTAGAACGGTTTTCTGGCTTCTCCCATCCCATCTATCGTCAGCGGTCTTAACACGTATTGCTTTATGAGGGGAACCGGGATGGTTCAGCAGGTATACTGATGGACTCCAGGATGGACGGCCCCGGCTTGATTCCAGCTAGGGGAAAGGGATTTTTCTCCATTCCACAGCGTCCAGACCGGCTCTGGAACCCACCCAGTTTTATATCAAATGGCTTAGACGTGTCTAGCATGAGTGACCCTTCCAGGACATTACGCCCCAGCTAGTGTACTTCTCGAAGTGTTCACCGCGTGCCAGTCACCTCACGACGACATGTAGCAACTTCTAGCCCATCGTATTAACTTCGGTTTGCTCTCTACCGCTGATATCAGATGTCTGTTCACATTTTCCATATAGTGATGACAAATTGCCAACATTTACTTATATATTGCTCTAGTTTTCGTTACATGCTTCACAAACACTCCGTGGCTTTTAGTCCGTAAGAGAACTTTCCCGACCGAGCTATCGCCGCTTGTCGGCGAAGTTTAGTGCCAACTTTTGAGGATAGAGGATGTCTCGTGATTCCCACGGATTCCCACGGCCGGAGCCGCTACTTTTCCATTCAAGTAGCTCCTCAATTATCCTCACGAGGCTGAACGGACCCTGTTCCAGAACCACTACTTATCAAAAATGTGGTAGCGCCGGGAATCGAACCTGGGACCTCTGGATCTGTAGCTAGAAACTCTAACCTCTAGACCACAGAGGCGGCTTACAAGATTTATAAATAAGAATAAAGAGTCCAAATGTCGAGACGATACGTCTGATCACTGTAAGATTTATGCCTATAGGGGAAACAACACACAACAGCGTGGACATACATCCGGTCTCCGATAAGGATTCGAACCCCACACTCAGTCAAACAGTGGTTTAAAACTCGTGATTATTATGGACTGAAGTCTTATTTATTCCTTTTATTGGGTTTTGATTTCACAATATATGTACAAATCTGAGCTAATTATACGCTTTCGACAGGGGGCACGCGGTGGTGTATTTTGTTGAGGCACTACGCTACAAGCCGTAAAGTCGCGGGTTCGAGTCCCGTTGAGGTCCTTTTTTTTTATTTACCTAATCCTTCCATCCGCACTATGGTCCCGGTATCGACTCAGCCTCTAACAGAAATGAGTACCAGGAATCTTCCTCGGGGGTAAAGGGCCACCGGGGCGTAAGACTGCCAATCTTACCGCCCTCTGTGGGCCGATTGTCTAGATAATGTGGGACCCTCGACGTCTCACAACCCTATGGGCCTCCATGGCCTGTTACAGGGATAGCTTTACCTTTTTTTTTACATTTCGACATGTTTCAGCCACTATTTCTCGCCCTCATCTGGAAGTACTTAAAGAGTTCCTCTAAATTTTCTTGCTATCCCACGTCCATTGCCTAATGTTTACAATTTGGAGAAGGTCTTGTTGTTGTTTACAATGCTGGACGCTAGTTATAGATTTAAACAAATAGGACACAAATTTGTATACATATTTTTTTTTCTTGGCACTACAGCCCCAGTGGGCCTAGGACTACCTCCATGAACTTCTCCGTTCACTTCGGTTTTTCTAGATCTTACACATACGGCAGGACTCCTTGGGCGAGTGATCACCTCGTCGAAAGGCCTCTACCTGTAGACAAACACAGAAAAACTCACACAAACATCCATGCCCTGAGTAGGATTCGAACCTACGATCTCGGCTTCCGAGCGAGCGAAGACAGTGCATGCCTTAGACCGCTCGGCTACCGTGACCGGCACAGAAATTTATATAATGCCACGTATTTAGGGGTGTGACTATAGAGAGGTTATGAATTTTATAGTAAATTTGTTGACCACTTGCATACACCACTAGAAATTACAATTTACAATGACTGACACACACACAGGCTACTGTCTTCAGTGTATTACAGTCTCGAATACCCGTTTCCTGGCAACGGCTTCTAGCGAGGGAGATTCTTCAGCTTCCTGCACTCAGGTCCTCTTGTCACAGCCACCCGTGCATAACTCTTGTCAACTGACAACTCAACTAACTGGGTTCCAGGCTGGTGGTCATTTCATAACAACCTATAAGTCTACTCTTTACAGGCTGACTTCCAACTGACAACTGAACTCTTTCACCAACCAACTACTTCACGTCACTTCACTCAACTGAATTGCTGACAACTGACTACTCCGGAACTCGTCTGATCCTGTTTATAATATTTCGGCACGAACCATGTAGAAAACATTTTTTTCTATTTTTATAGTTCGAAAATATCTCGACCGTTGCATGCGTATCCCTTGCCGTGGGAGCCCGTTTACCTTGCAGTTGCCTAGTGATTACCCGGGTATTGTTAACTTGTTTAATAGCCGTTACTTAGCAACGCATGTTTCTTCTCGCGATCGTTACATAGCAACAACTATACACTGTACATAAATTTACAGTATTCTTAAGTATATGTCTAAAACCTGCATTGCAAACAAAAATACGACCTTCCCCAAAATGTAAACATTGGCCATTGGAGGGGGGATAACAGAAAACTCAGAGGGAATATATACTTACTACCTGATGATGTACAGAAATAGTGGCCGAAACATGTCGTAATGTAGAAAGCGTATAATTATCTTAGAATTATACATATATTGTGAGGCTGAAACTGAATAAAATATTCTGTGCACAATGTGACGCTAAAATAAAGTATTATTTATTCATTTCAATCACGTGAGCACGGGAGTGGAGCCAACTGCCAAAACATGGCTTCTCAAATATACATCAGACAATAGAAAATATCGAAGACAGGCCTAATATTATTACTTCAATAATTAATCAAGCATTTTCACAAACCTTTGAAGAATGAATGGCGGCCAGTTCCCTCCATCACAATGTCATGCAATGTCACTTTATAGCGTCATTTTCAAAACTAAGCGCATTCCATTTCAAAAATTTTCCTCTGTTCAATTTCTATTTCTCTGTTTAGAGAATTCGCATCTCGCCTTGAGGTTTTTAGCCTACTTTCCTCATTGTGAAAAAAGTAAGCTTATGAGATCACTTTGTTCTCTGTGAGTTTGTGTGTGTCTGTCTGTATGTGTATGTGAATAGCTGCACAAATCTTTACGAAACTTGGCATGTATATCACGGCACCTCAACCCATCTCAATGTCTTTATTCATAAATCCCTATCAGCAGTAACACCTACATTACAGTCTCTCAAATTTCTGACGCAAAACCTACATATTGCTTGACGTTTTAAAATTGTGTTTATTATGAGAAAACTGCACATGAACTCTCTTGTTTCTAGTTGTGTACTCCAGCGTCGCCCAACAAGTCTGTTTCTCCAATTAATAAATGTTCTCTTTAGAACTACCTTTTCACTGTCCCGCTATTTTCTTCTGTGGTCCAAGGGACGAGACAAAACATGTGGTTCCATGCAAATTCAAAATACAAAGATATTGGAATGCAGTGCATTGTTGACCACTGAGAGGTAACTGGTGCTTCGGAGGAACATATCGTCTCCATCTTCAGCGTTGAAGAGTAAGCGAAGTAAGATACCAGCATGAATACATAAAGCAAACAAATCTGTATCTATATTCTAAAAAGTATCTGCGTGGATGAATACCTGCTTTATGCTGGTTTCTTGCTAGGCTTAGTCTTTAACCTTAAAAAATGAAGCGACTTGTTCCTCCGAAATGTCGATTGGCTTTCAATGTACTATACTGCATTATATTCCAGAAGATAGAATTCTTCATAACCGCCGCTGCGAGAGAGACCAAGTAGACAGTTTCCTCATAAATGCAGCAGCGTTCATTCATCCACCGTGGCTGGAATCCTCAAGCGAACTATATCGACCGAGCGACGGCCGCTTGTTGGCGAAGTTAGTGTCAATGTTAGCGGATAGAGGGTGTCACGTGGTCAGAGCAACGAATCCCCACGGTCGTTAATTTTTCGGTTTTCTAGACCGGAGCCGCCATTTCTTTGAAATAGCTCTTCGATTGTTCTCACGGGGCTGAGTGGAACCCGTACCAGACCAACTACTCCTCAGAAAATCTGATAGCGCCGGGGATCGAACCCGGTACCTCAGGATCTGTAGTCAGGAACTCTGACCACGGTCGTTCATTAATGCAAACATTTTCCAAAATAACTCGTTAATCTTAGCCAAGAGAAGTCAGGCTGTGGATTCTTAATATTTAATGTCTCCAACAATTTCAGAGCCTGGAGCTGAAAGAAGGTTCTGAGAGAAGGGAAATTTGGGAAAAGGCACCTTATCCGATGGATTTCAAGATCTACTTGTTCAATGTAACATACCTCATGGAAGTTCAGAAGGGGGCGACACCCGTTGTCCAGGAGGTGGGACCCTATTGTTACAGGTGAGCAGTACGTTCAGCTGGGAGCTCAAGCGTTATGAGACGGGCTGCGGGCTGGAAGTCCGGGTTTAGATTCATGGCAGGGAAAGAAGTTCTTCTCTATTCCAGGGTCCAGATCGGCCCTGGAGCCAACCAAGCTTCCCATCTAATGGGTACAGGGGGTAAGGGGGCGGAGGAGTGAAGCTGATCTTTGACCTCCATCTATTGCCGAGGTGGTGAAGCTATATTTTCACTCCGACATACGTCTTCATGGCTTCATGCTTAATTAATTAATTAAAATATTCTGCAGAAACCAAAAAGAGAGTTTAGCTAACTTCCCTACTTGCATGCAGAATAAAGGAAATGAATTTTCAGCGTTTTTAAAGTATGTGCAAGTAAAGGTAAGGTAAAGCTATCCCATAACAGGCCATGGAGGCCGATAGGGGTGTGAGACGTTGAGGGTCCAACATTATCTAAACAATCGGCTCACAGTTGGCGGTAAGATTGTTAGCCTTACGCGCCGGCTGCTCTTTACCGCACAGAAAGATTCCTGGTACTCATTTCTGTTAGAGGCTGAGTCGACCCTAGGGCCATATTGCAGCTGGAAGGATTAGGCCAATTGAAAAAAATCCACCTCATCGGGACTCGAACCCGCGACTTTCCTATTTGTAGCATAGTGCCACCCCCAACTATGTATAAGTATTTATAGAAAAACACTGTTATGATTCTTTTGCAATCTAGTCTACAATGAGCATGCGGCACCAACATAACTCTCTAGGAAATTGTGTTTCTCATAACGTGACGGCAAGAGGCCCACAGCTTTTCAAGGAAGACCTTGAGGATACGAATCCTAATGAATTTCTTTACTTCGTTTGATGTCCAGAAAGCGACCTATAAGTATGGAAGGTAATAGCGAGACGTACTGCATAACACAAGCAACAGCATTACCTCACTCTTTACCGTCTGAAGGTTGCTCAGAGGAGAAGCGATTATTTCGTAGTGGTTTCGAAACAGCAAGTAGTAGATATTTATTACCTTTTTCAACATTACAAATGTGAGAAATGTTTGTCGTAATTAACGTCGTTGTCACATACATGAAGAATACACGAAAACAAAATGGCTGGAGAACAAAAGTTTATGTAAAGCATTCCAGCACGATCACCTATTGTCTGTAAAACAATATTCATTCTTCTGCACATCCAGAACTATATGAGCTAGACTCACTGCGCATGTCACATTGCTCAGCTTCTTTTGTCTTCTGGAAAGTATGTGAACCTAAAAGGGAGGAAGTAATAAAAGTCTGGGAAACTTTTATGAGTGGCTTAAACATTAGTACAAATCCTAAGTTTTCACGTAGGGCATCTGTTCAAATTGTGGTATTCTGAATGATAAAAACTCCTAATTTAAACTTTACATCTAATATTATTATAATGGTTAAATAAAGAGGACGAAATGGAAGGGGAATGTAGCACGCATGTAGCACACATGTAAGAGGCGAGAAACTGATAACAAAATTTTAATAGAAAATCGCGGCAGACTTGGACGTTGCGTATTCCTCGGAAATGTCACAAAATGTCAGGGTGTCACAACTAAAAAACCACAATTGTAAAAATCTTCACAGTGGAAACGTAAAGATTTGTATCAAAGATCTACAAACATTTTTATATTTTAAATGGGTTTTCTGTTCCAGTGAAGATAAAGAGAAGGTGAATATTGTGGATCACGAAGATGATGACACCGTTTCCTTCAACCTCAAGGACACGTGGCATTTCAACCAGAGTGAATCTGGCAACCTGACTGGTGACGAAATTGTCACGATTCCGCATGTGCTCCTCTTGGTAAGAACGGTGGTGCTTTTTTCCTGGAAAGATGAATTTGGGCTCACAATTTGTAGTGGGTTACAATGATGAATCTCGTCATAAATTATGTTCGTATAATTAGAAACGTGTAGTTCTTAAGCGATATAGTGTCTGACTTGTATTCTGGAGGAATATTTTGAATTATATAAGTGAGAATTTTTATGTAGCTGCTCATGGATGTATGCAATCAATTTAGCTTCTTACTAGGATAATGAGTAAAACAGACTGCCTCCATGACACTTCATTATTTGAATTTCTTATTCCATACATAAATAATCAAGCCGAGGTAGCTCAGTCGGTATAGTGAATGACTACGGGATGGACGATCGAGGTGTCGGAGTTCGAGTCCCGGTAAGATCAAGAATTTTTTCTTCTCCACACCGTCCAACAATGGGGTTCAACTAACCGGGGGCTCTTTCCCCGGGGGTAAAGCGGCCGGGTCGTAAAGTCGACCACTCACCTCCCGCTACTGCCGAGATCAAGAAAATATGGATCTCCTCATCCACTCCCCCATAAGCCTTCATGGCATAGTGTTTAATTAGTTAAGCACAAGTACAAATCTAAATTACCTTCCATTAATAATCTGTATCAAAGAAAGTAATTGAGAAATTAATTACTTCCTACTCAACTACTTTGCACCTTATTATGGAACTGCGAACCTCATTTTCATTTCGCAAGAGCCTAGTAGACCAAAACCTATGGTGCAAAAATGTACTTTCACCTCATCTCTAAATGTAACAAGACAACCAGACCCAGGTAAACTGAACCGAATTCACAAAAATTATTCGGCAAGAATTCGCAGATTTACTTCTGATATTTAATATACAAAGTGTCCTAAAAGTTGCTTTGCCGAGATTATGCTCATATTCCAGGGAAAAATACTTTATTTACAAGGAAAGAATATTGAATAAGCACATCAGTAACATAACAGCTGACAGACTCAAGTCAGAGTGTAACAACAGTGTTGCCACCTATTGGAAGCAAAAATCTAAACGCAAGAAAAAAAAATCATAATTTAACGCAGCTTCTCGCTGAGGCGTCTTTCAGAATACCCGGTATTAGAACAGTGGTCCCCAGATTATTGTAGTGTGAGAATTCCTTAATATGATTAAGATGTTTCAGGGCCCCCAAAACTACAAAAAAATATTTAAGTATGATTTTTAAATTTAAAAATTCATTAATATTGAATACCAGTGACACCCAATTAGTAAGTTTTCTATTCAATTTTGTATTTAGACTCCATTTTAATGTGGCATTTTAAAGCTAAAATTAATTAAACATTTTCATCGGTATATATATTGGTGACCCATGGTTGTCTTCACACCCCTCCACAAGGGGCGTTTACGTTTTGGAAAACGCTGCAGAATACAACTCACTGTTCCTTCCTGTGCCTCTCCGTGTTCACCAGAGCAGCTGCAGAAATGTTGCAAAGTCTAATTGCAAACTTGCTCTGGATGTGGAAGAACCCAAGGTCGTCGGTAGGAAGAGGAAGTTGGAAAGACGATGCATGAGCGGCTATTCCCACACTTTGCATGATGAAGGTCGCGGTTTCAACGAAAATTCAGACGGACACGACGCAATTTGTCCATTGAAGAGCTATTCTTTTTAACAGACCTTGCCAAACTGCATGCTACATAAAGAGGCATACATGCAACTATATATACTCACATACAAGCTTAAGTATTATTCTAGGCTTATGTTTGGGAGGTGTCCATTTGTAATATCGGCTGGAACACCGGACATTCAGTCTAAGGTTTTTCATGGTTTTCTCAGTCCTTCCAGACAAATACCAGGATAGTACTTCGGTTAGGGCATGATCGTTTCCTTCCAAATCCTCTCTAACTCACCATTTGTCTAGCATGATAATACTGGACATCACGTATTCTCAATAATTTTCTTTCTTCCTCTTGCTCCACTTTGAGGTTAGGGCTGATTCCTCAGCTTCTCAATAATTTTACAGACGGTAGGACTTCTTGGACGGGTGATAAGCTCGTAGCAAGTCCTCTTCCTAAACACAGGACAACATAAACACAGAAGAAACGCATACACACACCAAACATCAATAACTCTTGTGGGATTCGAAACCACGATCCTGGCTTCCGAGAGAGCGAAGGCAGTTCATGCCATAGACCGCTCGGCTACGATACTGAAGAGTCATTAAATAACCAATGAAAAACCATACATACGTTCATATACTCTTATACGGTACGTACCCCTCAACCTTGCTAGTGTAGGGATTCCTGCTCCTGTTTCGCATTAGGGGGAGAAAGATATTAGATAATGAGAGAGCAGGATATTCTGGACTTTTGGTAATTTTCTTCAGTTTTCAAATTAAAATTCTAAAGACAGGCTTTTTCCGAAGACGGTGACAATGAATAATGCGTCTTATGAGTTGTAGTTCCGTGTAGTTTCGAGAGAGTACTAAGTTTCGGAGAACCCGACTTTTCACTGGAACATGTCACTTTCATCTTCATGGTCGAAAAGTAAGAAAAGCGAGAAACCAGTAGAAGCAGGTGGAAAATCTAGTTTCTGTCGGTACTTTTTGCATTTTTTACTCTTCTACCCTGAAAAGGAGGTGATATGTTCCTCCGAAGTATCGGACTTTCTCTGAACTACAGGACGTTGGAACCCAGAAGACCATGCTCTTCATATTAGAATTAGTTTGCACACTTATGTACAATGAATGCTATATCTGTTATTTAACAGCGTCACAAACAACTTTCTAAGAGACAGAAACAGACTGGTCATCTGGGCCCAAACTGTGAGAGAATTCCGGTTTCTTGAATGACCCTAGATATCGCAAACTGCCGAACTCCAGCCAAGAAAAACTTCTGAATAAAAATAACAGTAAATAACGGTAAGAATTACTGGGTTTCTGGACTTCTTCCATCGTCAGGTATTCTAGAGAGTAGAAAACACGACGTTTCGGAAACCCGATCTATTTCCGTCCTCATGTGAGAGGCGGAAGACACCTACTCAGTTGGGCGCCTTAGAAAGAGCTAAACTCCATCTAAAGAACCCAAATAAATAGGCGTCTCACCCTCCAACCTGAGGAAGGCAACAGATCCAGTTTCCGAAACGTCGTGTTTTCTAGTACCTTACGTTGGTAAGGCATAAAAAACACCAATTCTGAGTTTTATACACCATCGTCAGAACACTTTTAAATCTACTGATAAATAACGGATATGTAATTATTAATTTCAATTATAATAAGAGGATAGCAACTTCATTTTCTCTCCATGAAAATTTGATTTGCCTCAGGATCTGTTGAGAACTAACCATCTACTACGTGGGTGTGTATTTTATCTAACAATGCTTGACCTATTTGATTGTGTGTATTAGGAAAAGTCGAAGTGCATTTATGAATTCTTCGGTGTGGAAAAAATGATGTCTTTAAATTATATGTTCTTGCAAGATAAATGTTATTATGAAGAAAGCAGTCTTCTGGGCTTTGGCGCCGTGTATATGTGGTGTTAACCGACGTTTCGGAGGAACGTATCGCCCCCATCTTCAGGGTTGAAGAAAAAGTATAGGTAAATCTGCAAGCGACAACACCGTGAGACACGGTAACGCAGACTCAGAAGACTGCTTTCTTCATAGTCACCGCCGTGAAAGCCTCAAATCTTACAAATGTTATTATGCTGACCCTATCATCAACAGTAGCTTCAGGTATGCTCTGCCCACATTTGTCAACTTGAAAACATCTTCTGTTTCCCTTTCATTGAAAGTTTTACAGGATTTACTTACGATATTTAAGGAATTGATGGATTATATTCTTTAGTTCATAAAGTGATTCATTGTATCAGCTCTTTATATTACGTTTTGGGACATGGATATTCAAAAAAATAATATAATACCAATGATCTCTTAGACTTACACGCGGCATCCTATGGTCAAGAATTCTATTCTTTTATGTTGTCGGTTTTCTTGTGTAAGAAAAAGTCAAACTCTAATTCTAATGAGCATTCCCTTTCTCATACAAAATTGTATAATCATTTCTATATTTAGTGCCACTCTTTTGTCATTTTTCCTTCTGTGCTCTCATTAAATCGAACTTTCTACAATTTGAAATAGATGTAGATGTAGATGTAGATGTAGATTCATGTTGTTTCAATATCAAAATCTCGTATTAATTTTCTGTTGTTTGTATCGTTTCATCGAATCCACTCAAGTCCGAAGCTCTGTGTAAAATTTCGCAAGGATTACTTAGTTACAAGATGTCGATATTTCGCAAAATGCATACTAAAGATTTGCTTCTTTCTTCAGGGAATGGTACTGACAGCACAACTGGAGCAGCCAATAGGCCTCAAGCTCATCAACATGGCCATCCCACACATCTTCGACAACCCCACGTCTGTCTTCGTCACGGCTTCAGCAAAAGATCTACTTTTCGATGGTGTTCAATTCAACTGCACAGCCAGTGACTTCTCTACCAAAGCCGTCTGTTCAGAATTAAAAAAGAGAGCTCATAATTTCCACAGAGTCAGCGAAGATATCTTCAAGATTTCCATTTTCGGATCTGTAAGAATTAGAAAAATAATAACATATAAATACTATATAAGTTGCATTAGTTATAATATTATTTTTTTAATGCTAGTGGAGTGGGACTAAGTCCCTTGTACTGCGGCCACTTCTGACCTATTGTACCAGCCCCAGATGATAGGTGAGGGTGATGGTGGAGCAACTGGTGGAATGAAGATTGGCAGGGGAAACCGAAGTACTCGGAGAAAACCTGCCCCACCGCCACTTTGTCCACCACAAATCCCACTTGATCAGACCCGGGATCGAACCCGGGCCGCCGCGGTGGGAAGCCAGCGACTAACCGCTTGAGCTATGGCGCGGCCCTATTATAACTATATTGTCACGTGTATCACAGTGACTAAAGAATGGATTCAGATTGGTAGTTGTATTTATTGGATACTTACAAGTCGTAAATACATTTAATTATAACACTGTTACTGACTTTCACACTATGAAGCACTTCACGTTACTCTCTAAGTCTATCTGCGCTAGTCTTCACGGATTTATAACACAGGAACTACAAATTCTCTCTAAATCAACTCTCCCAATATCACTGTCCTGCAGAACACAGTCTTCAAATCAAACGTTAAATCTTCACGGGCTGACTTCTTACACACTTCTGTACCCCTAGTTCCAATTCGCTCTGAACTTACAGTTCACGGCTCTCGTTATATAGCCGCGGAACGGACATGGATCACAGGAAACATATGTCACGTGATCACTACCTACCGCGGACACGGAAAACACAGCATCCTCTATTGTTGCGTATTGGACCGTGTTGCCTAGTAACACATTGATCAAATCCTTTACAATATCCATAAGTTGACTGTTAGAATAGCACTGTTCAAGGTGGAACATTCTGATAGAAACAATAGCAACGGCTGCTCCATCTTTATTTGTCGCGAGAACTTATAATAGTATATCTTGTTTTATTTCTGATATTTTTCCTCCAGCTAAGAACCGTTTGTAGAGCAAGACTGCTTCCAGACTCTTTGCAGTGTCATTGTATTACTTTATTTCCTTAGAGACGGTGTATGATTGTTAGAAAAAAGATATATATAAATTCGATTGAAGACCTGATGTTTGTTCCCACGCCCTGTGGAATCTATTGCATGGCGTGACACAAGCAACTTTATCTTTCTGTTAGTCAATTAATTTCTCTTCTTTGCTTGCATCCAGTTCTTTTTCATTGTCTAGTATATTAATCGGTTAACATATGCGTGATTTCTTAGGAAGTAAAGCGAATACTCGGAAAGTTGTCTGCGAAATCATGATCTCCCAGAATTTAAACCGGCACAGTCAGAGAGAACTAGTTACGCTAAACTAAGTATTCTTGTTATAAAGCTATTTAGATTTGCCATAAATACCAGGAAGAGGTTATCTTATTATTTACACAAATATACAGTGTGTCCACAAAGTCCCGTCGGGGTTTTGAAAAATTGTGGCGTACAAAAGAATGAGCTAGCCGCATGCTGTTTGCGGCAGATCATAGTGAATCTCGAAGTATTTTACCGACCTCAGTAGACCTCGATGTGGGCTCCCTTAGTATCACGGAGAACGTCCAGACGATATTCGAGCTCTTGCCATGTTCTGTGGAGCATGTCCGCTGGAATAGCCGGGATCGCATTCCTGACACGGGTCTTCAGGGCATCGAGTCCGTTAACTGGTGTTCGGAACGCACTGCTCTTGCCATAACCCCACATGAAAAAATCCAGTGGTTTTATGTATGGTGAGTGCGGAGGCCAAGGCACTGGACCATCTCTGCCGATCCATCTTCCTGTAAATGCCCTGTCTCCTGTGAGGTTATGGCAAGAGGAGTGCGTTCCGAACACCAGTTAACGGACTTGATGCCCTGAAGACCCGTGTCAGGAATGCGATCCCGGCTATTTCAGCGGACATGCTCCACAGAACATGGNTATATATATATATAAATAATATCTAAGACAAATTTTGTATTTTGAGGTACGAAAATGTATCATAAAAGTCATATTGTCCATGTCTGATAATTACCTAGACAGTTAAAATATGTATATTGTTACTTGTATGAGTGATTATAGACGGGTTTTGGATTGGTAATTTGATTTATTGAACATTTACAGGTCGTAACTACAAGTAACTATAGCGCTATCGCTAATTTACACAATCTACAATTAATTACAGCACGCATTATATCTTCTCAGTCTGCTGTATCTCCACCGGCTGTCGCTTAGTAACGGCCTTCAACACCGTAGCTTCCTCAGCTCCAGTTTTCATGCCCGTACTGGCCGGTGACCGTCTCACAACTAACTAATTTCTAGACTTGTCCTGCTTATAACACCTCGGCGCGGATCGCACAGAAAACACTGCTACCAACAGTTGTTCTATTTTGGCGTCATGTAGTTGACGCACGGTCCGCGTAGAGAACACTAATTTCGCAGTCGTTGCCTAGCAACGGGTCTATATGCCACAATATGGTTAACTGTATTTTTACAAATCTGCTACGGCAGAAGAACTGATATCTACAAAAACAGTAACACCAAGTACAGAAGCAATTAAAAGCGTCTCTAATTCCGAGGTCTGGGCTAACGAAAAAAAACCCGGCGATTAGGCATGAAAATAGGGTAAAGTTACTAAAATTCGATTGTGTTCTATGTTCTTTTAGAAAAACGGGACTGTGAGAGAGAGGCTTCGAGTGAAACGAGGAATAGAAAATATTACGGAGTTGGGGCGGGTCGTGGAATTCAAGGACCAGAGACTGCAGAATGCCTGGGACGGCGATAAATGCAATGAACTAAGAGGAACAGACTCCACGATATTTCCTCCCTTCCTCACGAAGAAAGATAAGATTGAAGGATTCCTCGCAGATCTGTGCAGGTATGTACGCATAATAACGCACCAAAGCATAGAATGTATAGAACCTACAACATAACTGCTCTAACTGTCGCCTTGTTTAATGAAAACAGATTAAAATACCAACCTCCTATCCAATGGGTATGGGGGCTGTTTCCCTTTGGGTAAATCGGCAGGAATGTGAAGCTCACCACTAACCCCATCTAGCCCATTGATCAAGACTGGAGGAGCTATACCTCCACTTCCCTACGTGACTTTTTGGGGTGGTGCTCAATTAAGCAAAGAGACAACTTTATCTGTTTTATCTTTTATTTCTATATGATGGGAAAAGTTGGGGAGTGAAAGTATAGCTCTACCATTCCTGACCTCGGCACTAAACAGATGTAAGCGATCAGATGCACGCTCTTGTGGCTTTACCCCAGTTAAGAGCACCGGTACCGTTGAATGCGAGGATAGGTGGGCTCCAGAGCCGGTCTTGACAGTGTGGAGAAGAGAAAAATTCCTTATCCCTGCCGGGTATCGAACCCCGGCCTTCCAGCCCTTATCCAGTCCATATTCAGCCTGAGCTTCCACGGCTCATTATCATATAGAAATAACAGCTTAGAATAAAACTGCAGATCGTAATGAACTCTACATTTGAGTCTATCGCCATTTTCTAAGAAAATCCGTGTTTAAACGCTAGAAATATCAATTCATCTTTGTGTAAGGTGGAGATGGTATAACTGGTAAATTCTACAGAAGGTTCAAGATGAAGTCTAGCTGGGTTCGAACTGTTTTACTCGCATGCATCTCCCCTCCAGGGCTGCAGTAGCTGAGTACCAGTATGCCACGACGTACAGTGGGATCCGGTCATACAAATACAGCGGCCACTTCGGCGACATCTCGGCTGACCCGGACCTCAAGTGCCACTGCACTACCCCATCTACTTGTCTCAAGAGAGGGGTTCACGACATCTCGCGCTGCACAGGTGAGAACTACTGCGCTTACTGCTTATATAGGTCCGCGTCATAGCTCAAGCTGTTAGTCTCTGGCTTCCCACCTCGGCGGCCCGGGTTCGATCCCATGTATGGTCAAGTGGGATTTTTGGTGGACAAAGTGGCTGTGAGGCAGGTTTTCTCCGAGTACTTCGGTTTCCCCTGCCAATCTTCATTCCACCAATTGCTTCATCATCACCCTCGCCTATCATCTGGGGCTGGTACAATAGGCCAGAATTGACCGCAGTACAAGGGACTTAGTCCCACCCCACTAGCAATAGAATAGAATAGTCCCACCCCACTAGCAATAGAATAGAACGGTCCCACACCACTAGCAATAGAAAAGAATAGTCCCACCCCACTAGCAATAAAAATAATGCTTGTATCACTTCACTACAGTCATGTCGAGTTTTTATTAGTTGTGTAAGACCTCAATGCTGTCCGCCACGAAATAGCATTGGCAGACAATTATATGTTGGTAAGATTCTTTGTCACTTATATGTTTAATTTAGGAAAACTATTCCAGTAGACATACTGGTGTGCACTGAACCCTACAAGTCTGCGATTGAATGTTTCGATCCTGGAACTGAAATTAAAATCCGATAACAATGCTACGTACAATCTTCACACAAGTTCGGACGTACTACGCCACACACCGGCTTGGCCAGGGGTTATTAAATTGTGGACAGACTGTAGTATTGCTGTTTCAGCAAACCGAACCAAATAACTTAGAATGTGGACGTGTAATTTGCAATTAACCTATCCAAATTTCCATCAGACTACCGTCTATTGTAACTACAAGTTTCTCGTGGTTCCACTCAGCACTTCTTGTTCAACACTTTTTCTCCTCAACTGCTGCTAAGAACAATCTGCAAGGTACGTTACGCTTCTTAATGAATGACTAGAGAAATCATGGACACATGACTCAAGCACAATTTCAGATAATGATGCCTTGAACAGGCTCACTAGAAGCTAGTTTGGTTTTTGTGGGCCTATCTGGAGTTGTGCCCAACACAGTGGTCGCGCGGTCTAACACATGAACTGTCTTTTATCGCTCAAACACTGGGATCGTGGGTTAGAATCCCTCTTGATGCATGGATATTGTGTGCATTTATTCTGTGTTAGTGCTGCCTTGTGTGCAGGCAGTAGCTTCGCGATGAGCTTATCCCCAATCCAAGGAATCCTACCGACTGTGTAAAAGGTTCAGAAACTGAAAAAGAGGACAAGGACCAACATAGGGCTCTAGAGCAATAGATAAATAGATAGAACTTAAACTCCATAGCATATAAGAGACATTTAAACATATTTCTGAAAACATATAGTCCCATCTATCACAAATATTAATGCTGAATAAGTCAGACGAAAGAGAGGATGAGTGTTGCAGACATTTCACAAAACGAGAATACTAAAATGGGATTCTGTAGCTCAAATATGGAATAGATACAAATATAGGCTTACGTAACATAATCGTTACATTGTAGAGAGATTGAGAGAAAGAGAGAGAGAGAGACATTTGTATCACGTGACATTAAGTCAATGAGTTGGGAGGGACGGCAGAGGAATTAGTCGTAATCGATGGCACATCTTGACCCGTTAAATGTGAGTCGTATCTCTGTGAATCGTATCTAGATTCACTATTTATTATCAATTAACAAAGAGATTTACGTATGAAACTATCTTCAGAGGGACGCCTTTATATTTAATGCTCCAAAATTAATTTACGCTTCAAGATACAGCTTCTAAATTTCCTTAAAGAATAGAAGAAAATCACGAAAAATTACAGAATATTTCCTGACATAGGTTTGATCTTAATATCATAAAATAGAGGCTTCCATTTAACGGGAATATATCTATTTAGTTATATCTATCTATCTACCTATCTATCTATCTATCTATCTATCTATGTATCTATCTATCCGTCTATCCATCTATCCTTCTATCCATCTATAAATCTGTCTATCTATCTATCTATGGCTCTACAGCCCTTTGTTGGATCATGGCCCCTTTTTTCAGTTTCTTGATTTTTTACTCAGTCGGTAAAACTCTTTGGGCGAGGGATAATCCCGTCGAAAGGCTGATACCTACACATAGGACAGCACAAACACAGAATAAACGCACACAGACATCCATGCCTAAAGTAGAGTTCAAACCCATGACCCCAGCTTTCGAGCGGGTGAAGGCAGTTCATGCCTTAGGCCGCGCGACCATTTTGCTCGGCATAACGGGGAACTAGGATATTCAAACACTACAAATTCCAAGTATCCGTGTACAATTGACACGTTCCTAGCTTATTTAACGACGCTTTTAAATTATGCAACTAAAATAGTGTAGATGATCATGAAATGTAAGTAAAATGTGTAAGGAGGCGGCATGGCCTTCTCTAAATGTACTATTTCAGCAACCGCCTGGAAGTGTTAAGAAAATCCTCGGTATATCTCAGTGATGATAACCAATAACTAGGTATAGATAGTCCGAACAGAAGTATATAAATTCTCTGTGACCCCAGTGGTGGTAGAATGAGCAATTTTCTGACAGAAATCTTTTGAAATGATGTACTGAGGACTTCATGATACGAGCATAACACAGTATTTCCGTCCAACAGGATATCCCATCGCCGTTTCGCTGCCTCACTTCTATCTCGCTGACGACGAATACCTGGACGGTGTTGTTGGCTTGAACCCTACACAGGAGAAGCACGAGGTCACTTTGCTCTTCGAACCGGTATGCAGACTGCTTCAAACCATGTGACTGTGTGTATGCAATGTTTGTAAGTTTCCAGCTGTAGGTTTAGCTCCCACAATTCTCTATCCAAATTCTTCAGAATAAAATGAGAAGAGCCATTCTGGTTGCAAACGTTGAAAAAGTAATCACTTGGAGAAAAATGGCGTCTTCCGGGATGTGGCACCTTGTAGATCTTGAATGAACCGACGTTTCGGAGCAACGTCGGTTCACATAGGATCTTCACGGTACCACATCCCAGAAGACGGTATTCTTCAACCTCTAAATTGATGAGAAATGGCCATCAGTATTCGTTATATAGATTCTACAATACTACAAGTATAATAGGACTTTTCGTTTATCTCCTTTCACATAAAGAAATAAAATAATGTACCATACAAACACAAATAATAATAAAATACAGGGCTACTTTAAATGATTCATTCGTTTTTAACACGCCATATTTTCCAAAGCATTATACACACAAATATGATTCTATATAAAATGAACCATAAACTCACCAAGTTTTCTTCACACTCTACAAATGTTCTATGTGTGCCCCTTTGGTCACACGACACACGTCCAGGCAGTAGTCGAGCTCGTTGCACACATTTTGTAGCATCATTTTGTCAATGGTCATCACTGCAGCATCGATGCGTTCCCTCAGCTCTACTAGTGTTCTTGGCAGTGGGGGTATGTAAACACGATCCTTAATGTACCCCCAAAGGAAGAAGTCACAAAGCGTTAGATCAGGTGAGGGGGGGGGGGGCAAGTGAACAGAGCTACGTCATCCTCACCAACATGCCCAATCCAGCGTGTCCTTAAATTGTCGATACCACCGCAAAATGCTTTGTTTACATGGCGGTTTTTACCGTATTCTCTTTTCAATGCGCCTTGCACTGCTATAACAGACGAACTTCTCGCATATTCCAACAAACAAAAACTCTTTTCTTGCTTTCTCGCCATTTTGCAAAGGCACTGACCTCGTGCTACCAGCTGGTGTATATAATACAAACTTGGTGAGTTTCCGGTTCTTTTTATATATTAATCATATTTGTATGTGCAATACTTTGGAAAATATAGCGTTTTTAAAACGAATGAATCATTTATTGTGCCTTGTATATTAAGAGCACATATGGAATTAATAAGCGAGTGCTTGAAATTCCTTCACGGAGAACATGAGACAGAGTAAATAACTTAACCCTGTGCCTAAGCACCACTTCGTATGAAAAGCACGAAATAGTCTGGAGTTCAAACTGTTCACAATCTAGATCTTTGCAGCATCACACTCCGGCTGCTTTGCAACGCTCTGTCACAATATCTGTTAGATTGGAGACCAGTGGGTCTCAATATTTCTGTCCCTACCGGAAACGGAAATCTGGCCGTGCAGCCCACAGCCAGTTTATTCACTGACTGAGTTGTTATCATGAAACATTCTGGTGCGACTCGATCACGCGTCTCCCCGTGTTCCAGCTGACGGCTACACCGCTCGAGGCCTACAAGAGACTTCAACTGAACATTGCTCTACATCGCACTGACGGCATCGACCTTCTTAAGAATGTCAAATCAACGCTTCTCCCCATCTTGTGGATGCAGGAGGTAGTGTATTCCATTGAAAACATAATCGTTTCTGTCCTCAACAGTAAAACAATGTCCGATGTTCTTAAGTACAGCGTTCCATTTCGATTCTGAGAGGTCCTGATGATGGTGTACAACACTCAGGACTTAAGACTTTGTCCATTGTCTGATACCCTAAGGAAACTAGTTCTCTTTCTGTCCTGAGGTCAAAAGGTGGGGAGACCACTGCTTTAGGGTTCGTTAGAATAAGTTCACCTCAAATACTGGGCAAGGTTTAGCCATTTCTAATGGAACCTACAGAGTAGGTGCCTGCAACCATTTCACGCGAGGACGGAAACAGATACAGTTTCTGAATCTCTGTGTTCCTTACTATAACAATGGAAAGAGCCCCCGAGAACTGGAGACTAACTATTGGTTCTAATGCTTACATACATTACGTAATATAAATACCTTTCGAGACTTTAGGACAAAAGAAATAATTGGTGTAAACCTGTCGAAATAGATGAGAAAACCTTAACGAGCATTTTTATACACCACATGCAACAAAGCATATGGAAAACTTATCCTAATAGGTGCGATTTTAGCAGGGGCGGAAAAGACCATTACACATAATTCTTAAGTACTGAATATTAATCAAATTAATTCTAAATAATTAGAGAATTGTAACAAGAAACACGGTAATCATTCGAAATATCTCTCACACACCTTATTAGCCTCTCGGCACAGCGCCGTCTTCACCCTATATTCCCTCCCTTCCATGTGTCAAAATGTGGGAACATCTTCCTACTCTCTTGTTCGTGACAAGTCTGGAAAATGTCTACTTATTTATTTTTATTTTTATAATTCTGACATTATGACCACCACGGCTATATCTGAAATAAATCTAATGAAAAGCTGCTGGTAATAAATGCGTTTTTGTGCGTACTTAGGATGATCCAGCTAGAGCTTACACGTACATAAAGAAAAAAACGGACAACAGCATGTACAGAGAGATCTCATGCTTAAAAGCGATAGTTAAGGGACCACTGGATCGCCTTCTAACTTCGATATTAAGAAAGTAATTCTCTTCATATTTTGCATCCTGTTGTGTCATAAATAAGATATATAAAGCACAGAATATATAGAATTATCTTTACTTCTGCAATTTAAATACAATTTTTATCTAAGGGTTTTAGCTTAAATTTCACCCAAGATTTGTTATAAATTTACATTCGAATTTAACTTCAAGATACAATAAGGATCCTTATCCGATGCATAAAATTACAATTGGAACTCAACAGCTCAGACTGGTGCACTGTAAGCCTGATGATGACCCGTGAAAGGGTCGAAATATGTTGCGGCTCTAATAAACATAATAAAAGCAAATGTTGATGCAGTAGTGTCTTCTTTGTTTTGAATACTGAAAGTAATTCTCGTTTCAGAATATGGAGCTTCATCAGGAATACGTAAATAAGATCTTGGATCTGTTCCTCATCATCAGCATCATGGGAGCCATGAAGTGGATTATGATAGCCTCCGGAGGAATCCTAACTGCCACTGGCTTCTTCTTCATTATGCATAAGAAGAATGACGGGACAGTGATCACAGGTTCCCCGCCCATAGCCCTCAAATCTACAGGGAAACCGGCCACTGAAAAATAGTGCTTGAGTGAACATGACGTTGTGATACCACTAATCGTGATTCTTTCAACAGTTGTAGTCCGTGGCTGTTACACCTACAGGAACACAACGATCCATCGCACTACCGTTTAGCACCGTCCGTCTCAGAACAGCCTTGTCCGAGAGTCACGTATTGGCCAGACACGTTGCAAGTTGTATGATTAGCTTACGGGTTCTGTTGCACTAGCATGATGATTCCAGCTGCACAGCGTACTAATGTAAAGTGTGATCGCTTGGATCTTCTGATGATACGGTTCGCCATCTGAAGCTACGAGGTTTGTCAACAACAGGACATTCTTCAGACCGCTCTGCAGGTTCCTTCGTCACAGACAGGCAGTGTCAGGGATCATCAAATACCGGTAGAACCATAGTCTGTGACACTTATTTTAGCTGTCGTATGTGTATTTCAATGCTGCCCGAATTTCTTAAGGGACAGGAGGAATATATGAGTATTTGTTGCAATTCGTTTCGTGGAGCCTAGCTGAATACCGTAATTACTGAAGTATTGCGCGTGCGTGGAGAGTCCGGTGTAGGACAAATTTATCTACAGCAATCCAATCAGGCTGATCACTGAACTCTTGTGTTTGTTTTGATTTTTGTATGGACAAGAGCCATGAGACCATAAGGAAAGGTTTAATCCCTTAGAGAGAAGTCTGTCGGGAAATATCTCTGGTTTCTCAGTTAAAACATGGATGTCCTTTTTTTTTGTATAATCAATAAAATACCCAATATTATGTGTCAATATGTACCTTCTGACAGTGAATTTAGCTAATGCCTGACAGCTCAATCAAGGCAGGCACAAATGTTTTCGAGTATGATTGCACCTGGTCGACACATAATATCAGGATTACATTTAATAATATTCCAAGTGGCTATTTCAACATATGCTTCCCTGTCCGCTTAAAGATATGAGCATGAAACTTCTGTATGTAGTATCAAATTTTGAAAATAGATCAGAAATACCTCTTTAAAGCACTTGCCTCTATCTTATGAGTTTATTTTCAGTCACGTTTAAGAAACAAAGATATTTCATAATGGAATATAAAAACAAAACCTCGCATTACTTTTTTGAACATATTTGACAGTGATGATCTATGGCCTTTTGCATTTGTTTTCAGAAACAGATTTTATTTTGTGTATGAACGTAAAACGTGGTTCTTCCGGTCACTGAGAGAGCTGTTTGCTTCAGCCGTTTATGCATATAATCTCTTCTACAATTAATTTAGTCGAATGTGAAAAAGAAAATCTTGAACTATACAACTGCAATAAATAAGAGTTACTCGAAATTTGTAACCTTTCACATTTTGTCCGTCCTGGGAGAATTTGAAGATTGACATATTATCAGGTTTTCAGTTGCATGCATCTGCTTCATTACTTGAGTTACTGGGGGAAAAGCTCGTTGAAATCAAAAGAGGAATGTTTTACTTCGTACCATAATTCCTCACTAGGTTTCTTCCTTTCCTTATCTATTTTCGTTTTTTTTTCCTTTCACTTTTGTCTTCTTAAAATGGTAAATTATATTACATTTTACTCTTCAGATGTAACAGTTTCGAACATACAACACCAGAAAAACCGTTACGATGTGAGAAAGACATAACATAAGAACACTGATTACGCATATAAACTGTTATGAACCGAGAGAAATGTTTCTGATATATATAATAGTTTGAGTATGGATACAAAACCACTTAATTAGATACTTCTATTAAAATCGGATCAGGCCAAAAAATCATTTCAATCTGATCTTGAAAACGGTTGGGAGTTTCAGATAAAAAAATGGTTTACGTCAAAACTTAACTAAAATGGAAAGTTCACTTTCATAAAATATTAAAAAAATACACACAATTTATCCCTTTCGAATTAAAGAGTTGCTCTAAGAGTAATGTTATTGAACTCTGCAGAGGCAGGAGGAGGGCTACAGGTATGAATAGAGCGGTTCTTTTATCGATATCTTGGGGTTACTGGCCGTGTGTGAAGCGAAGAAATGCTGAAACTTGTAAATATTTAGTGCCGTTCCTCTGCCGGGTATATTCTTCAGTTCTTTCACCCACGAAACTCTCAGATTCAGTTGTATTCTGCCATTCAAACATCGGCGTCTTCGCGTTGTTCACTGTGGGCACAAATGTACAAGACTGAAGGTGATAGTGAGGGATTATATTCTATACAAACACAATCTTAACACAATGAGTGAGTAGAAACATGGATACAGTATAGTGTGTGTGTGTGTGTGTGTGTGTGTGTGTGGTCCTTTGAAGGGCATTTCACTGTGAATTTGTGAACCTAAGTGGTCATAGCCTACTAAAAACAATTTTCTATAATGTGAAACACAGAACCTTTAACGGCCGTAAACAACAGTGTAGGCGCTTTGTCTGAGGGCAGAAAAATAATCTAGCCTCCGAAACGTCGTTTTAAATATAAATTAGGAGAATGGATAATATCAAGAAAATTAATTATTTTTCTATACACACGTTCATTCTTCTAACCCTGAACCGATTTGCTCATCAATTGATCCGTCAATCAATGAACGTCGTACAGTCCGGTATAGATTCACTGGCGTTTCGAAGGAACGTACTGCCTCCATTCTCAGAGTCGAAAAATAAGCCAAGCGAGCAAGAATCAAAATGACTTTACTTACAGCATGCTTACTCAGTTTACCCTTTTGCTCTGAAGAGTGAGATAGTATTCCTCCGAAACATAGGTAAACTTCGGCACCAGACTAAACGGCGTTACATCTCAGCGGATATCACTTTTCATAGTCACTGCTGTGAGAACGTCGAATTTTACTCTAGTAGCGATTTCGAACTGTGAACTGGAATCACCTCACATGAACAGAAATTGCTAGTACATGTCTGTGTTGCATGTAGCCTAATGTTAGTTTCATCTCAGTCGGTCCTACAAATTCTTTCACGAACTCAGTCGATGATCATTGCACACAGATCTGTCCATTTTTTCTCTTATTCATTAGTTTGACTGAAAATTTGTCTTCTGAATGTTCACCTTAATTAGTGAAGACATGCAATGGATGGGCGATTTATGTAGCCTGAATTCAAGCCAAAGTCCGAATGTTCAACAGTAGTAAAGACTGCATTCCATGAATTAATTTTGCTGACCAGGATCCTACGTAAGAGACTAACAATCAGTATTCCTGTCTTCTTAAATATAACGCCTTGTAATCCGTAAAAGTCGACCGACGTTTCGGAGGAATATGTCGCCTACATGACTTTGTGTCGTGTCTGTTTCATGCTGGCTTTTTGCTTAGTTTACCCTTCAAACCTGAAGATGGAGGCAATAATTTCCTCCGAAACATCAGTCGACTTTTAGGGACTACATGGCACTATTTCCTAGACAATAGAACTCCTCATAAGTACCGCTGTGAGAACCTCAAATCCTAGAAAGTTAATATCACCTGGGAAATCTAAATATTCCACGTTCTTTATTGGTTTCGGAGGTTCACTGTCGTGTTCACAACAGTCCGATGCTGGTCTCTGACCTAAGCCACATGAATTCATGTACGATTTGAGATTCTGAAAGCGGTAGTTATGAAGAGGTATATTTTCTGGGATACACCGTCGCGCGGTCCATTGGTAATCAAAAGAAGTTTCGTAGGAATATGTCTCCTTCAAGCACGGCTCTGCTTCCTACCTGTTTCATGCTGGTTTCTTGCTTGGCTTATTCTTCGACCCTAAAGATGGAAGCGACATCTTCTGCAACGCTGGTTGACATTCAACAGACTATATGGCGAGACATACCAGGAGACGGAACTCCTCGTACGAATTCAGTCCATAACCTCCTATCCTCTTTTTTAATATTCGTTTTAATATTATCATCTACTCTATGCCTAAGTTTCTAAAATATTCTCTACTCTTCAGACTTTTCGACTAAATTTCTGTGAGCATTTCTCATCTGTCTTTTAAGTGCTATATGCTAGACCAATAATCATTTTCATCTTATTTTCTCAGTAATATCGAGAGAAGAGAATTAACTACGAGCTCCACAATACGCAGCTTTCTGCAGAACCAGATTATTTGGCCTCCTTCAGGTTCAAACACTTCAGACACGCTCAAGCAAGTTTAAATTTCCTGCCTTTCAATTAACATTGTAATTTATTTCTGCCGGTAACGCAACCAGCCCTTGAAGAAAATTTTACAAATTTCTTCGACATGATCATCAAGAATGCAAATTATCGAGGCGAATGATACTGTCTGGAATTCTTTGCTTGACGCCATACTTCTGAAAGTCGATTTAAAGATATCGATCTTTATCGAGGCGCCGACGTGCCCTGGAAAAGCTAAGCGAATACAGTTTTCTACTTACATTTCAGTGTTACGTCACGAAAGACTGTTAAAAGTTGTTCATGCCTCAACTTCGGTGGGGGAAGCCAGTTCAGCGATGCTACGATTTACAGCAAACTAACAAATAGAACGTTCACGTTGTTACCACCTAGTGATTGTTTTTACTCAGTCACTCAGTCACCCATGATAAGACAATTTTAACAAAAGATCCTTTAATGTTTCGTTGGAGTTCCTGTTTTACTCACCAGAATCCTCGTTCATTAACAGAGAAGCTGGGAAATTTCGATTCGTCACCAATATAATCTACGTCCGGAGTAGACTGAAGACTGGACGTAAGAAAACTAAATTATGCAGTTTCTATGTGGACTATAATAACATTTACGAGTTATATGAAATCAAAACAATGAATATACTAAGTACTTTTTCTACAATTAAGAAATTAATCTCATCAATGTTACGTAATATGTTCCAGCATTGTTCTAATACTACAACGTTTCTCCATTCTTTCTAATTCCCGAAACTTTCCCCATTCTCTTATGTTTATAACTAAGCAACTCGCCTATCTTCAATCATAATTTACAAAATTAAGTATTCCATTGTTAGCTCAGTTCTGGTGGTCACTCCGTAATATCAAAAGCCCATAGCTCATCAGTTTTACTTCGGACTGGACCCCTTCAATTTTGCAGTCGCTCCACAAACGTCTCGAGAGCATGATCTATCAAGCTCGCTCGAGACTGCAATTACTCCCATTTCACATGCTAATACTATGACGAATTGAGAGTGTTAACTTATAATTAGGTAGGTGTAGTTGAGCAGATTGGTCTTATTCAAGTTACAGCAATCGGATGATTTGTACAGCCCGCGACATTGCATGTCTAGGTGCCTATATCAATATTTCTAGCAATAAAATATTTTCAGGATATTAACTTGTATTTTACATATATCAATTTGAAAGTCATTAGTAAAACAGAGAAAATGTTGAGTTTAGATTCGATTCATGATGGTCAATTTTTCCTTGCGGATTAACAACACAAAAAGCAAAATAAATTCATTCTCCATAAATAAACTTGCTATATTTCCTTGGTATTCTTGAGGATAAAAGTACTTAAGTGTGTAATTCAATTTCCCAATCCGAGTTCATCTCCCTCAATATACCTCTCTAGAATGAAATCATTTCAAGAGGTTATTTTATATTTTAAAACGTGACTGCAGGCCCGGTACATTCCATGTCATTATGAATATACGAAATTGAAGGCGTTGTTATATGAATTTTTTGCTTAAATTTATTATTTCGGAAAAATAGCAGACGATATTTTATTTATTTTCAAGGACGTAATTTCAGAATATTACGATCATAATTAATTCAATCCAATTATTTTTTAATTTATATTCTTAATCAGCAGCTCAGATAACAATTATAAAATAAGCAGGAGCAAAGCGAAAAAACTAACAAACAAAAAGAAAGAGACAACGTGTGTCATTTAGATAATAACCATTCAATTAGCGCAGTCATGCCAACCGCGATGTGGTGAGAAGTATAAATGTACCCTAACCCTCGGAACGAATTCTCCATGTAAGTTTGGGACATACTCTTTTCTGTATTCATTATTTGATGCACCATCCTTGTAATCCTAAGAGCAAATGATTAAGCTATATGAAATAGAATTGTTTGGTTTGTTAAAATATATGCCAATATGTTGCAAGGACTTCAGATAAATAAATGGTACGAAAGAACATGGGTTTCTGCAGGCTTTTTGTGTGACTCCTCTGTCGTTCTCGACCAACATCACAGCAACTGGACAGCAGAACATGACAACAAGCAATGCAATATTCTAAGTTTAGGCTGCCCCTTTTAAAATGATTCAATTAATATAAAATGACTTAGTTTTATTAATTAACTAACTCTCTGTCTACATTTCTTTGATATTAACTGAAGACTTTAATGACGTGTAGAAATAAATTGTTTTCAGGAACATAATGATAAGTAAAATGAAATTGTAAACAATTTAGATCTATTTACTGAGATAGGTATGGTTAGTTATGGCAAGTAAATACACTCTTCTTTCATTATCACCCTTTTTCTGATAGTTTCGTTTCAGAATCTTACCCCGAAACGTCTTCTCCTCTCAGGAATCATCATCATCATCCTTGGAGCAGTTTTGGGGTGGTACGGTTTCCCAGAACTAATTCACTCACAGATTGCGTCGGTAAGATAAAACTTCTTAGAGAAGGTTGGTTAAATATAAACACAGTGACGACTATTGATGTAGGTGTCTCCTACTTCAACGCACAAATCTCTGCACGTTTTGGGGTTCATAGGATTCTTAGAGTAAACGGTATTCTAAGTATTACTAGCCAACTAATCTGCGTGTTAGACGTACAGTGTGTCGTATGACAGTTAATACATTACTCTGAAATATTATATAGATGAAATTCATGTTTCAAAACATTAACATTCACTACTAAATGCATTTTTACAAGAAAGGATAATATATCGACAATCAGTAATGCACATTTCTCGCGCTCTGAGTTTAAAACACATGTTAATGTCTCTTGCTTTCCAATTTATTTACCAATTTATTGCCAGCGTATTCTGGAGGACCTCCTATCGGGGTATCTCATATGTTAAACTGAAATTTTTAAGCCATTTCCGATTAAGCCATTCTCCAAAAGAGTTTCTGAAGAGATGTATTTTGCACCCAAAGTACGAGTATGTAATTTGTATAGGAAAGCAATCTTCAGTACAGATTTTACTCTGTGAGTAGTATCTGTGTCTACAGCGCTACCTCTAGGCCACTACTTCGGTGACAGAAGTGAATGTTTACATTTTTATTACAAGTTTGTAAGTGTTCAAGCATCACTATTATAAAGTAGATTCTAAAGGCTTCTGACATGGTGTATACACCCGGAATTACAGATTCTTTTACTTTGTCTATCGTCTGGTATCCTAAAAACATAACATTTCGCAAACTGGATCTGTTTCCGTCCTCAGACACCCACTCTGTCGGGTCCCTTAGAAAGATCTAACCCAAAACACTGGACAACCTATGTGTACGCATTATAAATATTTTCATTGTGAAATTTCTCGTTGTTTTCCATTGACAGAGCCTAATCTCAGGTGTACGTGTAGTTGTAGATATCCTGACTCAGGTCTTCCAGTGATGGAGGTCAGACCGTTTTAACGGACCCAAGAGAGGCGGTGTCTCCCTCCACCTTCACCTGTGGACGGAAACAGAGCACGTTTACAAAACGTTATGTCCTTTTGAATACCGAACGATGGACAAAGCCCAGAAACCTAGTAATCCCTATCATTTTATTGATATTTGCAGTATATGCTTGCTCTATGTTATTACTAGAACTCTGTATTCAATTAGGTAATTTTAAATTTACTAGTGTAGTACATGACATAATTTAATTTCAGAGCATCTGCTTGAAACCAGGATCCGAAATACGAGAAATGTGGTCGAACTTTCCCGATCCCGTAGGGTTTAAAGTGTACCTTTTTAACGTAACAAATCCAGCGGAAATCCAGAAGGGAGAGAGACCTGCCCTGAGGGAAGTGGGGCCCTATGTTTATGAGTAAGTGCATGAAGTGTGCTTAGCAAACGGGACGCTACTCTTCATTATTTTTCTCTGTGTGGACATAATTGTACACAGTCACTGGTGGACTCCTGTTCAGCGGATAATAAACTCCAGGGTCAATAAAAGGAGGGAAATTTGTCGACCTGCTGAGCGATTTAATATTTTAAAATAATTCTGTCAATTGTGTCTGTGTCTTAAGATATAAACTCAAGTGACAAAAGTCATGGGATAGCAGTATGTAAATTTATTTTTAAGTGGCGCCACCGTCCCTTGACGGCTTGGAAATGCCCAGAGCAGTATCAGTTGTGAGGTGTTCTCTCGTGAGTCAGGTTGAACACCGGCCAGTCTGCTCATGGCAAGCCGACGTGAATTATCGGAGTTTGAACGGGACATGATAGTGGGTGCCAGGCGGATGGGATATTCCATTTCCGAAGTTGTGCAGTCATTTAACATTCCTCGATCCACGGTGTCACGTGTGTACCGGGAATACCTTGTGGAAGGCATTTCCACCCACCGTGGACAGCTCAGTGGCCGACCACGGGTGCTTAATAATCGTGACCAGCGGCGTCTAGCTAGAACTGTCCTTGCTAACAAACAAGCGACACTGGCTGAAATCACATCCACATTCAATGCAGGAGGTACCAGACGCGTATCCAGCAGGTCAGTGCAGCGTTCGTTAGCTTCCATGGGATATGGGAGCAGAAGACCGACCAGAGTGCCTCTGTTAACACCACGACACCGGACACAGCGCCTCACCTGGTCTTGTGACGTCGCTAATTGGACCCTGGATGATTGGCAACATGTGGCGTGGTCCGATGAGTCACGGTACCAGTTGTTTCGGGCGGATGGTAGGGTTCGGGTATGGCGCAGACCCCATGAGGCCATGAACCCCAGTTGTCAACAAGGCACCGTGCAGGCTGGTGGTGATTCCATACTGGTGTGGGGTGTGTTCACGTGGTATGAGTTGGGTCCGCTCGTCCACCTAAACACGTCATTGACCGGTGACGGCTACGTTACACTGCTTGGTGACCATTTGCAGCCCTTCATGGACTTCATGTACCCCCACAACGATGGGGTATTCCAGCAGACAATACACCGTGTCATCGGGCCGGAGTTGTCCACAATTGGTTCGAGGAGCATTCTGGAGAGTTCCGACGAATGGTGTGGCCACCACGTTCGCCCGACATGAACCCAATCGAGCATTTATGGGACGTGGTGGAGAGGTCCATTCGCACCCAAAATCCTGCACCTACAAATACCAGGGAGCTGTGGGCGGCTATCCAGACGGCATGGCTCAACATCTCTCCAGAGGTCTTCCGTCCACTTGTGGAATCGATGTGACGTCGAGTTGCTGCACTTCGCCGGGCTAGAGGGGATCTTACACGATATTAGGTACCTATCCCATGACTTCTGGTACTTTCCATGTTTAATGATATTGATCACGTAAAATTTGAACCGTTTCCAGTTTATAATTTTTAATTCCATACAATCCATAATGAAATACGTCAATCGTGCGAACTTCTTAATTAGGGTATTACTAATACTTTCAGTAGCAGCAGAGACCTGGTATTCTGTACTATGATACGTAGAAGAGAAACACGTGTTCTCTTCAGGCGCTGTTTTCTCCGCGACGTGACATAAAACGACTTTCCTCTTTGCCTACACTAACTGGTGAAATATTGCAAGCAGCGATGTGAAATTTGGAACGACGTTATGCCCTGATATTGCATGATATGTATATATAAAACAAAATAAATTCCGTGGCTTGAGTCCACAAGCGAACTATATCGACCCAGCAACCGCCGCTTGTCGGTGAAGTTAGTGCCAACTTTAGCAGATTGAGGGTGTTGCGTGGTCAGCGCAACGAATCCCCACGGCCGTTAATTTCGTCTTTCAAGACCGGAGCCGCTATTTCCTTGAAATAGCTCCTCAATTATCCACACGAGGCTGAGTGTAACCCGTTCCAGATTCACTACTTCTCAGAAAATCTTTTAGCTCCGGGAATCGAACTCGGACCTCTGGATCTGTAGGCAGAAACTCTGACTACTAGACCACAGGCGGTTCAGGATATAGATATATATATATATATATATATATATATATATATATATATGGAATTAAAAGTTACTAACACGACCACTATGTAAATGTACCAGCTCTCAAATACGAGTATGTTTTTTGTTGCTTTAAATTCTGCATTCATAATCTGGTAAAGGTTACAAATTAACTATTACGCAGAATACTGGTTTATTTCTAATACTGTTCATTGTTCTACACAGTCCGTCAAAAATGCAACAGATTGTTCTTTCTTTCACTTTCACTTTCGACACAACCTGTTTCGGCCCTAACTGGCCATCTTTAGGTGTCTTACTATTCTTAAACTCCTGAAGATGGACATTTAGGGCCGAAACATGTTGTTGAATGTGAGAGTGAAAGAAAGAAGGAACAATTTGTTGCATTGTTGACGGACTGTGTAATACATAAACAGTTTTAGATTTATTAATTCAACAGGATGCTTATACGTAAATACAGGTTAACGGTTTATTTCCGTAGACAATATTTGCTGAGTTATATACTTGTACATTGTTTCTAAACATATTTTCACTTGCATAAGTATGACTATAGACGGGGTTTGGATTGGTAATAGGATTTGTTGGACTCTTTTAACATATAAACTTGTGACTGAAATTTAAATATCACTGTCACACAGAGACTAGTATTTTCAATCTCGGTCTTCACTGCCGTTTCTATGTAAAGGCTTCCAAAGGGGTAAGTTCCCCTTCCTGTGGGTTCCCGAACTGTTCCCGGTCTCAGCTACCAGCTTTTCACAGCAACAGCTCACAATGGCTGAACCGCAGCAATTGTCTGACTGACTCTCTCACAAACCAATTCAACTCAACTCAACTCTACCCGTCTCAACTGAAGTGGCTCTCACTAACTGTCCTGCTTATAATATCTGAGCATGAACCACACAGAAAACGCTGTTCCTCTGTTGCTGTTTGCTGGCCCTTTCCTAATAACAGCCGTTGTCTAGGCGTTTGATTCACTGTCGTTTTCTAGCAACGGGTCTATACGGCACAATATTTACTCTTTATTTCAACATTTAGACCTAAGTTAATTTTTATATTACTCCACTGAATACAAATTGAACAAATTCTTGCCGACTTATTGTAGCTTCTATTCCAAATTGTGCGGTGTGTATAAAATACATTAACTGTTAGAATTAATTCTGTAGTACTAACATGCTGTAACAAGGATGCCCAAAAGTAAAATTACAATTTTATTTCAGTTAAACCTTTCATATTTCTATGGATTAAATTTCCTTTATTTTAATTTCGGCTTCTCTTGTATATTGTAACACAGTCACCCTCAAGACAAATTTCGAATGCATGAACCTGTAAATAAAACTGTAGCTTTTCTTGCGGGCAACTCAGAATGTGACTAAAAAAAGGTGCACTAAAATAAATTTCACATATACCTCTACAGAAATTCAGTAAGCCTGGAAATTGAGAACATGGAAATTCTATATCAGTATTTAGCAAATTGGAACTCCATTGCAGTGAGTATAAGCACAAGGCGGAGCTTCTGGACCATGAGGAAGACGATAGCATATCTTTCAATAACCGAGACACATGGTTCTTCAACAGGCAGCAATCCGGACAGCTGACTGGAGACGAAATTATCACCATTCCTCATCTACTTATTTTGGTAAACATTTTTTATTTGAAAAGTACAGTCTTCTGGGTAGTAACACTGTGTAGTTGGGCATAAGTATATCGGCGTGCTGTTTTCTTTCTTGGCTTACTCTTCAACCTGAAGATGAATGCGACACGTTCCTCCGAAACGTCGGTGGATTTCCACCAAACTACACGACGTTACAAACCAGAAGATTGCAGTCCTCATAGTCACTGGTCTCAAAACTTCAGATTCAACTGTTTATTGTGTGGTTTACTGTATGTCGGTTGATCCAGCTGACACATCAGGAATCGTGGAACGTTGGCGATACAGTAACTGACATGAAAACATCGGACTTAAAGACTCTACTACAAGTTCCACTTTCCTTGAAGTCAGGCCTTGGCCCCTGGGCGGGAAGTCTGCAACTGAGAACATGAGCAGTATTGCAAAATCTCCGCTATAATTTCCATGAAGGGCTGTGTTCTGTGGAGTTAATTAGTTAATGCATATGCCTTATGAGGTGACATAGGAATAGAAGTAAGAAACTTTCATTCAAGTTACTACTGACTAAATACCGTTATAAATCAATTCTGTTCCCTTGAAATACAACTGAGGGATAGTGAATTTACTACATACAGCGGCATAGTGGCTAAATGCTGGAATAGTAAAGCCTGTTTACAGGTCGTTGCCTAGTAACGACAGCCTCATTTCTCTCTCCACTGTTCTGGCTTCTAGCTATTATGTCACAGTAATTAGAAACGGACGCCTGTCATCACAAGAGTGGAAGGTTTTCTCCGAGTTTCGGTATTAAATATCTACTGTGGTCCTTTGGCTGATCTATGCGCTGTTGCGTTAAAAGGTTTTACTTCCTGTGGGATCCTCATTTGTCATGGGTTCTAATGCAAAACGCTCCGTGTCAACAATACCGACATGGCTACCGTGTGAACTTGCATAAACAATTAATACCACAGCTCATAAATACATATTACTTGACATGTTAACTTAACTTGTTGTGAACTTACGTACTAATGGTCTTTGTGGCAATAACACATTACTTTGATATAAAACTTGCCGTCTGAATTGTCTAGGGCATGGTGCTGTCAGCAGAAAGAGATATGGCGGTCATGCTACCCGCCATCACCCGGGCGATCCCAATGATCTTCGGTACGCAGGACTCCATGTTCCTCACAGCTACTGCCAAAGACATTCTCTTTGATGGCGTCCTTATCAACTGCACTTTGAAGGACTTCACTGCTAAGGCACTCTGCATGCTGATGAAAACACAAGGCAAGGACTTCCAGAAAGTGGGAAAGAACGCCTTCAAATTCTCCTTCTTTGGTGTCGTAAGTACCATGCCATTTCGGCTTTTATGTCGTCATACTAATAATACAATAATACGTCATTGCTCTAATAATGAATTTCATATTCGTAATCATCATTAGATAACAATGGAAGGAACGATCAATAATTCATTCAATTCTTTGTTATTTATGTGCCGAGTCAGTAGTCACAAGGACAGTTACAGACACATCACAGTGTAGATAAAAGCAGTTACATACTGGACAAATATAACATAAAGTCAAATAATAATAATAATAAATTATGTGAACAAATAACCGCATACTTCCCTTTCATACGACAAGGACTGCATACAAAACGAACCTGTTGTTCGTATATTCGTTGCCGCGATAACTTTTTTACTGAGTCGTTGCCTAGCAATGATCGAGGGATGTACGTACAGACACACAAACTGATGGAAGGGATTTATGAAGCATGCCGTTGAGGCGGGCTCAGTTTCATACAGATTGCTCCAGCCATTCAAAGTTTGTTATGGGGGGTTACATAGACACACAGACAGCATGGTGGTTGCATAAGATTACTTTTATTTTTCCCAAATAAGAAAAGTGCGCTAAAATCAATAATAATAATAAAAATAATAATTGTTTTAGTGATATTAGTAAAATAACGTGGCAAGTGTAAAATATTCGGGAATGAAAGAAACAAATGAATGTTACATTAAAAAGAATCTGGAACTGCTTTCAATTATTCAAATCCGAACGCTTTGTCTGCTGGTCTCCAAGAGAAGAACGCAGAGATTACAACACAGGAAGTTAGAATTTTCATGCTGCTTTGCATGGGTACAAAACAGGTGCCAGAGGAAAATATATGGACTGAAATGGAAGAAAATTTCATGAGGCTGGAGAAAAAGTTTGTAATGAAGAGCTTCATAAGTTGCGCTTTTCATAAAATATTATTACGGAAATGGAATTGAGGATGGTAAGATGGACGGGGCACATAGCACAAATTTTACTCCGCAGCCTGAAGGGAAGGAACTAGTTGGAAAACCAAGGTGTAGAGAAGAGAACACCATCAAAACCGATCTAAGATAAACATCAAATGAATCTTAGGGATTCATAAAAGTTGACGATTTTTTCTGTTAGATGGCTATTATTATTATGCCAAGACGGATTTTGCCTTATGGAGTAGTTAGTAAGTTGACAGTTATTTTTCATTCATTCAGTCAGTGAACCAGTTAGTTAGTTAGTTAGTTAGTTAGTTGGGCTGTTTATTTGTTTGTTAGCTTATGATGGAGAGATAACTGACAGGATCTTAAACGAAACTATCTAAGTTTCAATTTCTTTCATGTAGTATAAAAAATTTTTCATGCCGTCATCAGTGATTTTCAAATTTCTTTTCCTGTCTGTCTGCATTCCACTAACATAATTTACACCTATGATTCAGTACATATTTTCCAGATGTATACATTCTGAGCTTTATACAGAATTTCATAATTATGTGGAATAGAAAATTAAAAGCACACACAGAATAAATTACTTTTCCGGAGTAGTCCCAGGATATGTTTGTGTTTAAACTGCAGAAAAATGGGACTCTCCAAGAACGCCTGCGCCTGAAACGTGGCATCCAGAACGTGGCGGATGTTGGTCGCGTCGTGGCCTACAAGGAGCAGCCGAGAATGTCAGTGTGGAGTGGCCCCAAGTGCAATGAGTTTTCTGGGACGGACGGCAGCATCTTCCCGCCTTTTCTTCAGGACGGCGTATCTGTACGCGCTTACGCACCTGATTTGTGCAGGCAGGTCTTGAATTGTGGAAATACTTCATGAAGCCATATTTTTTTCAGGACGGATGTCCGATACATCGACACCCGGGTGTCTTGGCAAGTGGGCGAATGTCCGATATATCGACACCCGAGTGACTCGGAAAGTTTCCGAATATCCTATAAATCGACACCCGAGTGACATTGCAAGTGGGCGAATGTCCGATATATCGACACCCGAGTGACTCGGAAAGTTTCCGAATATCCTATAAATCGATACCCGAGTGACATTGCAAGTGGGTGAATGTCCGATACATCGACACCCGGGTGTCTTGGCAAGTGGCCGAATGTCCGATATATCGACAGTCCCAGATCTTCTTTCTGAGGAGCCCTTCTGGCGCTTTGTGTATGTTCTTAGCCAAAAAGGAAATGCAATGACAGAATCTGTGCATTGAGAGCACTTGCTTCATTAGGCATCACAAAATAGTCCAATGTTCTCGTTTACTCGACTGTGATGATCAAGCTGATGTCGGGCTTGAGCTACTGCAGGAGATTAATATAAAGAGAAAGCGTAAGATATGAATATTTACGTTTACTTTCAGATCTTTAAATGCAAGGTATGTAGGACCGACCGTTTACAAAGGCATAAAGGGAAACATATATTCGGCAGATTTCGGCGACATGTCTAACAACCCAGACCTCAAGTGCTTCTGTACGACTCCGAAATCCTGCCTTAAGAGAGGTGTTCACGATCTTACAAGGTGCACAGGTAAGTCATGCTCAGAGGAGAGGCAATTCTAAATGCAGAAGCTCATGCGACGAACATCTGTTCGGCTATCAAACAATTCTAAGTTAGCTGCCGTCGCCACGAAAAGATCTGGCAGTGATCTGATCAGTGTACTCTCCTGGCATCTTCCTGGAGGACCCGAGGAATACCACGAGAAATATAAGTCATAATAGCCGGTATCCCTGCCAGGACACCGACTGTCTTTTCATGGTTTCCTCGGTCCATGTAATCAAAGGCCTCAATTAAGTTGCCACCAATTCCTTGCAAACAGTATCCAATTCATCACTTCTCAGAACCCTATCATACACGTCGTTAAATAAGCAGAAGGAAACAGAGTCCATTTTATGCAAGATACCGGTAAACTATGGGCTGAAGTCAAACACCGTGTTGAACTGCCGAATTTTCTTTCAGTTAAAGCTTAACACAAGATAAAGTCACTAGCCCCAGTAATATTCATGCAATGTTTTGTTGCAACAGGGGCCCCCCTCGCAGTGTCGCTCCCCCATTTTTTCCGAGCCCACGAAGACTATTTGAACGAAGTGACAGGACTGTACCCCGAGCAGGCGCGTCATGAAACTACGCTACACTTCGAACCGGTAAGCATCGTTTCTGCATCTTTCTGGTGCGGACCACATGAAGAGAAGGGGCGTGGAGACCGGTGTCCCCTGGCCGTAGTTATTTCACTTTTGTGTTATGTGATATATCAGATTGGCTAGAATATTTTTAAGGTGTTCATTTTCCCGATATACCGTTCATATTAAAACTAGACACAATTTAGCACCAAAGTATGTGTAGTTTATTTCCTTGTGTTGGACGTATATTTTCAACACCCAGCAAGTTTCAGTCATACAAGACCACCTTCATGGGGGTACCATATTAAAGGGAGATTTAAATTCTTTTATATATATATATATATATAAATCAATTTGGTCCACTAAACCTCTTATCCAAAGGGCACCGGGGGCTCATTCTCGGGGCGTGAAGCTGACCAATCACATCTACCTAGTGCCAAGGTCAAGAAAATGTGGATCTATACATCAACTCCCCCGTACGTCTTCATGGCGTAGTGCTTAATTAGTTAAGCACAGGGACAACTTTACAGTTTACCATTCATTTATTCATATTCCTGTTGATCTCACTTGGAGCATAGGGCATTCCCGAGACTCTTCGGTACCTTGGAAGGGGGATCAGCCCAATCATCATATATATATATATAATTTAAAATATCATAGTCACAACTTTCTTAAACAAACCAAAACAAATATTATGTTAAAATTCATATTATATATACACACATTTTATGTCACAGTTACTGCAGTTGGGTTGATTAGGATATGTCGTGCTATGTTGTGTGTTATTGCGTCATGCTCGCCTTTGGTGTTCAAAAGATGGAGCTCTATTATTTCAGTGTGGTTCTCGGTAGGTGAACCACTGGACAGGAAATAAAGTAGATAATTGACGTCTTGACCTAAGGATAAGGCCGAACTTAATAATGGAACGCCCCTTTCGCTTCTGACGAACGAGAGACAGTCCTAACAGATGCGGGACAAGAGGTTCTCACGGTGGTCAACGTGAATATTGCACGGTAAAGAACCAGAAGGTTCATTGCCGTGTTCACAACAGCTCGACACCGCTCTCTATCATGAGCCAGATGAATCCAGTACATACTCCCTTTCTCTTTCTCTGAAATATATTTTCTTCATGTCATCAGGTCTATGTCTAGATTTTCCTAGTTATCTCTTTCCTTCAGATTGTCTTACCAAATATCTGTATGCACTTCTCTTATATCACATTCACGCTACATGACCTGTCCATCTCCTCCTTCTTCCCTCCATAATTCTAATTGCTTTTTCCGAGGAATACAATTTATGAAACCCCTTATTACGCTATATTCTCCATACCTTCAGTTACTTCCTCTCTTTTGGGTTCCAGTACTCAGTACTCTGTTCGTAAAGACACTCGATCTGCATCCTTTCTTTAACGTGAAAGACCGAGTTTCACGCCTATTCAAGATCACAGGCAATTTTGTGATTAAAGATAGTTACATGACGGGAAGCAAAATTATTTTTAATTGAGTGGTAGCAAACAATTTCTTCTTATTAATATATTCTTCGTACATAACATTACTATTTACTACTATTACACATTTATTATTGTGTAATAAGTTGAAGGAGAACTTCCTAAACCTCTGTTTTCTGTCGCCTTAATATAACGCATGGTGTGAAAACAGAGTTCCACCCTCCAAGAACCTAACTCAGAGAAGAAAAAATTCCTGAAATACAAGAAATGCATTAACTAACTAATTCAATGGAGCTGAGTCCTTTTTGAGAACCCCAGTCGCTAAGCCACTCAAGTATTTCCCTATATTTTATGGGACCCGAATTTTCATCACCGTGTTCACAAGAGCCCTCCACTGGTACCTACCGTGAACCAGATGAATCCAGTCAACACCAAACCCAAAATTCACTTCAATACGAGTTATTTCTAGATCTTGTTTTCTTTTATACATTTCAGTTGACAGGCACTCCAATGCTGGGATATAAGAGGCTGCAGTTCAATATTATTTTACGCAAAGTCAGCAAATTCACGCCTATGAAGAATCTGCATGCCATGATATTTCCAATCCTTTGGGTCGATGAGGTAAGATTCACAAACATATACATGCCAGTAATTGATCTACTGATTGGGATATTTCCCGGCAGGGGAAAGAGATTTCCTCTATTTCACAGTTTCCGAACCGGCTCTGGGCTCACCCAGGCTCCTCTCCAATGAGTATCATGAATTCCTTCCTCTAAGGTAAAGCAGTCGGGACGTGAAGCTGACCACTCACCTCCATATATTGTTGAGATCAAGAAATAGTGCAGATATATCTCCATTGAATTACTGCGGTTTTGGACCTTTCCCATCGCCGTTACTCTAGATTAAAGAGAACATGACGTTTCGGAAACTGGGTCTGTTTCCGTTCTCAGGTGAGGGGGGAAGACACTTACTCAGTTGGGACCCTTAGAAAGAGGCAATATCAATTAATGGACTTATCTGTTTTTCTCTGTCACTGGAGACTAGCCCTCTCTGACAACAGGAACTCTTCCTTATAACCGTTTTGCTCTCACCACGAAGTAAATACCTTCTTCAATTGTCCCGTATTATTTTAGGCGTGTTTACTGACGCTCAATTTTGCGCGCGTTGCCTCCCGCAGGAATGTGTTTACAGAGTCGTTGCCTAGCAATGGGTCTATACGTCACAATACAGTGAATCATAATGACATATAGTGGACCTGTCTATTTGATTAGAAAATAAATTACAGAAGTTTCGATGTCCAAAATTTTCCCCACATGAACCAGTAGCAATAAATACACTAAGGAATATCTCTCGGCGGCCATACTGAGAGTGGCTTACGGCCACCCATAACCCGACAGTTAGAGAGCTTCGTATCACTTTGTTAAATATACCAGGACGTGAAGCTGGCCTTTCACTTATTCTCATGCGCTAAATTGGAACACACGAAACTTAACTTTAAATCCGTTAAAAATCTGGGGTTAGGCACAGGGATGATTTCATGTTTGTGCTCCTCAGAAGTTACATATTACATGACTAAATGAAACATATCACAGACACAGAGCCCTTACAGATACATAGCAAATTTTTGTCGAATTCGGCGTCCTCACAGCTGTGAATGTGAAGATTCCTGCCTCCAGGGACATAATGCTGTCTAGTACTGTGAAAGTTTTGCTTCTTGCTTCGCTTATTCTTTGACCCTGAAAATAGAGGCGACATGTTCCTACGGAATTTCTTCTCACTTTCAGCGGACTTCAGGCCGTCATATTCTGGGAGATAGAACACTTCGTATATGTAATTTCTCGCAATTATATATATCGTAGATTTGATCAAATATTTCACTTTTATGACTATGGAAGTCGGGATAGTGCAGTCGGTACAGCGAGTGTCTACGGGGTGGACGGTCAAGGGATCGGAGTTCGGGGGCTCTTACCCCGGGGGTAAAGAGGCCGGCGCGTGAAGCTCACTTCCATCTACCGATAATTTTAGAAATTTTTGTTTCTGTGGCTCCATACGACTTCAAGGTCTGGGCCTCAATTAACCACAGTGACAACTTCATCTTTACCTAATAAACAATACGTGATATTCAATGTCCTCGCCGTGGTTTCGATGCCATGTACTCTGGTAGATGTTTACCGACGTTACAGAGGAAGGTGCTGCCCTCATCTTCACGGTAAAAACTACTCTGAAAATGGAGGCAACAGATTATTGTAATCTTAACATACTTCAAAAACCGAAATTCGTCCCTGTTAATATTAACTTCTGTGTTACACAGGGTCTGGAACTGGACGATAAATACGTGAGTCAACTGAAAAGTATATTTGTGATTATCAGTATCATAAATATCTTCAAGTGGATAACAATTGTCGTCGGAGGGATCCTGGTAGCCACTGGACTGTTCATTCTGATTCAGAAGTTGACAATCAGCGCTATTCTTGCCTTGGGAAGGAAGTCTCCAGAAGTTTCGCCACGAGATATCGAGACGCCATTGCGTTATTGAAGGCGACCTAAGAGAAGAATAGAGAGTGAGTGTGTTTGAGAAAAGGTGCTGAGGAGAATATCTGAACACGTTACAGGCAATTTTATGGAGAAATGGAGAATTACATCAGACAGAGCTTCATCATTTTTATCTTCCACCGGTTATTATACGAGTTACAAAACAATTAACACGGAATTCAATAAACGCCTGTGAAGGATACGTAATTTGTACGTACAAAGGTTTGGTCAGAGAATCTTAGGGAGAAATTCACTTAGAAGAACTAGACATTGGGAACCGCTTCAATGTCAGGACCATTTTGAAAATTAACACATTCACTCCTTGGGACATTGATGAAAACTGGACCGGACAGAAATGTCTAGCAGACTAAACAGTGTATGTACGTACAATATCCCATGTGATTGTGGCGGATGCTACATCGGTGAAACAAGCAGACACTTACAAGTATGCATTAAGGACCACAAATATAACCTGATACAAAGTCTACTTGAGAAAGCAAAGTTATCCCAATTTGCTTCCGAAAAAGGCCATATGGTATGTTGAAAAGAAACGAAGGTCTTGCAGAATGAACCGAACATCACATACAGGAAATATCGGGAATCCGCCGACGTATCTCTTGTAGATCAACAGATCAGTCAACCCAGATTGGACATCTCTTCCAGCTGGACTCCCATTATTGCAGCAGAAGTCAGAAAACTACATTTCCCTCCAGTGTAGATGCAATGTGAATTTGTTTTTATGTTAGTGCCGCACAGAGAATTTGTCTCTTTAGTGATGACTTCTATTCTGGTAGTTTTCTGGTTTCAACAACATTAGCCGTCAAATAGTGCATGGACATAGATGCTAGGCCTCATGCTTGTGGAGATTTTGTTAATTATTTTTAATGCTTGCCTTAACTCTCGAGGATGGTTTGTGCTGTGGTTGGTTTATACATACTCTCTTGTATTGCTGCTGGTGTCCGGAGGTAAGGACTAGCTCTACCGGTTGGGCCCAATTGAGTAGATTCCACCTGAAGATGGACACAAAAGCCGGTGTCAGAAACTTGTGGTTTAAGCAAAAATTGACATGAATAATATTCAGAATCACAATGTTTGTGTTAATGTACCATCGTTACAAACTTTTGAATGTTATTTATTATAACAGAATTAAAACTTATCATAATGAAGTAAGGAGTGTGGATTCATCTGAGTGATGACGGGGAAAGGTAGGGGACTGTTGTGGATATGGTAATGAACCCTCATGTTTAATAAAATAAAGGCAGCGAATATGTTGTTCAGCTGAGCTACTAAAAGATTCCAGACGAGGATTGTCCCATGGAGTTAGCCAGTTATAATTCTTTCATTACTAAATGTGAATTTAATGGTGATAACATTCCATCCTCCATTTGGGGTAGATTTTTTTAAAACCATTAAAGTGGAACATATATATGAAACACATATTTACTCCCGGATCATGAGTTTTGGGCACCTTCTCTTCCTTCTCTTGTAATGTAAAATCAATCCACGTTTCATGTGTTATGAATTAAGAAGCGGGGAACATTTATCGACTAAAGGAAAGTAGCTCGTCTCTGCCAAACGAACAGTTTTACTAATTCATGCGCTTGGAAGTAAGGAAGCTCCCCACGCGATATTGCTAATTACTGTAATATATAACGAATGGCTTCTAATCTAGAGTTTCTTTCTTCAGTTCCCCTGACCCGATCAGTCTCATGGCATTGTCCCTGACAGATACTGGGCCAAGACTATAGTAGTTCTAGTTTCGCACGTGGATCTCGNAATTGCAGCCGCGGCGCGCACTTGATTGTACGCACTGTATTAATCACAACATAATACGTCAAGGAACTAGAGGTTACAGGTCCGATAGTTGTTCTACTCGCTATAATACTGCCATAACAAGTGTGCTATGATCAGCTACACTGTAAAATTTAGATATTTTTATCAATGTTTCCTTGCCTGGCTTCGTCTTTGACCTGAAGATAGAGGCAATATATTTCTCAGATACATCCGTTGAATTTCTCCGGATTGTACCGCTGCGAGAACATCAAAAGTTAAGGCTTGGATCCAGAATTGGATTCGGGCTTATAATGAACTGTAGATGGGTGTGTAGGGTATTGCAAGGGAACGTGGTAAAATGTAAAGTTGCCTTCTTGTTCACTAATTAAGCACTATGCTATGAAGGCATATGGGGGGTGTAGAAATTCACATTTTCTTGACCTCGACATTAGCTGGAGTTGAGCGTTCAGCTTCACTGCCCGGCCGATTTAACCCCAGGGAAAAATCCCTTTACCCATTTGATAGGAAGTTGGGTGAACCCCAGAGCCAATCTGGACGACGTGGAGCAGAGAAAATTCTTGACCCTACTGGAACTCGAATTCCGACCCCTCGGTCGTCCAGCCCGTAGCCAGTCGCTATACCGACTGAGCTAGCCCTACTAGGGGAATGTGGAACATTGGTAATACGAGAAGTTGAGAACAGGACCAGATTATTTTGGAAATGAAATGCTTCAGTCGGTATTGCAGTCCAGGCCTATGTTGAAGAATGTTATGTGGAGTACTCGTATATATTCAGCGAACTGCTCCTCAGGTGTCATAATGTATAATAGTGGATCAATAAAATGGCGAATTAAGAAATTCGCTGTTAGATATGGGAATAGTCAACAATTTCCCGTTCAATTTTCAACGAACATTTCACTAGCACGAAATAAACATAGATTTACAATATTTTCAGCGTTAAAAATGTCCCTGAAGCCCATAATATGAGTCTTCGTAGCTGTAAAATTTTCAGGTCTCATAGATATTGACTTCTTACGAGCTTGTATACCCACCTTTGTTCGTAATCTTGAGACACGAGAGAAACTGACACGTTGTGTTATTACAATTCTTTATTTTTTATTAATCAATCAGAATCTACAATTCTATGAGCTAGTTTGCTGGCGTAAGAGCTGTGATACTCTTTAATGACGTGGTGAGTCCCTCTTATTTTTCTTTTAGGTCAGCTGGCCAGTATCTTCGGAGTCTTCAGTTGTACTGCGGTTCAACGAGTGGCTGTTGTATGTCGTTTGGGTGATTTGCTAGTTTGTTGTGGTGTATGGTACTTTTTTCTCTGATGACGTCTTCGATGTATGGTATATTTAGATCTGTATGTAACGTTTGGTTGTTTACATACCAGGGTGCATTTGTTATAATTCGAAGTATTTTTGACTGGCTTCTCTGGATTATTGATATATTTGATTTGCTAGCGCAGCCCCAGAGCTCGATTCCGCAAGGCCAGATTGGTTTGATTATTGTCTTATAAAGCAGGACTTCGTTTTCTATGGATAGGTTGGATCTTCTTCCAATTAACCAGTTTAGCTCCTTGGTTTTTAAGTGTATCTGTTTGCGTTTTTTGATTACGTGATCTTTCCATGTGAGTCTACAATCCATATGGATTCCGAGATATTTAACGCTTGGAGACTGTGGGATATTGTGTTACAATTCGTGAAGAATAATTTATTTACAGTAAAATCAGGACGTTTCCGCAGATATGTCTCTCATATATTTGTATTCATATGAACCGATTTTCAACGTCAATGACCTACGACTTTCTAAAAGTTTGTTTACATCAATTCTTATTAAATAGTTTGTTTATATTTAGTGTAGTAGTTATTAAATACATTGATAGCTCATAATTCTTGTTTAACTGTAAACGTTTTAAATTTTAACACCCTTATTAAATCATTTGAATGGACCGAATAAACAAAGTTAATTTTCTCTCCACTGAAATTTATACATTGTGCAGAACGTGTTATCTGCAATGCAAATATATATGTTTTATGTGAAATATGTAAAATATTGTTGTAACGTTAATGATTACAGAGTAAATTAAAATATCATTGAGAACAATCATTGGGGCTAAGTTCATGCACAATTTCTGCTAAAATAATGCAGCTTAAGGACGTGGCAAATCACTTGGCATAGAGGATTAATTTCCACTACCAAAGAAACAACTATTAATCTTCTGCGACTAGAAATGGGGGAATCTAGAGAGTGCCATGCCAATAGACTCCACAACAGAACTTCATAGAATATATCTGACTTCTTTTTGAGAGCACCATTACAGGACCTATATATATATCTGAGATCATGTTGTACACACACTGAGAATAATTTATTATTTTCAATTATAGAATTAGCTGTGATATCGTTCAACGACGACGACGGTTATATGACCAAAGCCATGCTTTCTGAAGAAGCAAAAATCCACATGCCGGGAATCGTGAACAGATATAATAGTCGAAATTTGGGCTCTGATTCATCTACTGAATATCCAGGAGATAATACGGGAATCACAACCCGACTGTATTTCTTAGTGTCACAAATACAGAAACGGAAGGTCAGTTTTATTCCCAGGAAAACAATTAATACTAATGATTATTTCCACTTGCTAGAAAATTAAACTTTTCCATAGTTCTGAAGAGTGCTGACATCATTCTCCAGTGTCAAGGCGCACACCGGCGCATGAACACCGGAAATAGAATCAGTTAACCTTCTGAGAATGGTGTAGCGGCCTAAGAAATGGCGATGACATAAGCTCCTTCCCACAGTACATGCAGTATACCAAAGCCTTTATTTAGAGAACACTGGCTATATCTTATTCCGGATTTCACATGGCCCGAGTAACGAAACATCGGAAGCTCATCACAGTATGCTGTCAGTGTCGTTATCACCGTCGCATCGCCATTTTATTTGCTATTTATTTCTAATACCATCATTTTCATGGCTTTAAAAATGTCAGGGTCGTCATCTACAGGCGTTCTTCGGCATTGAAACGTACGTAAATTTTGTTGCCTCATCTGTATCTTTATATTTTCCCTTTCTGTGACGGTCAAAAATTTGGTCCGTCTGGCAATGAACACTAACAGGCCTTAGGGCCCAACGCTTCAAAAAATAATAAGAAGATCTATTTCTTAGTTCCGTTTTTTCCGTCAGACAACATAAATAATTTAAGATGGAGTCTTTCGTTAAAGAAAATTATTAAGAGTTTTCAACATGTTCATTTCAAATATTCAAGCTTTACTTGATGAAGGTCATATTGTTAATATGTCTATTATTTATTGGAGATTATTTCAACTATATTTCGTTTAATAATGAGAAAAGCGAATAAGGGCTTATGCTACAAATATTAATCATTTAAATCTATTTTCACATATAATACCGAGGGAGGGCTCTTGTGAACACGGTAATTAACCTTCAGCTTCCTTAAAGCACGAGGAAGGGGGGATATTTCTTGACGAGTTGAACAACTATTAGCTTCGCTGATCCGTAGAATTAGTTAAGATATCTATGTGTTTGGAAATAATTTTGTGCTTCGTGTTTTACGTCTCATACTAAGCAGTAGCACATGTAAAAGATCTAACATTTATAAACTTGTTTTCAAGAATAATTTCGTTTCCCTCGGACCTCTAGTTTCTCAGTTCGCATCTCGTTCTTCATGCGTTTAGGCTACTAGACCATAAATTTATTACGCAGTATAGGCCTTTTACGTTCTGCCTACAATCATACATTTCAGTATGTCAGACTGTTCGATTTTTGTATGTTTTTACGATTACTAACAGTCCTTAAATTCAGCTGTAAGTTGGAAGAACTTAAAACAATCAGCAAAAACGAGTAAGTGCCTGTTTCGCAATTCGATTCTGTTCTCCCGATTATGAAACATACACGTCAGCTATGACCTACTTTCCCCTATAGCGATTTTAGCCATGTAGACTTCATATCTAGAACAGAATTCTCTAAAGGCACCTCCAACGAAGTTCACCGCCCACAATTACTTGGAGAAGAACTTCAGAACTTCCCCTTAATTTGAACTGAATTTCCTTTCCAATGACGTACTCACTGAAGCCACCAATGACTGCGATCAGCAACTTCAAATTATTTGCGTGATATCAGTTAGCGATTATCAAAGCAGAAAATGTAAGGCTGCGCGCGCACCGACAATTCTTGGGCGATGACAGCTCGGTCACGGACACCTGATACTGTACTTGAAATAAATCGGAAGTGGGGAGGGAATTGTAACTATTTACCTAGTTTCGATACCTCGGTCTTCTTTTTCTTTCGTATTCTTCGAGACACAGTCGAAATCCAGTTGCTGTGTGTAATATCAGTAATGCTGTTTTAATGAGCTTATATTTCGCAGGAAGAGGATTATACGTTTTCTTCTACATCCCCGAATAGGTCTTCAAAATGCAACGTAAGTTATTTATATTATTATTATAACTTTGGCTGTGTCTTGATCTTAAATAAAAAAGCAGCAATATTAAGTGATATTCCTACATTCAAAAACAATTCAAGATCCAAAGGCAAGAAATATTACAGTTCCTCTTTTTACTTTTGACATATTCTTGGAATTTTAACTTTCAAGCAGAAGAAATATTTTTGAGAACTGCAGAACAGAAATTTAAATAAAATTATAATATTCCATTCGAATTTCTAACCGTGCGAAAACAAATATATATGTAGCTACATTTCATATGCACAGACAAATAAGAACATTGTTTATAGTAGAGACTTTTTAAGTTATATAAATATTTTATCCATTACCAATCCTATTCTTCAAAATGTTTTCTTCTGTTACGTTTGTGAGAGGTGTTTTATTTCGGAAACTTGTGTCTCCGTCTCAAGATAAGAAATAAAACTAAGATCATCATTAGAGAAGAGATCAGACAAAGAAGACAGCTAGTTGCGTCCGAAATATAGTGGCCAGATACAAATCTGTAAAGTTGTGTGAGGAATATACGTTTTTAAATTACTATTAAACCAAATATGAGCATATTTCGCTGATGAGGTGAAAATGTACTACTTTCTTGGTCGATAGTCCAGTACTTGAGCCAGAATTACAAGGAATTTAAAACCAATATTATATTTAAACATCCTGTTGCACTCTATACGATATATGATATAAACGTAGTGAAGATAAGCAGCGGCACGCACACAGGGAGCCTACACAGAATAACTGTGCTGATAACAAGAAGTAGCCGCTGCAGCACTATAGACGTGGGGCGAGTAACCCTGAGAATTTTTAAAATTAAATTTAAAATTTGGGAAAATTTTTAAAAGAATTTCTAAAATTGGATCTGAAGATTTTAAAAGTGCCAGTTCATGAAGGTCAAAATTGACGTGTGTGGGTGGCAAAGATGAGGTACGAATCAGACAAATATCAGCTAAGTAGATCCTGTTAGCAGCGACGAAGGGAAGAATTTGGAAGACCTGTATGTTTTTAATTTTAAACTGGGTGCAGTGTAACAGCTACGTGACTGTATAGACCTGATGATGGCCGTTTGCGGCCGAAACATGTAGTGTAGAAGAAAGCAAGACGAAAGACCTACAATATATTGTTGCACTTAGGACGGAGTTTATATCATATATCAATTTAAAACCAGTTTTATCTTCGTAATGGTGACCGGAAGAAACATATAGGCACAAAGATATAGTGTAAACGAAACGCGTATATATGAAGCGTATGATCTTCTGTGTTGTAACGCAATCTAGCTAGGAAAGAACCCGAATTTCCGTAGGAAGTACCGCCTCCATCTTCAGGGTCCAAGAGTGAGACAAGTAGGAAATCAACAGAAGCAGGTGGCAAGTTTAACTGAGAATGATGACATCACCTGTTAGTTTCTTGGTGGCTTCCTCTTCTACGCTGAAGATGGAGGAGGCATATTCATCCGAAACGTCTATTTATTTTCGAACTACACGTCGTTACAACCAAGAAGAACGTACAGTTCATAATCACGCACATGTGTGTGTGCGTGCGTAGGAAAATTAATTTATATTCTCATTAGTTTAGATGACGTATGTGCGTATTTATAAGATACAGACTAACTATATTTTTCGTAGGAAGGATCTAGCGACATATAATGATGCACAACATTAGAAGCTTTCGGTATGTTCCCATTTATATTCGTGTTTGTGAGAGAGAATCGAACGGAACAAAAAAGAGAGCATATTAAATATACAGATATATGATTAATATGCCCGTAAAAATGTTTACAAAGAATTAGTTTCAAAATTGAAAATTGTGATTTGAAATAATGGATTTGCGTATGTTCCGACGTCAGTGAAAGTTGATACAATTTTTGGCTCAGAATATCGACTGGCGCTTGAAAATTGCCTAAATACACGTGTTTGGTCGATGTCCTTTCCATTTAAGAATTGCAGAGCGTGTGCATGGTACTCAAAGGACTCCAAGGAATTCTGCCGACTGTCGAAGATTAAGAAACTGAAGGGATATAAGAGTTTCACAGATGCCCTATTCTCCAAGTGGGAGCTACATATAGATAGATAGATAGAAAGGAAGACGCAACTAATGGCAGTTACGTAAGCTTATGTAAGCCAGCCAACTCCTATACCTTGACTCGTTTGCAGTAAATGAATATGTCCTGCAAATAGCAAGACGAAAGACTTTTAAAGTTTTAAAGTTTTAAAGTTTTAAAGTTCGAATAACTGTACCCTTCCAGTGTTACACTTAATTTGTTCTTCACAAGGTTCTATATAACTCAGATGTCGCTCCAAAAGCAGACAGTGTTCATAACATTGCTGTAAACTGACATCTGATACGCTAATTCAGACTGACAACGGTGCGAGCGCCCATCCAGCCTCCGTTCCAATGGTTATCGAGGGCTCTTTCCCGGGAGGGGTAAAGCGGACGAGGCGTGAATCTGACCACTCACCTCCATGTAGTGTGGAGGTCAAGAAGGTTGAAGCTACACCTTCATTCTATACACGCCTTCATGGCCTGGTGCTTAATTAATTAAGCACGGGGCCTTTGCCTTTTTTATATATCCGTGAAAAGTAAGGAAGAAACACAAACAATGCAGGTCTTCTTCTAATTTTCTGAACAACTGTGCGATATTAGAACGAGAAATGGACCTGTCATGGCAAAGGTTTTGACGTATTCGCCACTGAAAGAACACTCCAGTCGTTATTCTCGAATATCTATCTTCTAGGGCCTAACGGAATTAGTCACTTAGAAGTTCACTGATAATTCGTAGGAACATATCGCCTCCATCTTCAGGGTATATAAGTAAACCGAGTAACCAACAAATAAACGACAAGCAGACAAATCTGCTCGCTCTTACTCCTTGTTTGGCATGTTTTCAACCCTGAAGATGGATGCGTACATTCCTCTGAAACGTCTAGTAACTGCTAACGGTCTCTATTACTTTCATAGTCACCGCAATGGGAATCTGAAATGCAGTGTAAGGAGGTGACTTGGTCTCCTGGTCCTACATTGTCAGAGAGAAGCCCTCAGTAGAGTCACTGGTTACGAGAATGCAGTGCTTCAGAATAAGCTGGAGAAGATGTGCATCCCAACAGTCCTGTTGGGCTTCGAAGCTCGATTTTACAGCTCCTAAACCCGACCCATCACGTTCCTGGCAACTGATTCTGATTGAGCGAAACACTCCACTGTATTTTACTACTTTCATAACGTAACTATCCCGACCAAGACATGAACCTAGTCTTCTCTTGTTTCACAGGAAGAATTCTCAGCGCTCCAACAAGAACATGGGGTGTGAGTGCCTTGTGTGTTCATCACGTCGCTTCATTTCTTGTGCAATTATTGTATTGATATGCATGTTAGGTTTTTATTTCTGTTTCTATGAGGTAATATTAATTCTGTGTTGCAAATAGTTTCGTTACAGAAGCTACCCGCAAAATGGATTGGTGTCTCCGGTTTGATTATGTTCATCTTGGGTTCAGGTGTCGGATTTTACGGTTTCCCTGCTCTAATCCGCAGTCAGATAGCTTCGGTAAGTCCAAACTTTCATAAGTTCATAAGTACACAAAGTGTCTGGTACTAAACCCCGAGTAGTTGTTTGTAGTCATAAGTATTCCAAACCCACAGTGAATGTTGTCGCAAACTTGCTTTTGTGCTTAATTAAGCACAACACAATGCAAACTTATGGGGGAGTGTAATTACAGGTATAGCCCCCGACCTTCATAACATAAACAGAAATAAAAAGTTTCTGGAGCTAAATTACGCTTATCTGTTTAGTGTTAAACTATTCCATAACAGACAGTTAATGGGGAAGTGCGCAAAATTTGTCTCTGTGATTAATTAAGCACCACGCCATAAAGGCTTATGAGAGAGTGTAAATATAGCCTTTAACATCCGTAAAATAAATAGGAATACAATGTTTCTAGGAATAAACTAAGCTTATCTCTTTGTTGCTTTAAAATACTCCATAACAGACACTGAATGCGGAAGGTAGAGTTGACTTTATGCCTAATTAAGCACCACGCCTAAAGGCTTATGAGAGAGTGTAAATATAGCCTTTAACATCCGTAAAATAAATAGGAATACAATGTTTCTAGGAATAAACTAAGCTTATTTCTTTGTTTCTTTAAAATACCCCATAACAGACACTGAATGAGGTAGGTAGAATTGTCTTTGTGCTTAATTAAGCACCATGGCTTGAAGATTTATGGGGGGCGGAGGTACAGCTCCACAGAGACCTGCCCTTGGCACGAGATGTAGGTTAATGGTCATTCCCCACTAGCTTTAACCCGGAGAAATATCTCCATATATTAATTTGATAGAAGGCTGGGTCTCAACACAGTGCACAAGAAAAAAATTCTTGCTCTGTAAAGAACAGAACTCCGATTTCTCGGTCATCCAGGCTGTTTCCCAATCAAACTATCCCAAAATCCAATTCCAGTAATTCACTGACGTATAATGATTATTTTAATGAAATTAATTTTGATTGCTGTGGAGTTAAGCTGCATGAATTACTAAATTTAATTCACTGTTTTAGTCTACTTGCCTTATTCTGAAATAAAAATAAAAATAGTGTCTATGCTTTCTCCGTCCCGTCTCTGTATCTGTGGATCCACGCTCAATCAACTTTTGAATGCCTGAACCAATTTTTATGAAACTTGGTATGTATTCCATGGCATGTGAGCCCATCTCAACGTCGTATTTCATAAATCCCTCCCATCAGTCTGTGTGTTTGTATGTGTATACCCTGTCGTTGTTAGGGAACGGTTCGGTGAAAACATTACCGCAGCAACGAATACACACTCAACAATACTATTATTTTAGGAGTCGTCTTCTATGCGATCGGTGTTCTATCAATGGAAAGTACAAGATTAGTTATTCCCAGAATGTCTTGTTCTTCGTACGGGTTGTACACCCCTGTCTTTTGGCTGCACTTGGCTATTTCTTGCAACCGCAGTCTGTTTCACTGCCGCGCTTATTCGAAAATCGCCATTGCGTGATCCACAAATTGCGTAACGTACTTCTTTCTTTATTTATCTACATATTTAATGTTCAAGCTTGGGGATCCATCCCCGACCCAGAAACTGACTGCTTACAGAGTGAAGTTAGTTAATATATTTCATGAGAAAACTGATAATAATTATCCCTCTTCATATATTGCCTAATAACATTCAACTAAATTCGTGGTAATCCTCAGCCGCTTAAGTTAATGCCGTGATAGTACCTTAAATTAAGCTCAGAATGTTTTCTTTTACTTCTTTCGAATTCATTAGCCGATTTCATTCAATTACTCGCTGATATAAACTGAGTTATTTACAGCGTCGTTAAATAAATTAAAAATGAATAAATCACTTTCTATTGACACTCATATAAATCCTCGACCAAAGTAGTTAAAATTCAGACAAGTCAGAGTAGAATTATCAGCGGAATATGACAGTTACACTTACTGACTGTCAGTGCGTAATTCTGAAGGTGCTTTTCTCTATAGTAACATTTCCTTAGCTGCAGTTTGTGAATAAGAAGCAAAGTAGCGTAAAATATATGACCTTCATTCTGACAATGCTACATGAAATGTATCTACACAAGTTAATAACGTATAATTTTATCATAAGGTAAATACATTTTTTTATTGCTAGTTGGGTGGGACTAAGTCCCTTGTACTGCGGCCACTTATGGCCTATTGTACCAGCCCCAGATGACAGGTGAGGGTGATTTTGGAGCACTTGGTGGAATGAAGATTGGCAGGGGAAACCGAAGTACTAGGAGAAAACCTGCCCCACAAATCCCACTTGACCAGACCCGGGATCGAAACCGGGCCACCGCGATGGGAAGCCAGCGACTAACCGCTTGAGCTATGGCGCGGCCTAAGGTAAATACGTAAGTAGGTGAATACGGAAGTCGCTTAAGAAAGATCAGTTGAAGTATCAGTAGAGCTGATTTTCAATTGTTTTTCTCAGTTCTTCCTAGTGACTTGCCCTACCGCTTTTACCACTACACTTATACGTAATGATGGCCACCCACAAATAGCTAAACAACATCATCAGTTGATACAGAGTCATTAGTGTTGCTACGAACCAGCAAAACAAATGCGCCAGTTCTTGTAAAACTTATTCCATTGGAAAGTTATCCATTAATGCAAACACCAATTTACTCAGAAACGAAATACCGTACTCATCTGAAATTCGTCCCACTAAATCGCATTAAGTCTACGACTCCTTGAATGATCTGGTGAAACTTAAATCTCTCTGAAAGTTTCACTGTGTAAATCTGGAAACATGAAGCTTTATGTACGTCATGAATGAATATTACCTTCAGATCAATAAAATAACATCCAAAGCTCTGCCCTAGATATTTGAAGCACTGAGCATGAATGTAGTTCCTATTGTACTTAAATTTAAAGAATTGTCTCCCACAGAACTGATATACAGCGTATATACAATTCTATATATATTTTTTTAGCCTATAAGAAGCGATATTTTTCGACTGTAAAACGACATGGTAGCCGCACGAATTATAAATTTAGCTTTCAGAGTGCTAGGTATAAATTATCAATCCTTACAAACAGGCATGTAAATTTTATATGTTAATATATATGTTTATATGTTATATGTATTATAAATTTAAGTACAAATTGTGTATAATATATCTGCACACGTCAAAATTGCGAATGCTCCGACGATCTGAAAATACAATGTAATATCTAACACACTGAATATGGCAAAAATTTACATTAATCGAAAATATACACAGATTAACTAAGTCACTTACTTATTAATCTACAGTTCTTGTGCTAGATCGTCATGTACGTGTAGATCGAAGAATCTGACTATACGTAAATGTCATAATTATTTCCCAGAATTCATTTTTCAAAAGTAATGGTATTCTAGTTTATCGTATCGAAAGCAAAACGACGCCGTAAACGCGAATTCCTCCAGTTTTTCTTTCATTCCGTTTTGTAAGGCTGTCACACATTCCATTGAATCCAAATGTAACATACTTGTAAGTGGATGGCAAACAAACATGTCAAGCAGCGTGGGATTTCCGGTGCATGGACATTCTCACAAACATAGGTTATAGAAGCGTAATACAAAGCATGTCATACTACCATAACCTACATGCTTAGCCACGAGAAAGAATATAATTTCTAAATTCACATAAAAACTTCAAGGTTCTAAATTCAATATTCTGTGCAACCATTAACACATAAGTTCTTCTAGGTATGAGGTTCATAATCAGAGCAGTGCATGTGCTAATAAATATATTGTAGCATGTAGATACTTTGATAGGTAATGGAACGTACGCACGCAGCACAATAACGCGTCACATGCGCAGTGACATCACGCAACAATAGGTGTTGCAAGCGGTGTTCTCTGTGAGTCCGCTCCGAGGCTATATGACTAGACCGACCGATATAAAAGCAGATTCCATCCTAACCCGCGTAGAGGCGGGGTTGAATTCCTCCACCGACTCTGCTAGTCGTAAGAGGCGACGAAAAGGGAAGTCTTAAATCTGAGACAGTAAAATATGGTCGCGAGTCCCAAGGAACTCAGACCCGAGAAAGACTGCCCTGGCAAGAGCCAACAGCATATAAAAAGATAGACCCGTCCTCTCCTCAGAGAGGGCGCCCCACAATAACAAGACAGTAAATGTCAAACAGTAATAAATATCTGGTCATGAGCCTCAGGGGCTCGACACCAAGACTTACCGTCTGATTGACTGACCGTCAGTCGCAATGTGACTTTGACTTTGACTTTAATTGCGTCCTGTCCCCCACATTGTGTAATATATATATATATATATAAAATGTGCCCCAAACATCTGGTGCCTATCTAGGTCTCTTTGCTTATAACATCTGTATATGCACGATAGACCGCAAAGGGTGTTATGTTCTCAGAAAGGTGCAGAGAGGTCCCAGTTCTATTGAGACGTGGTGTGAGCGCTGGAACATAAAAAATCAACGAAGATAAGACTCAGGACATCTATTTCTCTCATAGACTTAGGCCCCCTGAGGCTCATATTACAGTGAACGGATGTGAAAAAACACCTGGTATGGATAATAAGATCCGAAATCAAACTGCTCATGTTCTCGAAGAAAGAGGGCTTTATCGAGCAGACGGGTTTCACTGTTGCTCGGTATTCAGCAACAAACAATGGCCTACTGAGTAACAATTATTGTTCGATTCTCAGCAACAAACAACGGTCTATTGAACAATAATTATTGCTCGGTACTCAGCAACAAACAATGGTCTACTGAACAATAAATGATTTCTATTCCAAAGTAACGAAGTCAAGGTCAGTCGTATACGAGTAGATCGTACAATAAACTGCGGACAATATTTCTGTATGGACATTTTTACTTTGTTTAAGCCTCGAGAAGGGCTTAGCATTTAAAACAGGCGACAGAATGACAAACTCGCTCCACCCAGTTCCAAGTCCTTGGTTAAAGAATCAGCTGACGAGGAAGAGCCACTGCGGTGAAACTGACTCCAGTTATCAGAGGAATTCTATGTACTGAGTAGACCTAAATAAGTTTCAAAACGTACTATAGAGAACTACATTAAGAAATCGGAAATGCATAAGTGGGGGGCACGCATGGTCACTACCGTAGTTGGCACAACGTTCAGAACCTCCCCGGAAACCAACCCAGGAATCAGGATACGGTGGGATTGCCGCGTCTGGTTAACTAACATTTCAAAGTGAAATACTATAATATAAACGCCATTCTGTATAATTAGAGCTTGCATTCCAACATGAAAGCTGCATTTCCAGCAAGGCCAGTGTTACGCAATTCATCTTATCCTTTTCGTGCGATTCTGAAGTTTAAACCGGAATTCTCCTAGCGTCATGAATCCAGGCGTGAAAACGTAGCCTGTATCTTATACGTAGATGTTAAAATGTATTTTACCGCACAACTGTGTCGTTATATTTATCAGGTATCTATAGCCTTGCGGGTTTTCTGTTTGCCCATCCATTCAAAAGTCCCTTCTTCCAAACCTGTCACTTTTGAGACTCAAGTTTATCAGATTTGGATAAAATTTGATATATGAATCTCTGGCAAGACACAATTTAAAAAACACTGCGGAGATTTCTGTTAACAGAATCTGTTTGCATTCTCTGTGCTAAAATATGTTACAGATGTTATAAAAAGTACTTCTGGGAGAAACTTATAAGGTCAATTTTCTTTCAGTTGTTTCAATCCATATGCGGATGTTAACAGGAACTATAAATTAATAAATACATAATTCACCCATTCATTTGTTTCCTTACAATGAAATCATAACGATGGTATTTGCATCGACAGAGCATTACACGCACTGGTTGGAGGTAGAAATAATTGTGTCTGTGGGTTGATATCCAGCAATAGTCCCTTCGTCGTCAGTTGTTTCGAATTAGTATAAATTATGTTTATTTTAGCCTCGAAGTTCCAAAACGTCATAATGCTGGTGATTTTAACACATAAAAATAATTTCATATCTACTGGTTAGATCTCCTTGAAAGATTGGAGAGAGAAGCAGCTTATCCAAACTAACTTTTCAATATCAAACCCTGGGATGAAGGTATACTAGAAGACCCAGGTAGAAGTAAAGTTATCCCTGTAACAGGCTGTGAAGACCCATAGGGTTGGGAGAAGTCAAGGCTCCCACATTTTCTATAGATGGCTCACGGATGGAGGTAAGGTTGTCAGTCTTACGCGCCGGCCACCCTTTACTNCCCCCCCCCCCAGGAAGATTCTGGTACTCATTTCTGTTAGCGGCTGAGGCGACACCAGAGCCATAGTGCGGCTGGAAAGATTAGGTAAATTGAAAAGATCCACCTCATTGGGACTTGAACACGCAACCTTCCGGCATGTATCACAGTGCCTCCATCAGCTATGCTACCGCGTGCCCTTGAGATTTAAGGGAATTGGTTTTATAACCTAACTTTTTTTTTTGTTCACGAAGAAGAAAAAAAATCATAAAAATTCGTAAGCATATTTACGACAAATCTCCTCAGAAAGATTTCATACGTTTGTCTCCTGAGATTCATCACTTACAGCGATTTGCCCGAAAGCTAAGTAAAAAATTCTGAAGGCTGTAATGTTGTTATCTTACGTGTTACAAAATTTGCCTTAAAAATATTACATATCCTTTGAGCAGACAACTTTTCAGTAACCTATATTTACATAGTAATGCTTACATCATTATATTACTCCCATTCGCAACGCATCCATATTAGTACTACTTAGTGTGGGAATTTGAAAATTACGAAAGTGTAGTAGCCTTAAGTGCCATGACGTCTATGCCAAATATCACGAAAATTCGTCAGTTGTTTAGAAAATCTTAAAGTTACATAACATTATACATTAACATGACGATAACATGGAATAAGACTACTGACGATCTATATCTCTCTTTGACGATGACGCAAAATCAAAGATGATGGACACAGAACCTTATCAATCTCATATCCAAAGTGTTTACACTGGTTTAATTTTAATTCTACTATGAAAGCTCTATCTCATCTCATACTAATAACCTCAAATGAAGTAAAAAAGACTTAAATGGGAAAGAATGTGGTTTGCCAGTACTTCACTGGTCTCAAACTCTGGGTCAATATTACGCTGAAAAATAAAGATAGAGTGAAGGCTTAAAAATTTTAAAACTATTCAATTTTCCTATATTTCTTCAAGCTTCTCAGTATTAAATTTATTATACTCAGCTTCTACTTTCTTCTTCAACTTTTTTCGTAAGAAAGAAAACGAATTATTTAGGCATGTAACTTAACTCTGTTATTACACCCTCAGTGATGCCCTTGCCTCAGTTCAAAATGGAAACGTCACGCAACTCCATTTCTTTATTCACTAAGAACCGATTGTTTTTACAGGGATACACCGTTACACAACGCGAATTACAGCTCCGTGTCATTTGCCTGTCGTACAGCTACGCACATCTAAGACAATATTCACTCAGAACTTTCATCAATGGCCGTAGTGATATTAGCAGGGAACTAGTATTAGTTAATAATTAACTGTCAGCATTCAGTAAATCTTGGAGCATACCGGTTGATAAAGATGGCAGACTGCGTAGGTTTATGTTTCACGGGCAATCAATACTGTGCCTTGGAATTTGAGAGATTTAGGGCTGCTCTGCCAAATAATGGAATTCGTTAAAGGTAAAGGTAAAGTTGTCCCTGTGCTTAATTAATTAAGCACCACTCCATAAAAGAATGGCGAGTTCAGTTATATTACCACCACTCTTGACCAAATTCAAGTCCCTTCCACTTTAACCTCCGGGAAAAGAGCTCCCGGTGAGGTCCAGCGCAGATCGCTACGATATGGAATACAGACAGATTTCTTGTCCATGACGTCGAGCCCGTAGCTAGTCGCTATACCGACTGAGCTGTTAATTCCTCTTAATTCAGTAATTTCACAGAAATAATGTACAAATATTTTACTTCCCAGGGTTATGATGCATTAGGAATAATAATGGTTATGGGCAACAAGCATAAAACATGTAGAAATTTCAATGGGAATTTGTTGCGGTTATCAAAAATCACACTTAGCCATACTGTACTTGTTTCGCTGTGATCCGCTGTTGTACATCATATATCTTGAGGGAAACTCTGACACCACGAATGTGCCGATTTTGCTCGCAATCAAACTGAAAACAAATATTGAAAGATATTATGAGAGTAAACCAAGCATTCTGCTTCTCACTAGGCACTTAATTGACTTACACTTCAACACCGAAGATTGAGATAGTAGGTTCTTCGGAAACGTCGATGAGCATCCACCGGATTATATGTCGTCATATTCTACAAAATAAAACTCTTTCTTATTATGTGTTTATGGCGTGGCTACACGCAAATGAACTGGAAATATTAACATAATTAATTCTATAATAAAATATTTTACGTTTTCCAGAATTTAGCCCTGAAGAAAGGTTCTGATCTAAGGAAACTCTGGTCCAAGATTCCTGATGGAATTCCTTTCAAAGTATATATGTTCAACGTGACAAATCCGATGGACGTGCAAGTGGGAAAGAAGCCCATAGTGATGGAAATAGGACCTTACTTCTATGAGTAAGTATCGTTGTTGTGAGTCAAACACGGAAATGATGGCAACAGAATTACGGACAGATATCTGAGATGGGATGCTATGTAGTACGTCAGATATGTGCTAACGTTTCGGAGAAACTGGCTGCTAAAAACTGATGCAGCCCAATCCGCGAAAATATTAACACTTATCTACAAGACTACACGATGTCACATATTGACGTTCGCCGCTGTAATAAGTGCAGATCTCAGATAAATAAAAAAAGGTATCTGCTGTCTGCAGCTGTTCTTTAACGGAGTAGCTGTAGGCCTCGTTTCTTTAAGATCAAGGCATAGACTGTTATGTACTAACTGTTACAGATATTGCATGAAAATCTGTTAGTATCACTGTGATTGTAGCTGCTAAAAGCAGTAAGCAGAGTAAGCGCACTGGGATCCACTGAAGGAACCTATGTTTGCTAATGTCTGATTCGTAATCGTTCCTTTCCCATTTCATATATAGAAATCAAACGATAAAAATATGCAGAGTGGTCTAAAAGTCAGTTAATCCAAAATATTATTTCGTATTAACGAGAATATTCAGATTTAAACCTGCCAGTCAATTTGTAAAACGGTATCGCAGCATTGTGAGTTGTGCACTGAACATGGAAGGTCTCATTTCTGACAATTTTTTTAAATTCAGTAAGTAATAAAGCCCCTCGTTGGTGTCTCCACCTTATCGTGGTGAGGGGTTTGAGTATGCCAAGGACCCTGAGAGCTATACCAGCGGTAGCATAGCTACTGGCAGGGCCTCCCTTGCTGGACAGGTCAAAGGGTAGGCATCAGACGAAGAGAGACACCAAAAACCAAAAACTGATGCCGGAAGCAGCGTCATCAGCAGCGACTTGAAGCACAGAACAAATGATGCTCGAGATGGTTCAAGTTCGTATAGCAACAGGCGTGACCAGAGTGGTTTGAACGGCTGTTGTACTGCGATGTGGAAAGCAAATGGAAAAACTACCACATTATCACTTTTCCTGGATAGTCTCTTTCCAAAAACAGAAGATCACATTAAGTGGAGGAACTGTTTTGGAAGAGACTGTGGACCTGTCATCTGACAGTTACTGATCAATCAATCAAGTAATAAAGAAATCTATAACTCATTTTAATGTAAATATTACTAAAGAGTTAACTGACTTTTGGGCCAACTTGCAATACAGTTTTACTTCTCATTGTATTGATGTGGAACTCGGTTACTCACCTTAAGAGAACACGTTGCTAAGGAGAGGAAATAAAAAGGGAATGGAGAAAACTACATAATAAGGAGCTTTGTAGCGTGCATTATTCATCTAATGTTATTTGGGTGACGAAATCAAGCAGGATGAGAGACAGTACTAAAGGGAGAGTTGGCAAAATTTATACAAAACAATGGTCTGAAAATTTGAAGGGAAGAGACCATTTTGGAATTGGAGGATATTATTAAGACAGTTATTACGAAAGTCGGTTATATGTCGAGTATATGGACTAGAATCACCTGAGTCAGGCTGGAGTCTAGTGGCCAGCTCTTGTGAATATGGTAAGCCTGTTTCATGTTGGTTTCTCACTTTGAGTTTCTCTTCAATTCTGAAGATGGAAGCAAGATATTTTTCCGAGATGTACGCTGAATTTCAACTGACCACATGGCGTATATCCCAGAAGATCCAACTGTTCATTAAGACATTTCTGAGAATCTTGAATCCGACATGCTATAATTATATTATTATAATTATTATAATTATAATGATTATACGGTATTGTTAGTCAATAATAAGCTTATGCCTTCAGTACTGTACTTGCGGGGTGAGGAATGAACGGAGCTTCAAGATGAAAGGGACGGAAACAGACCTACATGATATGTACAGCATCAGTTCAGAACGTATTGGCCACTAGCACATTTGCGTAGTGTACAACTGGCCTGAAGTAAAGCAATTGTTATGGGTCAGGTAGTAGTTGCTAGTCCATGCTGCTACCGCGCTTTTAATGGTACCGACTTCTTCCATTCCTCACAGATCTTAAGATTAGTCTTGTACTGTATCAGAAGTCGCATTTAGAATCATTATTACGAGGTAGATAAACGCATTTCTACTTTATGCTTAACGTTCATGTAACTAATAATTTAATTTCATACAGCAGAATCCTTCCTGACAAGTTTGTAGTAGTTCAGATGGTCAAGAAGTAAATTTATGGAACCTGAAGTTTCACCATCATGTTCAGAAGAGCCAGTTTCATACATAACACATCCCTATATCCACTTCCTTACAAATCAATTTAAATATTATGGTCTCAGTTTTTCATGGGGTTCTGCCCGTCAGATTTGACGACCAAAACGTTGTATGCACTTTTCATTTCTCTCATCGGTATTCCATCCCCGGCCCCATATCATTCTCGTTGATTAATATAATCTAAATACAGTTTAATTGAATGTTCTGCCTGTTCACTGCTCTAAACCATTGTGTACATCACTTTACAGAGAATATAAGGAGAAGCTGGACCTCAAAGACAACAACGAGGATGACACAGTTTCGTTCAATCCACGGGATTACTTCATATTCAAGAGAGAGATGTCACAAGGACTGACTGGCGACGAAGTTATCACCATACCCCACGCGGCCATATTGGTGAGAGTTGCTTAATTGCATTACGATACATTCACATCAACTGCACACACAGGCGAGACGGATGGGCCATGAAATATGCATTGGAGAGTTGAGAAGTGCTTACAGAATATTGGTGGAAACGTTAAGGGAAGACATCGCTTTCAAGAAGTATGGATAAGAAGGGGAGAATGATAATATAATGAACGTGAAAAATACAGAGTGTGAGAATATCTCATGAGAAGCTCTTGTGAACACGGTAATGAACCTAGGGATTCCATAAACGACGATGAATTTCTTGGCTAGCTGATAAACTATTAGCTTCTCAAGGCGGAATCTGCTTAGTGGAGTTTATTTAAAACTTAATCCCAACGTCATGAATTTTAGTAAGTAAAGGTAGTGCTGTCCCTGTGCTTAATTAATTAAGCACTACGCCATGAAGGCGTATGTGGAATTGGATGTATAGATCCACATTCTCTTGACCTCGGCACTAGTTGGAGGTGAGTTGTCAGCTTCACGTCCCGGCCGTTTTAACCCCGGGAAAGAGCCCCCGGTACTCATTCCATAGGAGGTTGGGTGGATCCCAGAGCCGGTCTTAACAATATGGAGAAGTGAAAATTCTTGACCCTACCTGGACTCGAACTCCGACCTCTCGGTTGCCCAGCCCGTAGCCAGTCGCTATACCGACTGAACTATCCCGGCTCAGAATTTCAGTAACACAGATAAATTTATTGTACAATTGCCTCTATACCTGACTATAGAGCCAAAATTTAAGTTCCCCCAATTAGTAATTATTTCTATGTTTGTCTACACGACGTAATAATAACAAGACCAACCAAGCGAGATTATTCTCGATAACGAATCCAAAAATTTATGTAATAATATGCAAACTGCGGTCCCCCGGTTATGACAGCTTGTTGTCTGATAGGTTGTCACCAATATTTTGGAGGAACTTAAGCCTGCATCTTCAGCCACGTCTACCGCCCCCCCCCACATCTTATTATTACCTATCAGAATATATGTTTTGTATTTACTTATTATTAAATATTCTGTCGATAGGTAAGAATTTGGCGTCTATTTTTGGTGTGATTAATAAACAATAAATAGGAAAGAGTTTGAAAGGAAGCTTATGTGGCCTAATATGAGGTACTGTCCAAGCCTTTGCTTGGAAGGACTGACCGGAACTACAGAAGACTTCAGTCAGTGTAGCCTGGGGTTTATATCCAGGACCTCCCTAGTAAGAAGCAGGAGTGCTTCCCAGTCAACCGAGAATTTTAGCACTGAAAAGTGTCACAAAGCAGAATATAAATTTTATCTTCGTGAAAACTTCAGATCTTACAAAAATCGCCGTTTTGCATTGGTAACCCTCTTTTGGTGGTAGCGAATAGGCCTTATCCTGACTTCGTTTTATGTCATATTATAAATACATACAAGAACAGTGTCAGTGTTCTCAGACCTGGCAGTTCTCAACAGAAGGCACAGCGTATTTATTTGGATCCATTAATCGAAATAAGGTTTGTAGGGTTGTAGGGTTGTAGGGTTTATATTACAGGACCTGTGTTGCACTGCCTCACACTTCCACGTTCTCACAATGCAGTTGCAACCACTCTCCCACTAATTCTTTCCATATTTCTCCTCACACTCAATTAAAATATACTTGTAGCACACACTCGTATCACGACACTTCATTCAACACCTTTCGGTTGCATAAACATTTCCTAGGAAAATTATGGTGAGCAACACGATATAAGAGTCCCTAGCTGAAATCCACATTCCTCACAGTTTTCAATTCTTAACACCCACTGTTAATTTGTTATGTTATTAAAATTGAAGCCAGAGTAGCACAGCTGGTACAGTGACGTGCTGCGGTGTGTAGAGCCGGGATTTGATTCCAGGCTGGGACACATTTCTTCTCTTCTCCGTAACGTCCAGACCAGGTTTGGGGCCCAACCAGCGTCTTGTCCAAAGTTATTGGGAGCTATTTCCCCGGGGGTTAAAGCTGGCAAAGCGTGATGCTGATCACTCCCTCCATCCAATGCAGAGGTAAAGAATAGTGGAGCTGTAATATCCACTCTCCCATACGTCTTCATGGAGCGGTGCTTAATTAATTAAGCACAGGGAAAATGTTGCCTTCTTGTTGATATAATTACTGCAACAAAGAACAGTTTTCTTGTTTCGTTATGATGTTCGTTGTGCGTGTTGCTTCCTCACAGGCGATGGCTCTTGCTGTGGAACGAGAGAAACCCGCGGCACTGAAGATGATCAACAAGGCTGTCCCACACATCTTCGGGCACCCGACGTCCATCTTCGTAACGGCGCCTGTCAAGAACATTCTCTTCGAGGGAATTCCGCTTTACTGCAACGTGACGGATTTTTCTGCTAAAGCTATTTGCTCCGAGATTCGGAAGAAGGATAAAGACTTCCTGAAATTAGGGGATGATATCTTCGGCTTCTCATTCTTCGGAATTGTTAGTTTGCTGCAGGACGTAATGTATTGGCTAACTTAATGGTAACTCAGGGTATATACAGTAATAGTTACTATATCCGGCACCCCGGCACCAAACCTTTGCCGGGTATTGTAATGTCACGTGTCACATAGTGACTAAAGACGAGGTTAGGATTGGTAATTGGATTTATTAACAACCTACAGGTCGTACTTACAATTATTTATTACACTATTGCTCCTTTACACAATTTACAATCACTCCACACTAATCCCATAAGTATATCTACAATAGTCTTCATGGATTCATGACACAGGAATTATTAAAGTCTCACTAAATCACACACCTCCTATACCACTGTACCACAGAACACATAATGTTTTCAAATTACACGTTAAATCTTCACAGGCTGACTTCTTGTACTCTTCTTCAACTAAGTACTTCCCGTTGCTAACTCCTACCGAGGACTACTCTTCCCTGAGCCGAATGAATTCTGTCATTTATATAGCCAAGAAACGGGCACGCATCACAGAAAACACATGTCACGTAACCACCATCCACCGCGGCGTGACGTCACCGCGGACACGGGAAACACAGCCTCCTCTATTGTTGCCTAATCTGGCAAGGACTATTTACCAAGAATTTGTCTTCGCGGGAAGTTGTTTACCAACACGTTGCCTAGCAATGGATGTACATTTAACAGTAATTTTCCGGATAGTACAACATTATACGTAATGCGTATATTACTGTACTTAGAAACCTCATGGGTAAACCTAACAACCTAACAATTTAATTTGTCACTTGATATCCTGTCCTGTTTTTCCCTGCCGCACTTTCTGTTCCATTTTCATCACTACTTACGTAACATGACGTATATACACGACATCAAGGCACAATATTTCTCTCGTGTAATAAACATATTCATATTGAGTCAGTTTCCGGTTAATAGTGCTTTCACGATCATTTAATGTCGGACTTTACTCAATTCAGAATTTACTATTCACCCACCAATATAAAAATATAAGAAAATAGAACGTTTCAATGACTGCATTTTTCTAACCTGCCTATAACAAATGCACAAGAATAATGCGTTAATACTAAAACTGTTCAACATCTCTGACTCCTTGTCGAGATGACACAAAATAATTCATTATGCGAAACGGCTTTATCACTAATTTACATAATTCCAGTTCCTAGAAGGCGAAACTAATTTATAGATGATTACCGGTATACTCCAATCGTATAAAATGATTCAATTCATCTATGGAAGTAAAACTGGTACTTTTCTGTTTATGGACAGAAAAACAACAGCGTTGGAGGCAGATTCAGAGTAAAGCGTGGCATTGAGAACATCAGAGATGTGGGTCAAGTAGTGGAGTATGAGGGGCAGAAGCAGCTGTCGGTTTACGACGGGGACGAGTGCAACAAGTTCAGAGGGACGGATTCCACCATCTTCGGACCGTTCCTTACCCCAAGCGACAAGATCGAAGCTTTCGCTCCTGATCTTTGCAGGTAAACCCGTGTGCAAAATATTGCGAAGGCTTTAATGCTGTTGGCTTCAGTGTTGTGGGACTGTACAGGCACAGGCTCTGAGGTTGTAGGCTTCGAGACTGTGGGACTGTATCCCCTAATAGATCTGGGGCTCTTGGGTCGAAGTCCGTGGCTCTGGGGCTACAGTTTCCCTTGGCTGTAAATTTTCTGGTTATCTGAAACTGTAGGTTCTGGGATGTTGGGTTGCAGTTCCTGCAGATCTGCAGAACTGTTGGGTTACAGACTAATGTGCTATGAGGCTGTGCGCGCTATAGGCCCCGGGGATATCAGGCAAGAGAAATGTTTCCACTTTCATTGTTTAAATCGTCACAACAGAGGAGTCATTGTCTTTACAAACCCATTGACTAAATTCATGGAGCAGACCCCATCTTGAGAAGTTAGTGTCCGTTAGTTGTTCGAAACAGTCTCAGTCTTTTATTGAATCCGAAAGTCCATGGCCATGTTCACAACAGCTCGCCACCTGACGCCGTTCCGTGGCAGTTGGATGTGGTACACAGCCCCATATACTGTATATTTAAGGTAGAGATATATTAGACATCCCGCCCATCTACGGCCAGTTCTCTCAAAAATTTTCGTCCTTCCGGGTTTTTCGATTAAAATGTTGTATTAATGTCTCATTCTCCCATGTGTGCTACATATGCTGCCCAATTCATCCTCACCATATGTTCGTTAATAACAATCGCTGAAGGTCCTCAAATTATCTCTCCATCCTCTCTTTATTTCCTCTCCGCTATGTCCAATGTTCTCTTCAGCACTCTGATATCAGACGCTCAGCCTAAGCATGTTTTCTTTTACTGGAACAGACAAAATGAATTCTGTACAAAAACAAAATGTAAAAAATATATTTGCTTATATTTTCATCATTCGATTTTTAAACAGGACGAGAGGAGATAAATGATTCTAAATGGAACGTTTGCAGTGTTTATCTATAAACCAATTTCAAACATTATTTATAGATGTACAAAAATTAAGCAAATATTTTAATCTAATCTTTCCTAAATATTGTGTGTAGACGCTAAACTTACGAATTAATACGTCAAACAAGAAAATAAAGGTAAATTTGTCCTTGGACTTAGTTAATTAGGCACTACAAAATGAAGACGAATGGGGAAGTTGATTTATAAATCCACGTATTCTTGACCTCGGCACTAGTTGGAGATAAATGGTCACNTTTCGCTTGTAGCTAAATTATTTTCGACTTACGAAAACATTTTAATCAAATAACACATGATAAGTATATTTATAATATCGATAATTTATTTAAGTTTTGAATTCTCGGATCCAATTTCGTTTTCAAATGATGGCACATTTTCGTGCAGGTCTATAGGAGCCGTATACACAGAGTCCATAGTATACAAAGGCATACACAGCTTCAAGTACAGTGCCGGGTTCGGTGACATGTCCACTGACCCAGAGCTCAAGTGCTTCTGTACGACTCCAGACACGTGCATGAAGCAGGGAGTTCATGACCTAACCAGATGCTCAGGTAAGACACATATTTTTAGTTGTTTCCCGTCCATCATGCAACAGTATCAAGATTTCAAAGGACTGAATTTTAAATCTTGATAATGTTGCATGATCCACGTCAGGTGGGTCCCTTGTCACCATGGCATGGCGGGTAAGCAGGTTGTGGATTGAGGAGACGGCCTACAGATCTGGAGAGTGGCTGTGAATATATTGAATAAGCAGTTGCGTACAGCCGACAAGGGGTGGTCCTCTAGCTTGGGGGTTGGGCGTGGGGCCAATAATTCATCAACGTAAAAAGAAAAGCTTGTTACGAAATGCCACAAAGGGCCCCGGAGTTGGACGAAATCTTTGGATAAACGAACTAAGCTGAGGAAAATTAACATGAGATGTGGTACGTGGGATGTAAGAAGTTTGTATAGGGCAGGTTAGCTCATGACAGTTGCGAAAGAAATGGCCGAAGAGAGATAAAGTGACAGAAGGGTATAGAAAACTGCATATTGAGGAGCTTCATAAATTGTACGTTTGCCAAGTAATACAATTAGAATGATCAAGTCAAGATGCGCAGGGCATATAGCACGAATGTGGGCGAAGAGGAATGCATATAGGATATTGGTTGGAAAGCCAGAAGGTGGGTGGATAATATTAAAATTGATCTTAGAGAGATAGAATAGTGTGATATGGACTGGATTGATCTGGCTCAGGATAGGGAACACTGGAGAGCTCTTGTGATCACGGTAATAAACCTTCGGGTTTCATAAGTTGCTGTGAAGTTCTTGCGTAGCTTCATAACTGTTGGTTTCTCAAGAAGGAGCTCCAGAGGGTTAATTAGTTAGTTAATTAATTATGGTGGTCGGTAAACAACCGAAAATAAATTCTAGTATCAACTGCAAGCGGATGCTGAGACACATCAGCTAAGATATGATTTCAGTGTCAATGATCCTTGAAGGATTTCACGGGCCAGTAATGATACACAACTAAAATAAAGAGTATAAGCAAAAGTATCTCCTAGAGCTACTTACACGTATTATTGATTGTTGTGTTGTGACGGTTTTCAGTAAGAAATAATATAAAATAAGAGTATTAATGGACGCAGGGATCGCGCCACTGTTCAGGCAGTTGGTAGCCGACTTCTCACTACGGTAGTCCGGAATCAATACTAGGATAAGACATAAAATATATATGGGGTTCTACCTTTTTTACCTTTAGTGCTATTTTGTTAACTTAAGTATAGTTACTAAATGGTGATAATAATAAATAGATATTTGTTAATATCCTTTTTGTGTGGGTAGTTATTTTATATCTGTTTGCACGTTAATTGAAGGTTGAAATCATGATGATGATGATAACAAAGGCAAATTTGTCCCCGTGCTTAATCAATTAATCACAAAGCGATGAAGATATATGGGGGAGTTGATATATAGCACCATCATTCTCGACCACAGCACCCGATGGAGGTGAGTGGGCAGCTTCACGGCCCGGCCGCTTTACCCTCAGGCAAAGAACACCCCCAAGGTGAGCCCTAGAGCCGGTCTGGGTATTGTGGGAAAGATAAAAATCTTGCCTCTGCCGGGAATGTAGTCCAGCACATAATCCGTCGCTATACCGACTGAGCTATCCCGAATGCTTGATGGTGGCGATGATAACAATAATAATAACATGGTGTAGTCTGGAAGGTGAGATGTCTTAACCCAGAAGACGAGAATATATTTTACTTCGTTTGTGTGGTGCACCTCGAGAAAAAATAACTGTTGAGTTCGTGCTTCCGCGTTTTGTGTAGCGAGTTAATAGGAAGTGCGTGTTAACAGGTGCTCCCATCATTGCATCACTGCCTCATTTCTACGACGCAGCTCCTGAGTACCAGACTGGAGTGATTGGCCTCAACCCCACGAAGGAGAAGCATGAGATACTGATGGTCTTCGAACCGGTAAGGCGTTTTCTGTCTTGTAGTTCCGTTATTTCGGTCTCTCACTGCGGACCTTGCGATTATTAACTACCCTCTTGTCTAAAAGAATATTACTCGCACCTAGAGCACTGCTGAATTGACAAAATCGAAATCAATTAATTAAGAAAGCGATCCTTCAGCTCTCAACAGGCAGTAAAAATTATTCGATGCATCTTGGGATTCAGGTAACTAGCCTATAGTTCTACAATCATGGTAGCCTCTTTATGAATGTTTATGACAAAATTATTAAAACGGATTCTATTCGTTGGATATTATCCACTGTTTTGGTTCTAAATACGTGAAACACGAGCATAAATACACGTTATTCGGCCGGAAATATTCTTCTTTCCTTGTCAGTATTACAATATAAAATAAATGTAACGTTGTGCTTGTGCTTAATTATTTAAGCACCACGACATGAAGACGTGACATTTAATCCGGGAATGGAGCCCCTAGTACCTTTTGGGTAGAGGTTGGGTGGGTCCAAGAACCGGTCTGGACGCTGTAGTAGTTAGTTAGTTAGTTACTGGAGAGGGTGGGTTTCCCCATGCACTAAGCCCTGTATTGGTCCATTGTGCTTCCCTCTATGATTTCTACCAGTCTCTATATCCTACCGGTACTGATGCTTATCATCAGTCCTGCCCAGCCAGCGAGACCGGCTCTACTAGCTGAGAGGTATCTATAATGCTTTCCCATCTACTAGAGATATTAGAGACTGCTGTTGGGCGGGAAACGTCCGTTAATTTGGCTCAGTGACCTCCTTAGGAGATATGAGGTTCTTTTACGTGCCGTAAAGCTACGACACGGGACCCACGGCTTAAAGTCCCTCCCGGAGGACTTGTTCCCTGAATTTTTCCGCCCTTAAAAATTCGACGACCTCCGCCGGGTATTTGAACCCGCGTACTACGAGTCATGAGGCGGGAACGTTACCTCTAGACTACGGAGGCCGCTACGCTGTAGTAAAAGCTTGAATTTCTTAATTTCAGTGGTATTACGTCTTTATGGTTTTGGACACTATATACTGTGATACAGTTTCCAAAACTTTAAAAATGGAATACAGGTTAGACTTCGTTTCAGAAAATATGTTTCCGCCATCAGAGTGCCTAGGAAGGTGATGAAATTACAGCGGTTGTCAGCGCTAATACAACTTACAGGGGAGTTCTTCCGGGATAGGCCCTTATGTGCCACTGGATTTTTGGTTTTGTCTCCTACCAGTAAATGTATCTCTATCTCTTTCTCTAACTAACATATCCCTCCGGTTAGTTTCCTTCCGACAAGATGTGTTTAAGGTATTAAAAAATAGTATCACCCATTAAAATTTTATCAATTACGGACACTTTTAAGAAATTAAGTTCTGTGAATCTTTTATTGCTATTTGATACTTTTTATATTTGTACATACCAATTCTTGTCCGTGTGTACGTGTGCTAATACAGACAGTTAATTTTGATCGGAATAAATCGGCTCTATTTTAGCAATAAACAGGTCAGGAACAAGTTCTCAACGTGAAATTTATACTATCTTGAACGCATATTGACAAATGTGGATAATTTCCACTGCTTCCATGTGATAGTGATTTGCAGAACACTCCATTCTTGGGTAATTCAATACCCAAGTTAAATTGTTAATAAGAAGACAAGTTATTAGAATTTGTTTTATACAAATTTTAGTTTCATTTTATTATTGATAAAATAATTGCACTTGTTTCCCTCCACTGTGAATAGACTTTCCTTCATTAACAATTATTCTAAGTAATAAATGCTATTGCCTCGGTAGCGTAGCAAAAATGGGACGACATTTGAACTGTATAAATTTATCACTCAGATTTAGATACCGTAAAGTTAATCCGTGTTGCATAAGAAAAACGTTTTGAACAGAAAGCATATTTAAATAGAAATAAATAAAGTGAACTGTTACCACTATAGGTATATATGAAAATGACTAGAAATCCTCGCGAAGCAATATAAACTCTTTTAATTATACGTAAAATTTGTTTATGTTTCGGCATCCAGAAATGAGTTCGTCTTCAAGTTACACCCACCGTTTTTAATGCTAGTGGGGTGGGGCTAAGTCCCTTGTACTGCGGCCACTTCTGGCCTATTGTACCAGCCCCAGATGATAGGTGAGGGTGATTGTGGAACAATTGGTGGAATGAAGATTGGCAGGGGAAACCGAAGTACTCGGAGAAAACCTGCCCCAGCTCCACTTTGTCTACCACAAATCCCACTTCACCACCGTTACTGTCTTTCCATTAAGATCGCAAAGTGATTTGCAGTTATTCTGGACAATGTTTCACTGGCTGCCTGCATTTCAGCTGACGGCCACGCCTTTAGTTGGGTACAAGAGACTGCAGTTCAACATCGCCGTTCATGCCATAGACAAGATCGACTTAATGAAAGAAATTCCTACAGTGCTTCTTCCCATCTTATGGGTGCAAGAGGTAATTTCACACAGGCTCTCAACGTCTTTTCTTGCAATAAAAGAAGTTTTTTCTTTTTTTGTGATATGTAGGTTCTTTCGAATGAAAAATTCTCGTATAAAGTGAATATTATGCTTTGGAAAACATAAAATATTTCCTGAAAATATTCGGCTATTAACTTTGGTATTAGCATTGCTTTCGTTGGAGCGTTTGCAACGAAAAATTGCAAAACTGGGCCTGCCATATCTGTCTGTACACCTGGCAGCATGTGAACAATAAGAGGAGGCCTGGGCGGTTCTTTATTAAATTTAATATTGGTCACACATTGACAGTTTACCGGTTTTGGTTATGCCCTCAAGGCCATAACCGCGGGTAACTTGGAGCTCCCGGGGGAAAAAAAATATGTTTCGAAAGAATGGTGCTACCAGAGAGAAGTAGTAATGCCGAGCAGACTTGTCTAACTTGTGGCAAGTCTTGCCTGGAGACGCTGATGTAACACTTGCTCCATATGTAGTGGCTGTTATCATAAGAACCAGAACAAGTGGAGAAATGCTGAAGTGAAGTCGGCTCTTAAATACCCTGGGTCAGGGATACGCAAGAGCCACTTCATAGACAATATTTAGGAGGTGCCGCCGGGCACAGTGCACGTGCCCACCTTGATATTATTAGAGACGGTTTACACGTCAGACGCCGCACGCATCCTAGTGATAAGTCGAGCCACTCCATAGAGAGATACTTTCACGGTTAGAGACCGTACGGCGGCAGCAACAAGTGCAAATATGTTAAATTAAATGTAGACCCCACCTCATGACCTGTTCTCGAAACCCGTGCCTTGAAAGGTCGCCCAGTCCATACTGACATTTTTGAGAGACTAGCGGTGTAGAGAGGACAGCTGTGGTGAGAGGTGGCCAACTAGATCAGGTGGCAGACCGCTCAGCTGCAGTCTGCAAGTAGCTCAGGTACGCCGTACCCGAGTTGCCTCCATGCTCCTACCTGCCCACAGACGTAGCGACTGAAATCGCTACTGCGTAACATGGTTAAAATTTGAAAACAGTAAAGGAAACCGGACGAAGAACTGCGCACATTTCTGCGCACATGTCGACCGTAACTCACCGAGTAATCATCGGAGTAAAAATGTTACCAACAAATGTTATAGAGGAAAACTGAGCATACATTTTAAGCCCAGTACACCTTTTCCGTAAGTAATAAGTTTTCTTCAATATACACGTAATTTAAGGAAAGTGAGCACAAGCAGCAGAATTGTTACGCTAAAAGTGCAGCTTGTAGTTCTTAATTTGTTGTTGTTGTTGTCCTTATTTAAGTATTTCAGCTTCGCCACAATTTGAAACTGTGTGTCAGTAATGTGTATTATACTGTAATTCTATCCTGCATTTTGATTAGTGGATATGTAACTTATTAATGTTTTCTGTGTTTGTGTACAGGTAGAGGCCTTGCGACGAGCTGATCACCCGCCCAAGGAGTCCTACCGAATGTGTAAGATCTAGAAAAACCGAAGTGAACGGAGAAGTTCATGGAGGCAGGCCTAGGCCCAGTGGGGCTGTAGTGCCAAGGAAAAACAAACTATTAATGAGCTGGTCTAAATTTATTTACAATTCTATAGTTGTACATATAACTATGTCTAAATATTAATATACAACAATTTTTCTTATTTTACACAATCATTTAATTCCTAAAACTAACTCCATTGTTCAGAGCTCTTCTTGAACAACTAACAGTCTCTCACATATTCAGAAAACCACCGAAGTCTATAGAACCCGAAAGATATTAGCCTGCCCACACAATTCTCAGTGAAGAAGACCGGGGGGGGTTTCTTCTTCTGGGGCCTACTTCACCACCTACCCGGCGCGGGAGACCCTACCAGTAACTATGCTACCGCCAATTTAATCTTTGAGGTTTTCTGTACCCGCAAAACTCCCACCACGATAAGATTGCAATGTCATTCAGTGAACTTATTTTCTGGAAATTTAAATGGATTCATTAATGTGGTCTGTTGCACAGGGAATGGAACTGAAGCAGGAATACCTGGACAAAGTGGCCAGTATTTTTAAAATCATGGGAGCGGTGGACGTATTGAAGTGGATCCTTATGGTGGCAGGGGGAGGACTCGGAGCAGCAGGTGCAATCATAGGTTACCGCAAGAAGTCCAACGAAATGGATGTTGAGGTGTCGCCTAGTGTGCCGAAGAAACCCGCAGGCATCTCGCCCCTGGAAGTGCAAACACCTCCCAGATACTGAAGCCAACGCTGGCGACAACAAAAGATGATAGAAACAAGTCTGAAAGATTCTGATTGGTGTATATCAGCCTTTTCTACTAATAATACTGGACACTGATATCTGCCCTAGTAATTCCAGATCACAACCTTTCGGAAACCGATTGTTTTTCCTTCATCAGGTGAGAGGACGAAGTTGGTGGAGCTGGTATCACAAACTGGTCCAGGATTCCTGCTTTTATATTTCCACTTGATGAATGAAACATATCCGGTTTCTAAAACGTTGTGATCTCAAAACTTAAACTGGGACGAAGCATAGTGTCCAAAAATAATCAGTTATAACATAACATGGATCAACATTTACGGTCTCCAGTGTAATACCGACTCGTAAATACTGCAACACTGCAACTGGATTATAAAATAAGCAACATTTATGGGACAAGAAGCTCTACACACAGGAATTCATGCGCAATTAATATTTCTGTTGTTATTTTTTATTGGCAAACCAATATCCCATTATTGCTAAGAGCAGAAAGACAGCATCACAAGGTGCCGTTTAGGTTTTTGTTTCAGAAACCCTGATTATTTATTTGTAATAAAAACAGGTAGTAAGGAATGTATTCCTTCTTTAAGGAGTTAAAATTACAACACAAAATTAATAACAGACTCCCTATGTTACGTAATAGCGCAGTCCGTATAGCGACTGGCTACGTGTTGAACGATCAAGTGGTCGGAGTTCTAGTCCCAGTGGGGGCAAGAATTTTCACTTCTCCATGTCATCCAGACCGGCTCTGGGGCCCATACAGCCTCCTATCCAATGGGTACCGGGGCTTTTTCGCCGGGGGTAAAGCGGCCGGGGTATGAAGCTGACCATTCTCCTCCAACTGGTGCCGAGTTTAAGGAAATATAGATCTACACATCCACTCGCCCATACGTCCTCATGGCATAGTGCTTAATTAGCTAAGCAAAGGAAAACATTATTTTTACCTTTACCAAAATTTATTAGTTTACGTGTATTGTCCATGGTCTCTCCACCGCGGCGGCCCGGGTTCGATCCCGGGTCTGGTCAAGTGGGATTTGTGGTGGACAAAGTGGTGCTGGGGCAGGTTTTCTCCGAGTACTTCGATTTCCCCTGTCAATCTTCATTCCACCAGTTGCGCCACAATCACCCTCACCTATCATCTGGGGCTGGTACAATAGGTCAGAAGTGGCCGCAGTACAAGGGACTTGGTCCCACTCCACTAGCAATAAAAAATTATCCATGGCCGTTTCTTTCAACACAGAAACTGTGATTTAATAAACCATTGTCACAAATTCTATTTAATATTCTTGTTCTCAGTGAAGATGTTACACTCATTCTTCCAGCAAGGCCCGAGCGCAAATTGCTGTTAACTACCGTCAGCGGCTTGTCCTGCATGAAAGAGACTGGCTATGAACATGTCATGAAACAAAATTTCAAAGCATTTTCAAATAATTTCTTTACATTTTTTCAATTTACGAACTACCGCAATTTGTTAATTTGTCATAATTTTATCGCTAGTGTTGAATAATGCATATTTTTTCTTTAAGTCTGTCTATTATTGTAAATGTTTCTTCTACTTCTAGTTCTTCGTCCTGTATTCATTTCACGTTTCTACATTTTATGTCAAGTTATTACTTACATATATGTAAACATTCTGGTTTCGGCTAATTGAATTCCTTTGACAAGTCGAGTAAGCGACAAGACGGAGAACTAAGTGGAGAGAGATAATGGAGGAAGACACTAAACAGAGAGTAGACAGTGATACAAGAGAAATTCGTGTGAGAATATATAAGAGAACAGAGAAAGCATTATTATAAGACGACCACCTCGGTAGAAGCAAAAGTGGATGCTGATATCAATTATTAACTTTTGTTTATACTTTATATTTTGACTGTCCTTAAACAGAAATATATATGTAAGATTTGAGGTTTTCACGGCAGTGACTATGAAGAAAGCAGTCTTCTGGGAAGTAGCACCGTGTAGATGTGGTGTTAACCGACGTTTCGGAGGAACGTATCGCCTCCATCATCAGGGTAGAAAGAAAAATAAGAAAATCCGCAAGCAAAGAGAAACAGTCTGCTTGCATCGGTTCTCACTGTCTCTTCGCTTGCGGATTTTCTATTTTTCTTTCTACCCTGATGATGGAGGCGATACGTTCCTCCGAAACGTCGGTTAACACCACATTTACACTGTGCCAGATCCCAGAATACTGCTTTCTTCAGAAACATATATATTTACATATATGTTGTTATGCTGTCTTATAATCTCTGTTCACATTAGGACTATGATGACTGAGAAATTTTGATAGGCCTATAATGGACCAGCTCCTCGGAAAGCGCACGAGTACTAATTACCATGTACTGCGTAAAACGTATTGTCCTTCACCATACGTGTCATCTTTGCCATAGCATTTCTATTATGTAAGGAATTTGTAAGCACAAATAAGTTGAATACAATATTTGCCGAAGAAAATATCCGAAAATTGTGAAAGAATATTGCACTTTTTCGTTTTATTCCTTATATGGAACATGGCGGTAGCGTAGTGGGTTGAGGCACTATGTTACCAAGCGGAAGATCGCGGGTTCAGTTCCCAATGAGGTCACTGGATTTTTCAATTGACCTAACCCTTCGAGACTCACTATGGCCCTGAGTTGAACTCAGCCTCTAACAGAAATTAGTACCAGGAATCTTCCTGGGAGTAAAGGGCGGCCGGTGCGTGAGGCTGAAAATCACACTGCCATATGTGAGCTGATTGTCTAGGAAATGTGGGAGCCCCCATGTCTCACAGCCCTATGGGCCTTGAAGGCCTGTTACAAGGATAGCTTTACCCTTTTTTCGTCTCATGAAGGAATAACCATAACCTTACTTCCTGAATTATGTCACATTGAAGCTTTCAACTGTTTTATGTAACAATTTAAACTGTTAAATTCAATTAGGTTTTATTCAGTCGTTTGTGTAGTTTTAAATGTCCGTTGTTATTTTATAACAATTGTAATATTTAATTTAGTTATTTTCGTCCTTAAATCGTTGCTGTTTCCCATTTTGATCTGCCTTTCTCTTCTTCTGTTCATCTTTCTCTCTTCCTCTACGACATTCACAAAATTTTACGTTAAGTCTACATATCGTCGTTCCTTTTTGACTCCAATTTATTCTATTCAGAAACCAAATATTAATACAATATACAACAAAGCATTCACTTGTCACAGTACGTGCTGCACAAAATCGTTGCTTCCTAAATAGAATATAATGTTGCATCATTTCCTTTCATCATATTCTTCATTTAATGCATCGTTGTGCTAGGAGGTTTGGTCTTTATAATTACTTTTACGCTTTCCGATAACACTACATCCTGTTTTAGATTATATTCCTCATAAGTGTTTCTATCTACTCTTTCTGTTGATTCATCCAAAACTGTAGACCCGTTATGAAGTATTTCTTCTCTTCTCAAACACTTTTTATTCATTAATTTTAACATTTGGTTTTTTTCACGTTACTAGACCTGAACTAATTCTGTCCATTACATATAAATACACTTTTCTATTATTATCATCAATGTCTCGCTTGTCTGTCGTTTTAGTATCTACAGCTATGAAAGTAACCACCACAATAGAATATCCATTTTTCTTTAATAACACAAAGAACGGTCTATTTTTGTTCTCATTATTCCTATATTTTCTTTTAAATCTGCAGTGAATATACGTTTATGAGAATATATAATATAAATGATGTGATATTTAGAATTAAGTTATGTACATGAATTATTCAGTTCTCTTGCAAATGTTCTGAATATAATCTGAAAGTGAGCACATTAAATTTATTATTTGAGTCTATCAACAACATAACCTAATATTCATGCACTGTCATGGCAGGTTATAGAGTAGATTATACAGCATTAGCATTTATAATCAGAACACACGTCACAAGAAATTCCCATAATCAAAAACCTAAATAAATTATCATACACCACGAAGAAAATTTGCAGCAGAAATTATCTGTAACAAAGAAAAGTTGTGAGCAGGTGTATGTACAGTACTATAAGGGTTCCAGTATTGTATACATCTTTTTGTAGAAGCTTTATGGGGTAGATCTTGGTGCTTTCTCTTTTAGAGAAAAAGAATGAAAAAGTTGCTTCAATTAGTATGTTAGATCAAGAGAGGGAGATCGAAACATCAGACTGATATGTGCCTGAACCTATGCTGAGCAATATTTCTGTAGCACGGGTTAATTCTTAAAGGTTTCTTCAAGTTGCAGCTCCTGAACCTTGAATACTGTTAGAAATGTTTGGTCCCATTTGCGAGGTAGAACAATGCAATTCGTGAGATCTGTGTAAAATATTTCTTCATGAGAATAAAATATATAATTTAATATTATTCCTATTAATATTCCTCATCCTAATTCTTTCCTCTATGCCTTTCACTTTCCAACGAAGGATGGAAAAGTATCACGAAAATTGTACAAATATTATGTTTCTGGACGTTAACCACCGTACTGTTTTTATTTAAAAACACAACATTTCGGATACTGGATTCTGTCTCCGTCTTCAGGTAAAGCCTACTCAATTCGGCCCAATTGATAGAACTGATCCTTATCTCTGGATTTCTCGAAATTATATGGGATCACCAATGTGGGTTTTGATGTCACATCGTTTACTGATCAGATTTTTTGCATTTGTCAGATTTACTTACTTACTTATGGAGCTGAGCCCTTCTTGAGGAGCCGCCAAATCTAGAGAGAGAAAAAAAGGGGGTATACTGAGATAGTATATCAGTCTATGTTTCAATTAGGAGGAAAGTATTATACAGTAGTCTCACCGAGTTTGGGGTACCAATGAAACTAGTTAGGCTGACTAAAATGTGTTTAAATAAAACGTACAGTAAAGTCCGTATAGGTAAATATTTGTCTGATAATTTTCCTGTCCAAGATTGCCTAAAACAAGGAGAAACTTTAAAACGCCACTGCTTTAGAACATGCCATTAGGATGGTTCAGAAAAAACAGGTGGAACTGAAATTAAGTGGGACACGTCAGCTGCTGGTCTATGTTCATGATGTGAACCTGCTGGGAGATAATACGAGTATGGATACCGTAAAGAAAACACGGAAACTTTAATTAACTCTAGTAAGGAGGTTGGTTTGGAAGTAAACGCAGAGAAAACTAATTATATGTTGCTGTCAGATCACCAGAATGAAGGGCAAAATCATGACATGAAGAGAGCTAACAGAATCTTTGAAAATGTGACGCAGTTAAAATATTTGGGAACGTCGGCAAGAAATCAAAATGAGGAAATTACGAGGAGATTGAGTTCGGGTATTGCTACTACCATTCAGTCCAGAACCTCGTGTCTTCTTGTCTGATGTCTATATACACAAAAATAAGAATATACAAAACTATGTGGTTCTGCATGTGTGTGAAACTTGGTCGCTGACATAAGGGAGGAACATGGATTGAGGGCTTTTGAGAACAGGGTGTTGAGGATAATATTTGGACCGAAGAGAGATGAAGAGACAGGAGTTTGGAGGAACTGCATAATGAGGAGCTTCATAACTTGTACTCTTCGCCAAGAATAATTAAAATGATCAAATCAAGGAGCATAAGATTGGCAGGGTATGTAGCACGAATGGGGGCGAAGAGAAATCCATATAGGATATTGGTGGGAAGGTCAGAAGGAAAGAGAGCACTAGGCAGACCAAGACGTAGGTGGGTGAATAATATTAAAATAAACTGAATTGTTCTGGCTCAGGATAGGGACTAATGGAGGGCTCTTGTCAACACGGTAATGAAGGTTCCGGGTTCATAAAATATTGTGAAGTTTTGAGTAGCTGCACAACTGGCAGCTTCTCGAGGAAAGTCCAACTCCATGAAGTTAGTTAAGAATTGACGAACTACCTATTTCTGTCAGGATCCACTGAAACAGAGTCTCCCAGTTAAATCGGATTCTCGGTCTACTGCACAGTTGTCTTTGTTATTGATTCAGAAATTCTACTTTAAATGAGCGGTTATTTCGTACCAATTTTTCTGCTGTCCATTATTACGTAAATTGGGATCATATGCTTTCGAGTATATAATGTATATTTTAAAACGTGGTTGAAGTAATTTCCTTTAGCCAGAGATAACGTTGCGATAACTTGCGTCAAGCAGAGTGAAAGAAGGATTTACAAGAAATCTTCGCACAAAGATAATATTATTCAAAATTTGTTTTCGTTTTTAACAACTGCAGAACTGACCAGGCCTGCATGTACTGTATATTCAATACATGTGTATGTTACGACTTTAAACAAAACCACATCATTTTCCTAGATTAAAAACAAATTGGACGTGAGTGGGCCAGCTTACCATTTTTGGGTCAATTGGTCGATTTGCACGGAAAACTGATATGGAAGTTCGTCACTGGAGGCCATTCTAACCTAATGCTCTCAGTAATACAAATAATAAGAACTCCAAGATGTGTGAAGCGGCGGCGACACTAGCGCCATTTCATACGGCGTAGTACGAAATTATGAATGATAAGAGGTTTTCGAAAGTTCTACATATCTTACAACTTACTTCTGTATAATGTAAAAACAACTTGGGAGACATGCGAAAATCTTACTTTAAATTAGTTTGACAGCTACAAATAATGAACCACTGCAGCTAGGAGTATGAAATTCTGTGGGAATTAGATTATAAACATCGCTACAAACTATTCTCAATATATTGCGTACACTGATAAAATACAAGTAAAACTAATTGCTTACAAAACATGGAAAGAATGGAAGATTGTATATTGCAAAAATGCTTTCTGTATTATAAACCAAGCCAATGGGGAGAAGGGACATATAGGACTGTCTAGGAGGACTGTGAAGAGCTGGAAAGACAGCCGACAGGCCTGAGAACCTATACCTTGGAAATGATAATGACGATAATGTTATTACATTATTTATAAGTAAAAAATTACAGATATGGTGACGGTGCGAAACTCTGAGGTCATATCTGATAATTTTGACGTCGACAAAATCTGTAGGAGTATTATAAAAAGTTATTCCCCAAAATTCAACTCATTTTTATTATTTATGTGCTGAGTCAACAGCCGCAAGGCCAATTACAGACTTAGCACAGTGTAGATGAAAGTAATTACATTATAGACAAACACATTATAAGTCAAAAACAAATTACAGGCAATTACTTGGGAAAACACAACAATGAAGAAAAGTAAACAAACACGCAAATAAATGATGATAATAATAACAATAATAATAATTGCATTATCACAAAACTAAGTGTTATTAAGAAGTGAAAAATGAAACATAAATATTTAATTAATTAATTAATAATAATAATAATTAAATTCTTTACTATTTATGTGCCGAGTCAACAGCCGCAAGGCGAATTACAGACAGAGCACAGGGTAGATACAAGTAATTACAATATGAATGAAACACAACGTAAAGTCATAGACAAATTACAGGCAAGCACTGGAAGAAAACACGACAATGCAGTCAAGTAAACAAACAAACAAACAAACAAACAAACAATAATAATAATAATAATAATCTGTTATATACGAATAATTGAAACAATATAAAATTATTACTCGAGTATTATGCGATGATATGTCCATCTACACACAAGCCATTACGCCATTCCGTCAGATAAACATTTTACGTTTACTTTATAAATTTATATTTTCTAAATGCTCCATCAGCAGCTTAAGACTACAAAGAGGTTTATGAATTCTGCCTCTTACTGTTTGGTAGCCTATAGTTTGCACTTGGTTCACTTTTATTTGACTAAAATTTTACAAAGTTCATATGTGAGTCATAAATAATTTGCTCCCTTGTGTGTAATTAGAACCTTGGCTTTGTTTCCAACATGGCAAGGCCTGCATAGCACATGTAAAATTAATCTATCAGCTACTAGACATTCATGCTTATTTTACATAACCAGTGAGTTGGAAGTGGGAGAGTAAGGCTGAATATCTGCCCAGATTCCGAACCTTGTGTGGCATTCTGCTCAGAGCCCCTGAAAGAAAGGGGATCCACTTAGATTCATGTGGCCCGTCACAAACTGTGAACTCATTGTGTAGACTGAAATGCATTTAACGGTTATGTGAAAATGTGTATGTGTTTTTACGACGACTGCTGTAAAAATGAATTGTGAGTGTTACGGATCTGATTTCTCGAATACGTGTATTACTGAATTTAATAACTTGTTCAAGCAGTGAAGTCATGTTGAATATACAAGCTTCGCTTTTTGTAAAATAGTGTGGAGTATAGACGCGTTTCTAGGCAAAGACAACGAAACAAACAAGGAGACAAAAGCCGTTGCTATGCAACAGCACAGTAGACATGCCTCTACAACAATATAGTTACGTATTAGTGACTAAAGACGGGGGTTGGATTGATACAAGTAACTGGATTTAATGAAGGCTTACAATTCGTAACTATAAATGACTATAGGAGGCTCGCCGTTTTACTCTCTCCAGACCACTACAACTACGGCACACATAAAGCCTTCTGATCGTTCACTAGTCGTTTCTAGGTAACGGCTGCTAACAATACAACTCAAGACTATTAATTATCGGCTCCGATCTCCGGCTGACTGTCCACTCCTTACGCACAACTCATGACTGATTAATTTTTCTCGTTCGTCTTCGTTGTATAGCCCCGGCATGGACCGCATAAGAAATGTCGCTTCCATCGATTCTTCTATTGCTGCGTGTATATTCATTGCCGCGGATAAATGTTTAAAGCACCCTTGGCTACTAATGGCCGCATAGGAAACACCACCTCCTTTATTGTTGCGTATTTATTAGTTGCCGTGGATGTGTTTACAGCTCCGTCGCCTATAAATGGCCGCACCTATTCGCTCCAATATTCCGGCTTTTAGCCATCACGTCACAGTATGTGGTGAAGAATGGGCATTTGTCCCAAAATTTGCCTTTACCGTGATTTGCAATTCTTAAATTTAAAGATGGCGAGAAAAACGGCAAGCGGCAAAAGTCCCGTCTATAACCTGCAATATCGGCCAGAGGATGCTCAAATATGAGAGAGAAATTGAGTGAGAAAGAAAATCAAAGGGAATGAAAATATTTATATTTATCCTACGGTAGCATTAAATTGAGGGACACTGTTGAATGATTAATATTTGGTAGGTCTACGCATGCTGAAAATATATATTTACAAGGATTTTATTCTGCAACCTAAAATCGGAGAAAAACTGGTATAAAATTAAAGTACTCTTTAGAAATATTATCAACGAAACATGGCAATTGCTGAGGTATTTATATTAACGATAGGATGCTTAAATTTTGTTCAAGAATACATCTTCTAAAATACGTAAGACGCAAAATATAATGACAAAAATTTCTTCAAATGATATCTTTAGAATGTTTTGTATAACTACAATGATTGTTGTGCCGACTGATTATTATTATTATTATTGTGACATATGGGCCGTTTCTATAATAGAGCAATGTCCATAAACATTCTCACGGCAACGAACACAGGCAATAACAGAAGAACTGCCGTTTCCATGTGACGGCCGGTAAACACCCGCCTTAAAAACTTAACACTATAGGGGAACTGTGATTTCCATGTGGTCTACGCCAAGCAATCGCGCGGAACGATAGGATGTCTATTGTCAGGCAATGAAGCTGTAAACACACATCCTTAACAAAGAACACTTTGTTTTCCGTGGGGTCCGTGTAGACGAGTTATCTTGAAGACAATCGGCGCTCCGAGTCAGTCAGTTCTCAGTCCTCGGTAGGAGATAGCCATGGGAAGTTCGTAGTTGAAGAAGAATGAGAAGTCGGCCTGTGAAGACTTTAAGTGTGCTGTAGTGCAGTTATATCTGGCGTGTGACAATTACAGTTCCTGTGTTAAAATACGTTGCCACGAAACGGATAGGAAAATTTTTGCAGAGGAATAGCCATTGTGTAGATCTGTTGCCTAGCAACGACTAGGGTAAACAGATATAGAAGACTTTATTTATGTGTTATAGTGTTATAATTAGATTAATTTTGGAAGTGTTATAATTAATCGTAGTTACGACCTGTAAGTGGTCAATAAATTAAATTGTTAATCCGAACCCCGTTTTTAGTCACTGATGCATGTGATATTATTTTAAACAATATAATTACTTGTCGCTAATTCACAAATGCCTGAATACTAATTAGGTGGAGATAATTGTTCCTGAACTTCCTACTGTGTCTGATTTAATGCCATATATGGCCGTGGTCTTGATCAGTTTCGTTACAGGAACTGAAGCCAAAACATATCAGGGTAGCAGGTGTCCTCTTCCTCTTTGGCTCTCTGTTCGGATTCTTTGGGTTCCCGCGTATTCTCCACGGCCAGATCGCATCGGTAAGTGAGTGACCGGTGATGGGAAATTATTGGACAGTAATTACTGTAGGTAACTCGTAATGGTCTTGTTTCGTGTCACGTGTTCTCACGTGTTCATGAGACACATTTTCAACACCTACGTAGTTATATTCATAAATTTACTTTATTAATTTTTTTCAACCAGTACAGATTTCAGTAGGACATACTCCAAGATACAAAAAAAAATGTTGCATTTTGTTACCAGTGCAGATTATCAAAACATGTTAAAAAAAATTAATGATTTTTTAGGACTGTTGCTGATATCAAGTACCAATTTTTCATTCAATGAATCGATTTTGTAATTTCTAAAAATGGTTTATTTTAGCTCCTTTTATACCAAGAATTATCATAAAGTTCTAAAATGAAATTCATCCTATAGAAATTTTTGAAGATCACACGTTGTAAATTTGATCGAAATCCGTTGTATGAAGATGGAATATGTCGAAAGACACCACTAATCGCCCATTATGTGTTTTATTGTTCTGAAAGAACGCAGAATAAAACCACAGCTTGTTACAGACTCCAAACACTTCGGATGCACTTCTTTAACTGATAAACGTATGAACAGAGTGAAGGCTCTCACAGAACCGCTGTAGTGATTTGTAATCCTTTTCATGGACATTAAAAGTGAATAAAACTAATTTAATATATGTTTCAGCAACTAACCCTGAAGCAAGGTTCTGAAATGAGGGCAATTTGGTCGAAGATTCCAGATCCATTCAGCTTCAGAATATACGTCTTCAATGTAACGAATCCAATGGACGTGCAGAGAGGGGGAAGACCCATTTTGACTGAGGCAGGGCCTTATTTCTATGAGTAAGTATCTTGCATCAAGTACATGTTGACGGACTTGTACAGGAACTTTAAAATATAACAATGCAACGCTTTGTATATTTACTTAGGATTTTCATTTGAAAGGAAAACTAAAGATAAAAAGAAGGTAAAGCTATCCCTGCAACAGGACGTGGAGGCCCATAGATTTGTGAGACGTCGAGGCTCATACATTTTCTTTACACACTCCTCTCACAGATGGCGGTAAGGTTGTCAGCCTTACGCGCCGGCCGCCCTTTACACCCCAGGAAGATTCCTGGTACTCAGTTTGACGGATCTACACATTGTACAAATCACTATTTCAAAAATTAAAGCTTTTATATATTCACCAGGCGTTGCTTTGTAACGGCTCCCAACAATGGGTATTCCTCTGCTACTGTGCTCACGTCCTCGTTGGATGGTGGATGGCTCTGACCTAACTCACGACTCAGTCCCTGCATGCTAAATTCCTGCTGTCCAGAGCCAACACAATGATTCTTGGTTCAGAGTCCCACTGGACTCAAGACTATAATTCGCTGTTACGGGCTGCTGTTGCCTAGCGATGGCGGATGTTTACCGGCCGTTGGCTATCTTCTGGCTCCGCTCTTCCGGCTTTCAACCATTACGTCATAACATGAAGTTATACAGAGTGGGGCGCAGGAACTTCCTTTTTGTGAAGACGCATTGTGAAGGGAGCGGAGGTCGCAGAAAAGTGGGGATAGGCTCGGCGAACGCAGCAGTCGCGGAAGTTTCTGTCTAATACCACTCAGTAGGAAACATGAGGTGGACGAGTGGGCAGCGTGCGTTTGCTGTCGAAGCCTATTTTTCGCACAACCATTCCTACTTGGCGGTGCAGCGTGCGTTCCATACTCACTTCGGAATTAAGCCCAGACGTCCGGTTCCTGACCGGTAATCGATTGTTTTGTGAGTAGAGAACTTTAGGACAACCGGGAGTGTGGTGAAAATATCATCAGGACGACAACGGACCGTTACGACGCCAGAAAATATGGAGGTAGTTCGACAGTCGATTTTGAGATCTCCAAGGTGCTCCGCTCGCAAACATGCAGTCGCCCTAGACATATCCAATCGTTCAATGCGCCGAATTCTTCACGAACCTCTTAATTTCCATCCCTATAAGATGGTTGTTGTGCAAGAATTGTCCCCACGTGATTTCCAGAACCAAATAACGGCGTGCGAAACGTTATTCGAAACTTTACCCCCTGATGCACTTGTTTTCTTTAGTGATGAGGCACACTTTCACCTATCCGGATATGTCAACAAGCAGAATATGCACTATTGGAGTGGTAGCAATCCCAGAGAGCTCCATGAGAGTCTACTTCACAGTGATAAGGTGACAGTATGGTGTGCGTTGTCGAGAGTTGGAGTTATTGGCCCTTATTTTTTTGAAGAAGACAATCATGCAGTTACTGTCAATTCACAGCGGTATGTGGACATGATTAAAAACTTTTTCGAACTAGCTCTTGAAGAAATGCATCTAGGAAATGTCTGGTTCCAACAGGATGGTGCCACGGCCCACACAGCCCGAGCTTCGATGACAGTTTTGAGGGCAAAGTTCCCCAGACGGCTCATCTCGCTTCGAGGTGACATCCCGTGGGCAGCGCACTCACCTGATCTAACGCCCTGTGATATTTTTTATGGGGACACCTCAAGGCAGAGGTTTTTAAACATCGCCCCACAAACCTGCTTCAGCTGAAGACTGTTATTCGGCAGGAAGTAGCCCAAATTCCGGTGAACATGTTGGAGGGTGCAGAGGGGAACTTCAGAAAACGGTTGCATCAGTGCATAGAGAACGGTGGCCACCACCTTCAAGATATTTTGTTTAAACCTAAATGATTTAAAATTTTAAAGTATGTTCTTTCATTAGCTAAACATAAATTTTGTCTATCAGCAATAATTTCTCTTTTATTCGCCTTCAAAAAAAAAAAGGAAGTTTCTGCGCCCCATTCTGTATATTGCGATGTATTAGATAGCAAGTATACGGAATGTGCAAGATACAGGTTTAAAACTTTGGTCCGAGGATCGTCTGACCTAAGAGGGGTCTGTGGTTCTCCTCAGTGCTCTAGGCAAATTCCGGGACAGAATCTCAAATTAGGTGCAGAACTCTTCTATCCACATTCTACCCAACTTCTTGCACATTTATAATCTTACAACTTGAATCGTAAATAAATAAAATAAAGATTCGTGTGTTATTTTCCATGTTGCAGAGAATTTAAGGAGAAGATAAACGTCACGGACCACAGAAATAATGATACAGTGTCATTTAACCCACGAGACACTTGGTACTTCAGCATGAGGAAATCCGAAGGATTGACAGGAAATGAAATGCTCACCATCCCTCACCCTGCCCTCCTGGTACGGAGAAGAGAAGCATCACACTAATTACATAGCGACTTGTGCACTAACCCCTTTAAGCGTAGTGGTTACTGTATGTACCACCTGCTTTAACAGTGAAATTATTATTGTGGCTCTGCAGCCCTTTATTTAGCCTTGGCCGCTTTTTCAGTATCTTGATCCCATACACAGTCAATAGGACTCCTTGGACGGGGGATCAGCCTGTCGCATGGCCACTACCTACACACAGAATAAACGCACACAATACAGACATCCATGCCTTGAGTGGGATTCGAATCCACGATCCCAGCTTTCGAGCTAGTGAAGACAGTTCATGCCTTAGACCGCGAGACAACTGCGATCCGCTTATCATTAAAATACCTTGCACTTGTGCCCACAGAGTGTATTTACGCGTTTCGTATGACGTTCAGAACGAACAGAGATTGTTATTTTCTTAAATACAATTAAAAACTGGTATTTTTAAAGGAAACGCAGAGTTATCTGTGACGTAGGAATTGAATTTTTAAATATTAAGTAGCTATGGCTTCGAAGTGTTAACTCCTGTCTCTGTAGCAATTATAAATACTGCGTGTAGTATTTGTGCACGCTCCTCTGGGACTACCGCCTTATCGTGGAGGTGAAATTTTCGCGCTCTAGCGACTTGGAGTACTATGCTGGTGGGAGCCTAAGTTACTGGTAGAGCCACTAATGCTAGACAAGTCAAAGGGTAAGGACCGGACGAAGTGTAGTGCCTGGACCTCCAGGTTGGGTATTAGGCGTGGGACTAATTATCCCACCCCAGAAAAAAAATTACTGTTACGAAAGCATGAAGACCATAATCCACACATGGTTGTAGCGCCAGTAAAGAGAAGAGAGATTTGTATGTAATTATACAAAAAATGAACTACATGACTCAGACGTGAAATGTTTGTTTTATATTCTCACTTACGCTTGTCGCTCCATTTAACCAAGTTTATAAGTTTATTCACTACGCATCATGACCAGGAAGGTGCTACACAAGAGTGAAATTATTTTCAGAAGAACACAAGTTTCGTATTTGTCCTGATTTATTTTAGAACGCTACGTCGACTGTTGCGTCGAAAGAGAGACGGCAAAATGATTACGGATGGTAATTTGAGAATAAGGAGGCGTCGAAATAACTGTAGTTTATTTCACGACATGTCAGTAGCAAAGATTACGCAGCGTCGGATAATTCAATCATTGTGAAAAGTGAATTTGTAAGGATATAGAAGTACGCGGTCGTAGCCGAACCTGGAGTAAAACCCCGCTGTTTTCTAATGAATAAAACAAAGTAAACCTAAGTCAGGATAGCCCGTCGCTCAGGGCAGAGAGTTGAATCCAGGACCTCGCAAATACAAAGAAGCACTGATACCCGTGCCAATCACTAGTAATTCGGTGGGTTTATCTGACAATTGGGGGCACGGGATAGCGTAGTTGGTTGAGGGGATTTGCTACAAGCCGGAAGGTCGCGGGTTGAAGTCCGGATGAGATCATTGGATTTTTTCAATTGACCTAATCCTTCCAGCCGCACTATGGCCCTGGGGTTCACTCAGCCTCTAACAGAAATGAGTACCAAAAATTAATTAAATAATTTTCCTGGGGAGTAAAGCTCGGCCGGCGCGTAAGGCTGACAACCTTACCGCCATCTTTGAGCCGATTGTCTACATAATGTGGGACCCACAACGTCTAACAACCCTATGGGCCTTCACGGCCTGTCACAGGGATAGCTTTACTTTTTACTTTTCTTTATGTGACAATTAAAACAAATGACAATGAACATATTCCCAGTCGTTAAATTTGATCATTGAAGAACTTCACAGTAATTATCAACCAGTGCACAAAGGTTATCTTTTTTTTTTCCTTGGCACTACAGCCCCAGTGGGCCTAGGACTACCTCCATGAACTTCTCCGTTCACTTCGGTTTTTCTAGATATTAGACATTCGGTATGACTCCTTGGGCGGGTGATCAGCTCGTCGAAAGGTCTCTACCTGTACACAAACATAGAAAAACGCACACACACAAACTAAACATCCATGCCCTGAGTGGGATTCGACCCCACGATCCCGGTTTCCAAGCGAGCGAAGACAGTACATGCCTTAGACCGCTCGGCTACCGTGACCGGCGGTTATCTTATTACAGATGCAAATTCGCTGCTCCCAGTGTTATTCAGGAACCAAGAAGCATATTAATTTCCCGTTTTAATTCTTTATCATCTAAAGATTTATAATGTAGATATGGAATAAACGGCTATAAACTTACATTTCTTACGTCTCTTCATGTATTTCACCTTGTGCTTCTAGCGGATAATCGACCTCCTTGCCGAGAATTGAATCCTAACCTAACCTAACAGTTTCGGTTCACTAGTTATATACCTACATGCATACCTCGTTGTACTGCGCTTCGCACATATTGCGTTTTTTTACAAATTGAAGATTTGTGGCAATTCCGCTTCCAGCAAATCCATCGGTGCAATTTTTCCAAGAGCATGTGCTCACTTCGTGTCTCTGCATCACATTTTGGTAATTCCTGAAGTATTTCAAACTTTTTCGTTATTATTATTAGTGATCTGTATGTTATTACTGTAATTGTTTCGGGGCGCTGCTATCACACAGCATCGCATGCCACCGAGAAATATTTCGTGAAAGGAAGTGTCAATCGATTCGCCAGACTTCACTCTTGTCTTATTTTAAGAAATTGCCACAGCCATTTCAGCTTTCAGCAATCACCGTCCTGATCAGTCAGCAACCAGCAACTTCGAGGCAAGACCCTCCACCAGCAAAAAAAATACGACTTGCTGAAAGCTTAGATGATAGTTAGCATCTTTTAGCAATGAAGTATCTTTAATTAAAGTATGTACATTATCTTTTAGACATAATGCAATTGCACACTTAATACACTACAGTATAGCGTAAACATAACTTTTATATGCACTGGGAGACCAAAAGATTCGTGTGACTCGCTTTATTGCGGTGATCTGTTACATCTCCGAGGTATACTTGTAGTTATTTTGTTGGCTATACTGACAGTTATGATTCTTGTTACCATATAAACTTATCCTTGTAACTTTGGGTTAGAAGTTCCCACTGCAGGACTATGAAGAGTATGGTCTTCTGTGATGTAACGCCGTATATTGTACTTTGTAGAAAGCCAGAAGTTTCAGAGCAACATATCGTCCCCATTTTCAGGATCGAAGAATAAGCTAAAGAAGAAATAGCCAGAAGCAGGCAGCAAGATGAACTCAGCTTACTCTTCGACCCTGAAGATGGAGGCAATACGCTCCTTCTACACGTCAGGTTCCGTCTCAACTACACGATATTAAAATCTAGAGGGGCGCAATCTTCACTACTATTTTAGTTTTGGGTCTTCATGGCAGTGCGTGCTGAGATGTTGTCTTCCGGGTGGCGACATCGTGCAATATTGTAGGTGGACACCAAAGTTCCACAGGAACTTGCCACGTCCATTTTCAGGGTCTATCCTCAAGACGTAGGCACAACCCAGAAAAACAGTCTAAATTATGTTATAATGACAGCAATTTGTTTCCTACAGGCGACTGCGCTCACTACCGAAAGGGAGCGTCCGGCGGCGCTAAAGATTCTTAATAAAGCCATTCCGGCCATCTTTGGGAATCCTGCCTCGATGTTCTTAACAACTTCTGCAAGGAATATACTGTTTGACGGAATCCCCATATACTGCAACGTGACGGATTTTTCCTCCAAGGCTGTATGTTCAGAAATAAAGAAGAGGAAAGATAAATTCCAACAACTTGACGAAAATATTTATGGATTCTCCTTCTTTGGAATGGTTAGTATCTGCTTTGAAACTGCGATGTATGAAACCAATCACGTATAACAGGATGCATGAAGAAGAGTCTTTCATGAGAAACCAACAGTTTTCCGGCTGGTCAAGAAAATTCACGCCTTCGTGGAACTCATTGCTCTTTTAATTTTACTAATTTTCTGGACCTCATCTGTCGTCCGATATCATAAACCAGAACACGACGTTTCGGGAACTGTGTATACTGGCCCCCTCAGCTGGGGAGTTGGATCAAATAGAGCTAATTCCAATGACTGGACCGGCGATTTGGATAAGTTCATTCTAAGGTACCCAATTGGACCAGTGATTTGGATTACCTCTTCATAACAAACCCAACTGGATAAGTGACAGATAATATCGTTCTAACAGTCCCAATTTTATCAGTGATTTGTATTATTTCTTTCTAGCAGGCCCAACAGGACAAGTGATTGCGATACCCAACTTGTATAATGACTGGGATTCTCTTTCCAATAGACCCAAAAGGACCAGTGACTGCGGTTAGACCTTTCTAATAGACCCAAACAGATAACTGATTTGGTTTATCTCTTTCTAACCGGCTCAACTGGAGAGTAATAAAGAAAAAGTTGTCCCTGTGCGTAACTAATTAAGCATTACGCGCATGAAGACGTATGAGGGAGTGGATGTATAGGCCCACGCTTTCTTGACCTTGGCACTTGTTGAAAGTGAGTAGCCAGATTCACGCCCCGGCTGCTATATCCCCGGGGAAAGAGCTCCCGGTGCCCATTGGATAGGAGACTGAGTGGGCTCCAGATCCGGTCTGTACGACATGGAGAAGTGAAAATTCTTACCCCCACCGAGACTCGAACTCCGACTCCTTGGTCGTAGAGTCCGTAGCCAGTCGCTGCACCGACTGCGCTGTCTCGGTTCTCCAATTGCACAGTGATATAGCTTTTATCGCGCTAACAAACCCAACTGTGTCCGTGATTTGGACTATCACGTTCCAGTAAACCTAACTGAGATGCCCCTCACCTGAAGAAGGGAGCAGATCCAGCTTCCAGTACGTCGTGGTTTAGAATGTTGGAAGATAGACAAATTCCAGGACAGCTAAGTATAAAACGCCATTGCCTTAACCTTCTGGAACTGGTTCAATACCATCCTCACAAAAGTCAGCCAGAAATTCCTATCCTATGACAAGTGATTCAAGTTCAAGCCCTACTATCACTTTTCACGAAAATAAAACATTAAATAAAATCCAGAATTTGGGGAGAACACTCCGTTTGTGAAGACACGGATCCCTTCCAATGAATAAACACTTAGTGAACCTGTACGTACATTCATTTCACGCAAAGTACGAGTATAATGCAACTACCGATGTCATACTTAGACCATCTAAGGCCGCCACGTACGATGGAGTCGCGAGTTCGAATTCCATTCAAGGCTTGGACGTTTATATATGCGTTCTCTCTGCTGTCACATTTTATTTGTAACGGTAAAATAAAATCTGTTCCCTGATCCCCGTCCAAGCAGTCATACAAGTATTGTTTGCTGAAAAGACGCATTATTTCACGATTAACTTTTAACAAGACAGTTTAATGTGCATAATTAATGAAAATGGATGTGCAAAGAAAACAAAGTAAATGGTCCTACAAATAATTGTTCAATGAAAGGGTGAGACCGACTATGCTGAGGATTTTCATGGTTATCCTCAGTCATTTTAGGTAAATGGAGTATCTCTGACTTGGGCACTGCCGCTTCCTTTCGTTATCTGTCCTATTCAGTATTCACCGGTAATCAGTTGACGCTAGACAACTTGAAATACTGAAAGTTTATGAGGGGTAGGCCTCCTCGGCCCTTGCACCGCGACCTACAGTGGTCTATTGTGCTTTACTGAAAGTGTAGTTAGTTAGTTATTTGGAGAGGGTGGGTTTCCCCATGCACTAAGACCTGTATTGGTCCATTGTGCTTCCCTCTATGATTTCTACCAGTCTCTATATCCTACAGATACTGGTACTTACCATCAGTCCCACACAGCAGCGAGACCGGCTCTACTAGCTGAGAGGTATCTATAATGCTTCCCCCATCTACCAGAGGTATTAGAGACTGCTGGTGGGCGGGAAACGTCCGCAATTTGGCTCAGTGACCTCCTTTGGAGATATGAGGTTCTTTTACGTGCCGTAAAGCTACGACACGGGACCCACGGCTTAAAGTCCCTCCCGGAGGACTTGTTCCCTGAATTTTTCCGCCCTTAAAAATTCGACGACCGCCGGGTATTTGAACCCGCGTACTACGAGTCATGAGGTGGGAACGTTACCTCTAGACTACGGAGGCCGCTTACTGAAAGTGTAACTCCGCATCTGACGCTCAAGTGTAAGACAGGCCTATGTCTGCATATAAATAACTGAAAAAGTCAAATATCTCTTCATGCACTGTTAATTCGTGTCTGATTTCTTCAGAGAAATGGTACTGCAGGAGAGAGATTTCAGGTGAAGCGGGGAATTGAGAACATAAAGGAACTGGGACAAGTTGTTCAGTTCAAAGGAGAGAAGAAATTAACTATTTGGAGTGGAGATAAATGTAACAATTTCATGGGTACGGACTCCACCATCTTTCCACCGTTTCTCACTCCAAATGATACCATAGCAGCATTTACGCCTGAAATCTGCAGGTGAGTGCCAACAGAGCGGTTAAGACTAGCCAGAGGGGGGCGGATAAGAGAGCCGAAATACCGAACATTCTGCTCGGGCTTTAATTGTATTTAAGTTTGATTACCGATTAAATAACCTGTAAATATAGTAAAGTACATACGTACATTCAATAACGAAATAGTAAACACGTATAACTCCATGGGGAAATCTGTCTAGAGAAGTTGGTTGTTATTAGCGGTTAAAAAATTATCCGCTCTTGTTGAAACTGAAGGTTCGTTACAGTGATCACACCATGATTCTTTAAGATCCATCTTAATATTCTCCACCTATTTTCACGCAAGCCTGCCAAGTTGTTTTTTCCTCCACATTGCTCCGCTATAAGAAGCTCTCTGATTCAGAGCGTTCTGAATAGACAGATGTTCGTTTACCTGCGCAGTTTCTGCTACAAATTTCATTTTCTAACTTTTTAAGTAACGTAGCTGGTCACGGTAGTCGAGAGGTCTAGGACATGTACTGACTTCGCTTGCTCGGAAGCCGGGATCGTGGATTCGAATCCCACACAGGGCATGTATATTTGGTATGTGTATGTGTTTAGGTAAAGACCTTGCGACGAGCTGACCACTCGTCCAAGGAGTCCTACCGTCTGTAAAATGATCAAAATGAAAAAAACAACCTCGACACCGTAAGGTATATAAGAGGAATGGATTAAGTAAGTTAAGTAAAGTAACTAGTTATGTTGACATAGGACAGCAAATTCTATTAGAATTCCGCACGTGACTCTCAAATATATCTTCTTAAAGCCTATATAAACAGCTGTCATATTTTCCCACTATTCTTCCTTCATCTAGTGTTTGATGATCAGAGAATTTCTGGTGAATACTGGTACCTATTTCATTATGTCTGAGCTTACACTGACGAGATCCAGTAATTTTGCTGCATTTACATGAGCCTAATGCGCGTCCCTCTTAATACTAACAAACAAATCAATTCCAGCCTCAGAAGACTCAAAACTGGGAAACTTGTTCATAACCCAAATGCACACATTATAGTTTTTCCAAATTTTATGTTGTGCGGACACCACAATAGTCTGCATTGAGTACAGTAAATAGTGCAAGCACGCTAATGGCTCTGCGTGAGATTATGGGTATTAATTAAGCCAGTAGGGGCATCTGCCAACAACAGTCTCCCTGTCGTCAGCTGTAATAATTTTCAAAAACATTTATCTAAAAGACCCTCTCAAAAGCTGTATTTTATGTTTTTTTTCCAGTTGGATGTCATGATCAGATTGTGATAACGCAAAGCGAAGCTAATAGGAAACAGTTAATTATTGCAAATCGGTGACACAAGTAATGTAATTCTAAATAAAATGTAGCTATACAAACTTCAACAAATTTATTCTCAGGTCTATCGCAGCATATTACACTGGAAGTATAACTTACAAAGGCATCAAAGCATATAAGTACAGTGCGGATTTCGGTGATGCGTCTCGAGATCCAGATCTTACATGCTTTTGCACCACGCCAGATACATGCTTTAAGAAGGGACTCCACGATTTGACTAACTGCGTAGGTAAGAAAATTCCGTCATCTAACTGAATTACCATTTTATGTGCCCCTGTTATATTTGGTAAAATGGCTAACTGCGTAGATAAGAAAATTCCATCATAAAACTGAATCAGTTTTTTGTGTCCCTGCTCGTGTCTGGCAAAATGGAAAGAACAGAGGCCATGCACCTCTGGCACGTTGAAGTGACATGATTTCTCTCAGAATGTCTCATTTCAGATAAGAGGAGAATATGTTTCAGGTGTCATATTGATGTCTCAGCAGAGGACTATTCATTAAACTGCGTCTGCTGAGGTATACACGTACATCATTGTCATAAATGAATCCCATGTTAGCGAATTCCGAGAAACAAAACTTAGACAAACTTGTGACTCAATCGCACATGCGTACTGGAAATAAAGCTAAATACACCATTCTCTATCCAGGGCACAATAGTAATTTTAGTAATACTAATATCTGTTATGTAATGTAAATATATGACATGATGTTCTACCATATTAGCCATTTGAATATGACAAACTTTTAATGAAATTTTAACTGCATATCAGGTGCCCCCATCGTTGCTTCACTTCCCCACTTCTACCTTGCGGACCGTGAGTACCAGACAGGAGTGGTTGGCCTCAACCCCACAAAAGAGAAGCACGAGATCCTCAGCATATTCGAGCCGGTGAGTGGCTTCCTCTTAAATAAGGTAAATATGGGTCCATTCCCATGGCTGGGCCCATACGTCATATCCATGCGCAACACCAGGATCTTCTTTCCCAGGCCAAGGAGGCAGCCAGGAAATCCCTTACGAACTTACATTTAAGTTCTTCATAAATTCTTTTACAGACTCCATAGAGTTGCAGGATCTGAGGTCCTCACAGTGGTGGTTTTGAACAGTCGTATTGTATGGGAGGAGCTGGGACAGTTCAGTCAGTATAGCGATGTAGTGACAAGATATTTTTCTCTACTCCACAGCAGCCAGACTGGCTCTGGGGACCACCCAGCCTCTTATCGAATGGGTACCTGGGAATTAAGCAGCGAGTGCATGAATCTGACCACTCACCTACATCCAGTGTTGAGGTCAAAAATTGTGGAGCTGTATCCCCACTCCTCCATATGCCTTCATGATAAGTGGATTCATTAATTAAGCACTGGGACAACCTTATCCTAACTTCTACCGGGATGTAACACTATACAGTCCACTGATTACACAGCACCATATCCGAGATGACAGAACACTTCTGTCTCCATATCAAACATAATGGCCCCAAAAACCCCTTTCAAGATCCTCTCATTAGAATGAACCCTGAGGTAGAAAGTTGGAACCTAAGTCCAGGGTGGGAGACAGATGCCTGCCTGCCTTCCATAGGAAGCAAAATTAATTCCTCAAAGTTACTTTATATTAAGTGTATCATGTTTAATGGAATTTTTATTATATTTAAGATGGAAATTGAGAATAATTTGAGAAAAATTACAATTTCCATTCTTATTTCAGGTTCTTCACTGCAAGATATATTAAACATGAGGTGCATTTTTCAGTTTACCTAATCCTTTCAGCTGCACTATGGCCTTGGGGTCAACTCAGCCTCTAACAGAAATGAGTACCAGGAATCTTCCTGGGGGTAAAGGCCAGCCGGTGCGTAAGCCTGACAACCTTACTGCCTACTGCCATCTGTGAGCCAACAGTCTAAAGAAAAATATGGGAGCCTTGATGTCTCACAATACGAGTACTATGCGTTTTCACAGCCTGCTAGAGGGATAGCTTTTTCTTTACCTCCAACAGAACTGTTGTGGAAATTATTCCGATTTTCAAAACCTTTATACAAAGCGAAGAATTTTAGCAGGACCCTTTGTTCCTTTATGGTGAAGAGAATTTATCTGCGTTATCATTTCAGATGACTTCCACTCCACTCTTAGCTCACAGAAGGCTACAGCTCAGCATTGCTCTTCACAAGGTTGATGCCATCGATCTTATGCAAGAGGTTCCCACAGTTATTTTCCCGATTTTATGGATAGATGAGGTATGTGCCTTTCCAACATTGCATGCCACTCTGTCAGTTCTGGTGGCTTCATAGCTCAAGTGTTCATTATGCAGAAATTAACTCCAGAAACCTATCACACTGCACTCTTTCATTATCCTGTCACTCTTTTCCAAAACAACGGCCTGGAGATTTTTCTACTTTGACAGGGTTTCATTGGTGTGGGGATGTCTATGACGTCAATACTACATTGATCAATGATGAGGTACAGTATCTCATGGCTAGACAGTAGACCAGCAAACCCCTACCAAATTCCATTCAATACATTAGAGCTGAATCTAACAAAACTGACCTAATCAGAAGCACATATTACTTACTTACTTACTTACTCACGGAGCTGAGCCCTTCTGGAGGAGCTGCCAATTCTGCAGCTACTCAAGAATTTCCCAGCACTTTATGGAACCCGAAGGTTCATTACTGTGTTCACAAGTGCCCTAAACTGGTCCCTATCCTTAGCCAGATCAATCCAATCAATACTATCCCATCCTATCTCTCTAAGATTCATTTTAATATTGTATGCCCACTTATGCCTTGGTCTTACCAGTGGTCTCTTTCCTTCTGGCTTTCCCACCAATTTCCTATATGCATTCCTCGTCTCCCCCATTCGTGCTACATGCCCTGCTCACCTCATCCTTCTTGACTTGATCATTCTAATTATACTTGGAGAAAAGTACAAGTTATTCAAAAGCACATATACCCCAATAAAAACAAAACCAAACTAACACTGCTTGAAGTGAACAATTCAGAATATTTCTTGTCTTCTTGGATGCAACACAGTACAGTCTGGTAGAGGTTCACCATTTGAGAACAATATGTTGCATCCATGTTCTTGTGTGGTAGAAGTTTGGCTGAAATGTCATTAAACATCTGCCAGACTACATTTGGGCCGCAATTTCGAGACTATAAATCAAAAAGCGTTGCCTAAACGTTACGAAAAGCATTTTACAGCAATCGAGCAAAGATGACAACACATGGACTAGGGATCTAGGTTAAGAATGTTGATGATCAGCATTTATGCGTAATCGCATAAGTAGGAAGCTCCGCTAACTGGGCCACTGGAGTATAATAATATTGTAACGTGTTTCCTTACTGAAGACACCGTAGAGATTAATTGGTTTATTCAACAACCTACAAGTAACGGCTACAATTAATTATTACACAGTTGCGGGGTTTCACACTTTGTAACCCTAATCGCAAATCAGTTCACTCTGCCTTCAGTAGTCTACCCGTTTACAGTAGGGGAGCTATGTATCACTGTATCACACACTCCTAATTATACAATGACACACACGTCCGGTTCTTCTTTCCGCGACGGCTGCTATATTCCAACTTGTAGTCGGCTGACTGGAGAACTGTTGATAACACACTCGCTCATAGGCTTGTTCGGAACTATCTTCGGCGATGGCCAGGTTACAACTCGACTCGGCGACTGTTGCTATATGTCAACTCGGCTCGGCGACTGTTACCTTATAACTCGGCGACTGCCCACATTCCGACTGACTGGTAGCTGCTGTGCAGTTCCCTTATATAGCCGCAGTGGTGCCTGTTGCCACGTCACAGTAGAAGCGGTGACGCGTCCGTGTTTGCATATATCCTAGCAACGCTGTTACCCCTTGGTGACGTCACCGCTGTTGACTCGCGTTGCACAGCGACCAGGTTGCGGGGACTAGGCTAACGTCAGCTCCGCTCGTGACGTCACCGCGGGGAGAGTGCGGGGTGATGACTCGCCTGTTACGCGAGCGCTACGTGCCGCTGGGGAGGTAGGGGTCAACATGTCACAATATTATTAAATACGCAGCAACGAGGAACTATGGACCCGCCCACCCCCACAGGGAATAGCCAATGAAAACCCTCCACCCCAAAATTTAGAACAAAGGGAGTAGTTAACCTCCCTCTTTCGCCAACTGCAGCGCCAGCAAAAGTAGTGTATAAAAATGGAAAGAAAACTGAATGGGGATCTGATCTAAAACATAACATTCAGTAGTCAGCCGGAGGCTCTATTTGATATGGGTCTTACAAGTGGAGGTGTCTTGCCTGTGTCTCTTATCTCAAGTAAGTCACGTTTACTCATATAAGCCATGCTGTTAAACTTTATGGTTGTTGGTAAAGTGCTGTTTGTTAAATGTGAAAGCAATGTCCAGTGTGCCTGGCGAGCCCTTAGGGTAGAATACGAAAAATAATGTAACGAGTGATGACTGAGGTGCTAGTGTAGTAAAGATGGTAGACGTTAGATAGTGTGTTATGATTACAGGTAGTGTGCAGAGCACGCACATTTGTGTTTATAGTTGTGACTCTTGATTTTGTGACAAATATATGTAGGCTTTCAGTATGTATAACTTTAGGGGCAGATGAAGTCATAGGTGAAGTGTTATGATAGAATAGTGGATAATTGCGAAATGAGTCAAAACAGTAGAGAGAACAAGACAGACAGACTCAAGTCCTACACCCCAGAAGGGGAGATCATGATGAAGCATAGCGCAGTGCAGTAAAGGCAATATGTAAATCCTGACTGAGAGTCAGCATTGTTAATATTGTAAATAGAATACAAATTAAAGTGTAAATAGATCAGGGACCTAGGGTGGGACAGAGATGGTGTGTCGAGTAATGGTAATGATACAGTGACAGTCTGAAGCCTGCTGCTCCAGGCGAGAAACTCGGAGTCAGAACTATCACGCCCCGAGACCAAGTGTAAACCGACAGACGTCGGCATTCTTTTATTGTAAATAGATCAGTGTACTTAGGGTAGGATGTACACAGGGATTTTCGATTTACTTCCCCGAACCAACCCGCCCACGACTGATCCAAAGCGATCCTGACCCAAGCGAAGGCAGAACTGACCCCGGGCAACGGCAGCCGAATGCAACAAGCAATAAGGGTTATGAGAATCCAAGTTAAGGGTGAGAGACCAATAGGAGACAGAGAGATAGCGTCCCGATAGGGAACAAGGGAAGAGACACTTTAGATAATTCATTAGCCCCTTCAAGCATAACAAAGCGATGGCAGAGGTGGGGATCGGCCAACGCAAAGTGGCTGACGTAGAGAGAGAGAGAGAGTAACTGTGTTTTACTCACCCCTTACATTGAAGCATCAACTTATGGCAACGGCAGTAGGCCGAGTCAACGAAGGGTTGACTGATGTAGCGAAGGGACTAGCCAAAGAGAACTGGCAGACAAAGTGATTTAGTGTGTTTAACCCACCCCCGTCACTAAGATATAATTGGTTACAGCAGTGAGATATCCAATCCACCCCTGTCGTAGAGGATAATATATGGTGTGACAGTCGATAGGTAGAGGCGGGTCAGACCCCACACGCCCGCTCTACGCCAATAATAAGAGGTGACAGTGAAGAAAGGGCCTGCCAAAAGAGAACGCTCGACCACCACGCTACGGGCCCTTAATACTTTCATCACCCCTTCTTAAGATGTAATAGATGGTGGCAGTTGTATGCAACGAAGGAAGTCCAGAACCAGGAGAATCCTAGCTCAGGGTAATCTAGGATTATTGTGTTAACCCCTTACAGCATGAGATGTGGCGGCAAGGAGGGATACCTCCACGCCCCCTGTCACCAGGGCATAATACTACACAGTGTCATATCGCAGAGAAGAGTATTATGTTTAAGAGTCAACTGTTCATTGCTCACAAGAGCCAGCCACTGCACCCTATCCTGAGCCAATTAATCTAGTCCACATCCTGACATCCCATAACAATGTTATTTTTATAAAAATATGTGCAACATCCTTAATCATATTATGATTTTTCTCCTGAACAGGGATTTGAGTTAAGTGAGAAGCTCCTGAGTAAGGTGCATGTTATCTATACGGCCATACTCACTATGAATGTGCTGAAGTGGATTATGATGGCACTGGGAGTGAGTCTCAGTGCTGGAAGTCTCTGGTTCAGGAAGAAGCAGACTGATGTGCAGTCCTCTGACTTCCCTGGGATAACGAGAAAAGTTCAGGATGTCACATCTCTAGAAGACCAATCAAGATACTGATACAATATTCATCACAGGCATGATACATTTTATAAACTTTTATTTACCACACTTTTGACTTTAAAAATTACTACAATTTCTGTGTAACTTACCTCCTAGAATTAATGTTTTGGACAAGAAACTTTTTTTCTATTTGGAACATCCAAGATGTGAAAGTGTATCAAAACTTGAACCTGTGTCCTTTTCCAGGATTTCATATTTTACACACCCTACAGCACAGTAAATAAACACCTAAATGTTTTGCATAGAACCAGTATGTGTGTTTAAAATATGTCACATTACAAATTGCATCTGTCAAGTTACAATGAGTTATTAAACCCTCTCATACATACACACAAATATGGGTTTATAAGTTTGAGGCAGTACAAAGACCTTATTTGGTTGATAAGGTCTTTGTATTCAGTTACACTATCCTTATTTATTCTTTCCAATTAAATTTGTTATTCTTTACTTTGATTTATGAATGGCTATATCTGGAGACTTTTGTGATAAACCTGTTGTCTGGTCAGGTAGAAACTTATCTTATGTGATTAGCCATGTGGCATACGCATATGATGAGAGTTAATGGGATACAGTAAAGTTGTCCCACCGCTTAACTAATTAAGGCACCGAGCATAAATTTGACTTATACAGCTTGTGTAAAAGTTACAGTCTATATCATAAAACATACACTATTAAAATTAATAGAAGTACACAGGTCTCTCATTGTTTTAAATTTTTAAAACACATCTGGATAGCTATGACATTACTTCTAACAACACACATTAAAATTCTTTAAGCCTAGCAAACACAGGATCTCAGATCTGACCATATTCTTTGGAATGACATGTATCAGGAGGACTAATCATTCTTTTACAGCATTCACTATATAAATTATAATATGGGAGGGGAAACATAAGGGAAGTTAGAATGAAAACACATTTGGGGATTGTTCTGGGCAAAGGAGTTGAAGCTGGTAAAAATAATCCATGTAAGTGTTGAGGCATGCATTTTACTGATGCACCAGCCAACAGATCTCTCCATTTACTCCTTGGGCTGCTGCTGGAACCACTGTGGAGTCCAAATATGGAAAAATACATAAACAGGTTTCATCTGAACCCTCATATACATACACAGAGGGAATATTTAGCAACTGTGCCAGGGCACATCCTGTCTTTTACACATAAAGTTTTGTGCCCTAATACACACCGTAGCCTCTCGGTGGTTCCTTTAATAAAAACCACAACAGAAACCCCAAAGAAGAAAAACAGTGAAATATTGTCAGGCTGATTGGTGATAACAAAAACATAATCAATCTCATAGGATTAGAGCGTTGGATTGACCAAGGTAATTGAAAGACAAACTCTACACTTCAATGATCATGTCTAGTATGATGATAAGGCTGTAAGTGACTTTTATTTATCACACTTTTTGTAACAGCTATACCAGTCAACTTGGCGTTGAGACAAAGATGGACAAAGGTGGTGTAACACTTGCAAAAAATGTCTGTGTTTCACCTGCTTCACTGCCATTCCTTCTTCTGTCAGTGCACAAAATGCAGCCTGCAGGAAAGAAACACATACCATATCAATATCAATACATATACCAAACAAGTGAGAAGTATCTGCCACATTTCATTAAGGAACTTTCACATAGTATTAAGGTCCATGATTTCATACTATATGTATATAAGGTCATGGCTCAGGATTGGGACCAGTGATGGGCCTTTCAGGTTCCATAACAGGTAACAAATATCTCGGGTAGCTAACCATCTATAAGTTTCTTATGAATGACTCTGCTCCACTGAATGAGGTCAGCTATTAAGACAGTGAATAGCATAAATTCATGAGTCAGGTCTGAGAAATATAAAAAAGTCCCTTAGTACTGGTAATAGTTCAGAATCTCAAGAAATCTGTTTAATATTTTCCCACATCTTATACATTCAATTAATATTGTGACGCGTTACCTTACATCCATCACCGCGACAACCGCTGCAACCAGAACAGACAATTCCATGACAATGAATACATGAAAATTGTGGAGTTCCCGCAGCAACAAATTGTCGTTGAGTAACAATGGATGAGATGAAACGGTGTAATCTATAGGGAGCGTTCCCGAAGCAACAGATTGTCGAACACGTGAGATCAAACCTTGTAGAGGGGTGTCCTCTACTGAGTCTGCAAGCGCCTTATATATAGGGCCTGGCCTCAAATGGAAATTGAGTATTGGAGTATTGAGAATGAGACAATCTTGGGATAGCCACTGCCAGAGACAGTTGAGATCCAACCACAGCCAAGGATAGTTGAGACGTCACATTGGAGTACTGGGTCAGAAGTCAAGTGATACTGCAAGCGATAATAATTGTAAGGTGTGTAAGAGTGAGTGTCCAATAAATGTTCGCCAAATCCAAAACCTATGTGAAGTTATTTGTTGTGTGACATACCCAACACGTGACAATACAATGAATGCAGAAAATGAAAAAGAACAAAAATGTTCTCACTAATACATTCATTTCCTGTGCTGCTGATGCTGCTACTACTACTGTTTTACTGTTTATAAATGCTGCTACTACTACTGTTTTACTGTTTATAAACTAATGTACTGATACTACTACTACTTCTACTACTAATAATTCAATTCAATNATTCAATTCATGTTTATTTACGTGCAATAACTTAACAGCCCAGCGGCCAATTACAAAGTTAGCACGAGTATATAAGGTACAAAATAATTAAAACAAAATACAAATACGACAAATAAATCTGTGAACATAGATCTAAAGAAGACTGAAATATATACATACATTTATGAAATATTACGAATGTTGCTAATACTGTTAGTAACTAAATACTAAGATAAGACACCAGTGAGTGATAGCATAAAATTAATAAAATTAATAACCAGTCAATAAATTAAAACCAATTACATAAGAATAATTAAAGCTAGCCGAGGTAACACATATTTGTAGTGAATGAAAACACTAATCAAGTAACACCGTAAAAGGTTTGGTACATGCTTGTAAAATATGATTCAGAGAAACCGCTCCGTCTGCAAATATGTCGAGATCTTTACCCACCACGTTGGTAGCAAGGGCGCACCTAGAAGAGGGACAGTGTCTTTTTGAGGGACGAACGCTAAAAGTAGAGAAGTCTCGAACATGGCAAGTAGGAACACGAAGACTAGCATTATCCAGAAGGGAGGAGCAGGATTTAAGGCCACGATAAACCTGAATGAAGAAGAGTGCATCAAGAAGAAATAATAATAATAATAATTCCTCTTTTCTACAGCATCCAGTCCAGGTCTGGGGCCAACTGAGCCTCCTCTGCAATTGGTACTGGGGGGCAAAGTATCAGGGGTATGAAGCTGATTGCTCACCTCCATCTAGTGCCAAGATTAAGAATGGCCATGATATATCTCCACCTCCCATACATTTTCACTGTGTTGTCCTTAATTAATTAAGTACAGGAATAACATTAACTATCATGAACACCAAGAAAAAAAATGAAGGACCTCAGTCATGATACCCAGCATTTGTGCTGAGATCTAAACGTGGTACTTGTTATTATTAATGCAACCCACATGGTCTATAAAATCCTAAATTGTTCATTTGTTAATTATTTAATAACACTGTATTAGATGTACAGATTATGAATAATAAGATTAGGTTAAGAGGGTGATTTTATAGAATGAAATGAGAAGAATGGAAGAAGACACAGTAATGGCCTAATTCAAGGCATTGTGACGTGGATGGCGCAATGCTCGTTAAACACCTCCCTTCCACGGTGATGTAATATCATCGGAGCAACTGCCACTGCTACAGTAGCAGACCAGTCAACACTCTGTCCCCCTCCCCCACATGACATAATAGTACTTCCCATTGTGACATAACAAGGGACACCGTGGTTAATACGCAGCAATAAACAATTCTCGGCAGCGTTCACCAGCAACGCCTGTAAACATGACATTACGCAACATGTAACTGTTTTCTGTGTTGTCAGTGCGGAAGCTACATAACGAGAATTACCTGGGTAACCAGTCAGTTTCAGTCTAACCTTTGCCGGAGTGAATGGAAGCAGGAGAAGTAAGTGTGATAATGCAGATGGCAGTGCTTGTGATATTGTGAATAGTGTAAATGTAAGAGTGAGTGGAATAAATTCGCTACATACAAGACGGTGTGAATTTACTTGTCGCGTGCATACCCAACACATGACAGTATTATCGCAGTCACTTAGAAACCCCAACATAAAAATACAGACAAACCTCATAAATAATAATGGTACTCAGGATGTGATCAGACTGTGCATTATCTGAATATATCATCATTCAGCTAACTACATACCTCTCTACAAAGGTTGCTCATATCAGCACCAGAGAAGAGGTTTGTCGTGAGAGCAAGAAACTGCAGATCAACACAGTCACCAAGTGGAATGTGTGCTGTGAGGACACGCAAGATCGCCAACCTAGCTGCATTATCAGGTGGCGGCACATACAGCAGCTTGTCAAAACGCCCAGGTCGTAGCAGGGCATTGTCTAGCATATCTGGGCGATTTGTTGCAGCTATTACTACTACACCCACGTTAATCTGTAATTGCACAAATAATAAATGACATGTTCAAAAAGCATTATATCCTTGACTTCCAAACTTTAAATCTGCTTCCTCCAGACTGTTGTGTTTGTGGGGAACAGCCCAGTTATAGTCTTATAAACATTCTTAACATCTTAAAATTACTGTCGTCTGGGACATGACATCATGCAGATTATTATAGACATTTTGGAGGAATATACTGCTGCCACTTTTAGACTTGTGTTACCTGAAGACGGTTAAGAAAAAAATGGTAAAGCTGTCCCTTTAACAGTCCATGAAGGCACACAGGGGTGTGAGAGGTCACGACTCCCACATCTTCTAGACAATAAGCACACAGATAGCGGTGAGGCTGTCAGCCTTATGCGCCAGCCACCCTTTACACCTAGGAATATTCCTGGTACTCATTTCTGTTAGAGGCTGAGTCGAACCCATGGCCATAGTGCGGTTGGAAGGATTAGGTAAATTGAAAAAATCCACCTCATCAGGATTTGATACCACAACCTTCCAGCTTGCAGCATAGGGCATCAACCATGCTATCACGTGCACCGAAGTGCATTAAAAAAAAAGTAAAGCTATCGCTGTATCAGACCATGAATGTCCATAGGGTTGTGAGACGTTGAGGGTCCCACATTATCTAGACAAGTGACTCAATGATGGCGGTAGGGTTGTCAGCCTTACACCCTGGTCGCGCTTTATTCCCCAGGAAAATTATTTAATTAATTCCCGAGACCCATTTCTGTTAGAGGCTGAGTCGACCCTAGAGCCATAGTGTGGCTGGAAGGATTAGGTCAAGTGAAAAAAATGCAATGACCTCATCGGAACTTGAACCCACAACCTTTTGGCTTGTAGCATAGCCCCTCATCCAACTACACTACCATGTCCCCCCCCCTGAAGTGTGTAATAAAAGCAACTAAAAACATAGACACAATAGAATGGTCACATCATTATATTAACATAAACTGCATCTGCCCCCCCCTCTCTCTCACACACACACAGCATAACATACACATTACACATATTTTTTGTTCCATGTGTTAGACAACCAGGGGATCATCGTTCAATTCCCAAGGACAAGAGATTTTACTCTTCTCCACAGCATCCAGAATGTGTTTTATAAAAGAAGTTGATATATTATTGAGCGTATGTCTGGATAAGAAACAGGGTCGAATGAGTAAAAAGCGAATGTGACCGCGTGTAATTATACAGCCGTGTTCGTACACCTGAGGGTGACCTCTTGAGGTCGAAACATGTAGTGATAATAAAAAACGTGTTGTGTAGTCGGTAAGTTGACTCTACTATTGATCCAGAATGGCTTTGTGAGTTGCTCAGACTCTTATTCAATGGGTACCGAGATCTGTTTCCTCATGGTGAAAACCACCATGACATGAAGCTGATCACTTTCACCTCCATCCAGTGCCAAAGTTAAGAGTGGATGAAGCATGTCTCCACTACACCAGATACCTTCATGGCATGGTGCTAATCAAGCATAAAGACAACTTCACATTTTTCCTTTACATGATGAACAACAACAGAACAAGACTGTATCAAGCCATTTATATAAGAAATCTATTAATAGTTCTTTACATCTGACTACCTGTGGAGGGCAAACAGACTTATTCCCTCTGTAAGTCTTATACATGGTAGACACAGAATCTTGCTGGACACCAATTCCATCCATCTCAGTGAGCAAAGCTGACAATACACGCTCCTGTACCCCTTGTTCCCTGTGCCCTCTGCTGCCAACTAAAGCATCTGTAAGGAAAAAAAGAACAAAAAAGCTACAAGCATGGATATTATTCTGTCGTCTGATTTTATTTAGTACATCTCTGGTTCGTAAGCCAAAGATTTTGGCCGCTCCATAGCTCAAGTGATTAGTCGCTGGCTTCCCACTGCAGCGGCCCGGGTTCGATCCTGAGTCAGGTTAAGTGGGATTTGTGGTGGACAAAGTGGCGCTGGGGTGGATTTTCTCCGAGAACTTTGGTTTCCCCTGCCAATCTTCATTCCACCAAATTCTCCATCATCATAATCACCCGGGGCAGGTACAATAGGCCAAGCAGTGGCAGCCATGCCGAGTGGACTAAGATGGACTCCATCCCCACTATCGAATATTTTTGTACATCTCTGCTCCACTTCAATCTCTGCTGGCAACACACAATTTCCACACATGTCTGCTGGACAAATATATGAATCTCAACACATACTAAATCATATCAGAGCAAATAATGGTGTTTGCCATAGCACAATGAAAGTTCCACTTGAAATGCCCTAGTACTGAATATTTTAACTAAGATTTTCTGCAATCATAATCACAAACATCTATTCATATTACTGCCAGTTGGGCCATCTCATGATGCAGCCTCTCCTCCAGGCTTCTTTACTCCCCATAGACAGCTCTCTTGTATCTGTGGCCATCCTTTTTGTATTCATTTCTCTGTCGTTCCTCACTTGGCCTCTACACTTAGTCATTGTTCTCTGCTTTGGCTGTTTATTCATAATCTTAATTTCTAACATTTTCAAAGGGGCCCTATTTCTGTCCAAGCAGAACACTTTTTCATACCACTGTGTCTTTAAGTTCATCATTCTTTTACTACCTTCAAATTTTGCTATGTTCCAGCTTTCGATTCTAACTTGTGGCAAAATACAGCAAAACTCAGTCTGACAAGCCTGTCAATATACGAGGGTGTCAGAAATTATCCGCACTTTCTCCATAACACATCTTTAGGTTTGTCACACTGCCTCCTATGCATGCACTGTTAGATTTGGTACTACTGTGGTCACGTGATCAAAGTTTTACCTTGATCGCATCATTTTCCTTGATGCTGTGGCAGTGTAAACATGGCCGCTCTGCTAGCAGTGTGCACCAATGATTAACAAAGAATAGTGATCTGATTTTTCTGGTTGGAAGGTGTGTCAAGGGCTGAAATTCATATATGGGTTCATCACTATGAGCCAGAACCCAAAAGCCAGAGTATGGCGTGGAAACACCCGGGATCTAAAACGAAGATGAAATTCAAAACTCAATCTTCCGCGGGAAAGGTGATGCTAACCGTTTTTTGGGACTCAAAAAGGCCTATACTGGAAGACTACCTGGAAAAAGGGTGTATGATCAACAGTGCACGATACAGTGATTTGCTGGCCAACAAACACCGAGACCTATTGTCGAAGAAAGTGTTGTTGCATGACAATGAACACTCACACAATGACGGCCAGACCGTTGAAACCATTAACCATCTGTGTTTCGAGGTGCTGGAACACCCTGCCTATAGTCCAGATCTCGCCTTTTCTGACTATCATCTCTTTGGACCACTCAAAGATGTTTTACGAGGTTTTTGATTTTCTACGGACAAAGAAGTGGGGGAATAGGTGCATAAATGGTTGTGCGACCAACCGAAAATCTTCTTCGTGGACGGAATACGCAAGGTTTTGGACCACTGGACCAAGTGCATCAAAAGGGAGGAGACTATGTAGAAAAATTAAGTACTTGTTCAACCCCTACATTTATATTGTAACGTGTTTGAGTTCGAATCCTGTCGGTCATGTGTGTAAGTCCAATCCCACTTCTGACACCAAATGTAACGTGTTTTGTTACTCAAGACACTGTAGAGATTGTTAATTGGATTATTCAACAACCTACAAGTAACGGCTACAATTAATTATGACAATGTTGCGGGTTTCACAATTTATAACCCTATTCGCAAATCAAATCACTCTACTGTCAGTAGTCTACACGTTTCACAGTATGGGAGCTATACAAGTGTCACTGTGTTACACACTCCCAATTAATTCTCAGTTATCACAAACTGTCACTGATTATCACACTTTTACTCATTCACTGCTGACTGGAGAACTGTCTTCGGGCGCTGATACACTTTAACTCGTTCACCGCTGACTGGAGAACTGTCTTCGGGGATGGCTACACATTAACTCTGTGGGCTGCTGGCTTGACAACTAACTTCGGAGGCGACTATGTTTTAACTTCACTCCATAGACAGTAATATAAGTAGAACAAGAATTTCAATCTTAAAATTAGATTTTAAAACACTGTGCACACGCACGGACTGCGCGTACCCATACGGTGTCGCATGGCCACTCAGTTATACTTTAAAGGTCTCCATATGGTGTCGCTAGGCTCTTAAAGGTTAACAATAACATTAGTTCCCATAAATAATGACAGAGATTTTACTGCATTTTTGCGACATGCAAAGAAACCACAACATACGTAATGCTCACATGAAGTTGTCAACGACATCTCCACCCTAAAATCTCTAAAAATTGGATTTACCTATTTCATCAATGAAGAGGATCGTTGGAGCTCCCAGTCTAGCTCGATGGAACAGTTCACCAATACTTTTCTCCGCATCTCCCACATATGGCGAGTAGAGATCAGCAGCAGAGACAGAAAGGAATGTGACATTCATTGCAGAGGCAAGTGCACAAGCCAAAGACGTTTTTGCACAACCTGGTGGTCCATACAGTAGAACACCTGAAAAAGTATTGGTGATCAAAACTGGACACACAGTCAATAACAGATATCTGCTACATATGTAGAAAGGCATGTTTAATATTTTCTTCTTTTATCCATTCCCTACAGGACCTATATAATGTTTCACTTTAAATAGAAATAAGGAGAGAAAACTGTTTCTGCTACTAACTGAAAATAAACCAGTTAGAGACCAAGAATTTTGATTTACATATGGGAGGTGTCCAACTAAAATTTCAGGTGGGTCGCTGACTAGGATGAATTGAGGCTTTTCATGGTCACCCTCAGTCCCTCCAGGCAAATGTCAGGACTGGACCTGCAATACAGTCATGACCATGTCCTTCCACATCCTTTCCAATTCATTATTCACTAATCATCTTACCACTAATGCACAATCTAAGCCATTAGTTCAGTCAGTGTAATAATGAGTTACAGGTTGGGGTTTAATTCCTGGAAGGGGCAACAGGCTTTTCTCTTCTCTACAGCACCCAAATTGGCTCTGGGGCTCACCCAGCCTCCTATCCAATGGGTACTGGAACTCTTTCCCTGGGGGTAAAACATCCAGGGTGTGAAGCTTACCTCCGACATCCATCTAGTGCTATGATCAAGAATGGTTATTAAATCATGATCCCAGCAACAAATTTCAGTTCACTCAAGATTCCTCCCAGCTTCAGCTGAGCCATGCTACATTCAGCCGGCTCATGCGTGTTGCATCCTGCCATTCCTTAACCACATCCCCACCGGCATTATGCTGACGTCTTTACTGTTATTTCTACCTATGTAGACCACGTGACCTTCCTTCCCTCTCCTGATGTCTCAGAAGGAAGCTTGTGTGCCTGTGCAGTCTGAAGCACTACTTAGTCGTGAGAGGTCGCTTACTGCCCACCAGAGGACTGGAACTAAAATTCTGTTTCAGACATTGTATTCCTAAAGTTTTGTTTGGGACTATGTCTGTCTGGCTGATAAGGGTAAGGCTGCCCAAGGTCGCAATGGAATATATTTTATTCCAGTGCAGTTGTGACTGTGTTCATTTTTTTTTGTATTATTATTATTATTATTATTATTATTATTATTATTATTATTATTATTGCTGAATTTTGGGGTAACCTGTTCGATGGCTTTAATGAAGCTGGTGCAAATGTGGCAGTTTAGTTTTCTATTTGTTACGACTGTCCATAACATGTGATTTAAGTGGGCAATCGCTACTTTGGGTTGTTGTGCCTTGCCCTTTTGGGGTTTTATGCCTTGCTTTTTTATTTCATGTATATTGTGTGTGAGTTTCCTTTTTGTTATGTTGGCTATTAGGTATTGTTATTGTTTGTTTTGAAAGCCTGCATATATGTTATCTCCTCCGTAAATGCTTGGATACCCCATGAACAGCCTGGGGAGCTTGTGAATACGACAACAGAGCCAGAGACGAGGGCTGCTCCTCCTGACTTCTATCTTATGAAGTGCTAGTAGGTAACAGTACGAGAGAGTACGAGTAGTGAGAGTGAGAAGGGGAGGGGCGGTTAACTGGTAGCAGAGTGTGGTTTCACTAAATACTCATACAAATTCCTCTGTCAATTTCAGTGTCTTCAGATTCTCAGTGACTTTCCTGATGGTATGTTCTAAAGTAAAGTTAAAAAGCTACAAGGAAAAGTGTGCCCTTGTTTGAGAACATTACTGCACATTCCAAAACTTTAACTGAGTCACTACAGATTTAAGATGGACCTTACATGAAATGTGTACCTTTAGGCTGTGGAAGTCCAAACTTTGCAAAAGTTTCTGGATATAGTAATGGCCATTCAACAGCAGCACACAGTGACTGCTTAATACTTTCCATGCCACCAATATCTGACAGTTTGGCATGCTGAGTCATAACCACACCTAAACCACCTCTCAATGAGGAAGGCCTTACTCTGGCCAATGAAGCCTGGAAGTCCAAGAGCCATTCTTCTGAACTGTGTGCACTGTTCTGTATCTATAAATGATAAGTGAATGTTAAGAATGGACAGGAAAGTAGAATACAAAGACTCACCATAAATTACAGGTACAAACAGGAGTGAAGAGTCATATGTACGCATAAACCCACCAATGCCCATACGCACAAACACACTCATATACAGATATCGATAAGAACGCTCTCATATGGCTTCAGAAACTTACCTTTACACTTCTGCCTATAAGACAGGAACACCCCCACCCCCCAAATGGTCCTTCATCCACATATAGAGGCATACAGATATACGAATTACTGATTCAATTCTGTGCATAATTTGCACTGTAATTCCTACATCCTGACAATCATCATCAAACATAACCTTCATGTTCCATGAGTTTGTTTGAATTGCATAACATCTGCCATCTTTGGTTTTTCTAATGCCCACCATATTTTAGTAGTATAATTCCAAAATCCGGTCCATACATGGCCTCCAGTGGCATGAAATTCATATCAAAGTTTGTAAAAATCCTTACTTATTTACTTATTGTTTAATTAATTATGCTGTCACTAGGTCAGCCTACATATAGCACTAAATAGGAAGATGATTAGTAAATAATAAATTCAAAAACATCTGGAACAAATCTTAGATTAATTTGTGGTACTACCTCAGCATCTAGCTGGAGAAACTCAGGAAAATCACAAAAAGAAAAACAAAATCTCTCAGAATAACTGGTCTGTGAGCTGAGACATCCATTTGAGCAAATGTTCTAAGGAAAGGGGCAGACATACACATATCTGCAATACTTTTGCATTTCATTAGAAAGTAAGGAAACTACATTAATATAGTAATACTAAATTAGAAGTACTTTCAACCATGGTAGGTTGAAAATGTTGTACATACCTTTCTTCTATACCTGCCGAGAAAAACATCTTGACATAGGAGTGACAGATCAGCTCCAACATAGCCTGGTGTGAGATGTGCTATCCTGTTACACAGCTGGGACTTTTCCTGAATTAAGAGTGGAGACAACAGCACTTCCAGTATCTGCTGCCTCTCATTTTCAGTAGGAACTCCAATGTGCACCTATCACATATATTTAACGGTGTTTGATATGGGAAAGGAAGAAACAGACAGCTATAAAGCTATAAATTAACTGCCCCACCACAGAACTATCTGCCAGAAATGACGGGACTGCTTCGGAGTGAATGTAGCTGCTCAGAGAAGCCCATGACTTCCTCACATTACCTTCAGATGACCAGATTCAAATCACATGAAAGTCTCTTGTTTCTTCTAAACATAGATATATCATATTTGACGTCATGTACTGAAACAAATGCTGTACTATACAATTAACAGCAGGCCATTATCTCTGGCTGTGACAGTTTTAATAAAAATAAGCCAAGCCAATCTAATGTGCTCATGGTAGGCTAAGGGCTATTCAGTATTTACACTTTCCAGCCTTTTCTGTAATTACTGTGGAATTTGTCAAAGGTAGTGCTGGTGCCCAACATAAATATGGAACCGTCAGTTAACACGAGGAGTTCATAAGACTAAATTTCATTGAGAACAGAACGACAATACTAAACCATAGCATGACAAATGTAGGAATAAACGTGAAGAAATTCTATATGAATCACATTCTGATATTCAAACCTTTTCCCTTTGACTTACTCAGGCTATTATTGTTTTAAAAAATAATTAATACCGAAGAATTTCCATCACTTATCACAACATCATTATCAGAACAATGGCAAAAACAAAAGCAACTTGAAAACTTTTGGTATGCACTGTATATACAAAATACCTCTGTCTCCAGTCGCCCTGGCCTGCGTATAGCTGGATCCAGTGCATTTGGTCTGTTGGTAGTAGCAATCACTACAAGTCCTCTTATTTGATCTGCACGATCCAAGAGTGTAAGAAGTTGTGCTGAAGCCCGTGCCTGGTGCGGAGTCAATCCCCCTACACCTCTCCTTGGACACAGGCTGTCCACCTCGTCCAACAACAAAACACAAACCCCTGTGAAGGAAGCAAAAGCAGTTATCTAACTGCTGAAAGCCTTCCTCTCCAATCAGAAATTCTGTACTGTGTTTCAACAATCAACCTGAAAAATCTGCTAAAGTAAAACATTTTAACTGTAATTACTTAATCTTTACCCTGAGCATTTCAAATGGATTTTCCAGCGAATGCTTCCACTAAAACAGAGATACCACTGAAGCTTTTGAAATTTTATCTACTTTCGCTGCACTTCTTATCAACATGAAACAATACTACTATCACACTTTATTATACAGTCATTATCAATGGTGTCCCAATAAATTAGTTACTATTATTTCAGTAAATTAGATAGGTATTTATGGATATCCTGTATTACAATATGAATTAAAGTACCAACATGCTGTACATTTCAAAATGTCCATCAGCACATGGTGATGTTATTCTGAGTGAATGGGCCTTGACAGTTTTCACTAAAATTTATCAATGACATTCAATTTTGACTAACAATGGATAACCTCAACTACCAGGATAGCGCAACTGGTACAGCGACTGGCTACAGGCTGGATGATTGAGGGGTTGAAGTTTGAGTCCCAGAGGGGTCAAGAATTTTCTCTTTTCCACATCATCCAGACCAGCTCTGGGGCCCAACCAGCCTCCTATCCCGGAGTTCTTTCCCTGGGGTAAAGCGGCCACAGCGTGAAGCTGACCACTTACCTCTAACTAGTACCGAGGTCAAGAAAATACGGATCTATACATCCACTCACCCATACGTCTTCGTGGCACAGTGCTTAATTAGTTAAGCACAGGGACAACTTTACCTTTGACTTTTTAGCTGTTTATGTAGCATCTACAGCCATCTTGAAACAGTTCTGCAGAATCTATGGATAATTCTGAATTCCCGCAGCTCCACAGCCTGACTCCTGGAAAATTATACTGTACGTGTTGCCACGCCAATGTACAAGGTGGTTCAAATATGACCGGGACTGATTTAAAAAAAAAAAACATAATTGCCAAACACTTACTTGTACATGTCAGTCTTCAACGTACTCCCCTCCTGAGTCAACATATTTTTTCCAACTTTCTGGAAGCATCCTGATGCCCAAAGAAAAAGACTTGTGGTTAGCGGCGTATCCACTCCCGAACAGTCTGGATGACGGCATCATTGTCCACAAATCGCATGCTTTGCAAGTCTGATTTGAGCCTTCCGAACAGGTAGAAATCACTTGGTGCCAAATCGGGACTGTATGGCGGATGTGTCAGAAGGTTCCATTTCAATTTCCGGAGGGTTTCCATTGTTGTTTTGGTCATATGGGGGTGTGCATTGTCTTGAAGGAAGGCTATCCGCTTTCCACCTCTCTTCCGCTTGGATTGGATCTTTTCCTTCATGTCTGTTGCCAGGAGGTCTGGGTAATAAGCTGCACTGACTGTTCTGGCATCTGTCAGAAAGTCTACATGGATAACCCCCTGCCAGTCCCAGAAGAACGTTGTCATCACTTTTCCTGCTGAACGGCTCCTCCGCGCTCTCTTGGGTTTGGAAGAACTGGTAGGCCGCCACTCGCATGATGATTGCTGAGACTCGGGAATGAAGTAGTGCACCCACGTTTCATTGGTGGTCACTACAGACTTCAAAAATGCATCACCTTCATCTTCAAACTGGTGTAGGAGACGACTGGCAACTTGCATGCGCACCATTTTGTTCACGTCCGTCAAAGTGCATGGTACCCACCGTGCATTCACCTTGCGATAGTCCAGGTGATATTTCACGATGTCTTTTACACTACCAACACTGATGGACAGCATTGCTCCAAGTTCCTTGATAGTGATGCGCCTATTCTCACGAATAAGTGTGTCTGCACAATCAATGTTTGGCTCGGTGACAGATGTTCGCGGCCGACGATCATGTGGTTCATTCTCCACGCGCGCTCTGCCCTCTCTGAAGCACTTACACCACTCAAACACATGGGTCCGTGAGAGAAACTCTTCCCCATACTGTTGTTGGAGTCTGTGGTGAATTTCAGTGGACTGGACGTTTACTCCAACGAGGAATTTGGTCACAATGCGTTGTTCCATGCTCTGTGGTACCTTCTGTACGCTCATCCCTCTAGCAACTCCCAGACAGCACTGAACAGGTTCTAACCCTAACAGGAGGGAGAGTGGAGGTTGTGGCTACAATCTCTCTAGGTCGCACAGCTGCTGCGCAGTGCGGCTTGTTTACAAAAAAATCAGTCTCGGTCATATTTGAACCACCTAGTATTACATTAACAGGAAATAGGACAATACAGAGGAGTCATTCTTGCACAAGTTAATCTGATTTTAGTCTGTAAGTTTCTCTGCACAAAATAATCATACAGGAAATCATTAGGAAGTAAGACTGATATCAGATCAGTGTTCTGTATAGGGAAATAACACACATGGTCGTTACCAATACAGTATGTCACTGGAGGACAACAGGGTGAGCAGACTTAAGGCATGAAATTAATAACCAGTGTTCACAAAGAACAAAGTGTTACAAGCTCCTGTTATGTGTTGCCATTAGGCAGATAATAAAAATGATTCAGTGACCATATGCTCTTGCCCATGCCTCTAACCTCCAAATAAAACTAGTCAAAATACACTTTTACTTCAGGCACATTTACCTTCCTGTGCCAAATCAGATGCTTCCTCAAATACATCTCGCAACCAGCCTTCAGTATCTCCAGGACGAGGGCAGTAAACTTCTGGGCCTTGAACACTCACCAGTACTGCTTCACAGTCTGCAGTCACATTACGAACTAAACTTGTCTTCCCACATCCTGATGGCCCCACCACAAGCACCTACTGAAATTTCAGGGTCTACCAATTTTACTGTTTTCCATCATGCCAGATAATCTATCTAAACATCCAATATGAATAAATGACATATTACACATCATATGCTCAAATTTAATGATTTTCATATTTTCAGAGAGCTGAACTGAAAAGTATGAGAGTGTAAAGAAACATGTATTCCAAAATATTTCAAAATACAAAGTTCTTTCATGTTCTCCTAATACTTGATTTGAGGTTTCCATGGGGGGACTATGAACAGTACTGCCTCCTGGGTTCCAACATTGTGCAGTTCAGGGACAGCACAGTGTTTCAGAAGAACATATCACCAACATCTTCAGGGTTGAAATATAAGCCAAACATGAAACAAGTAGGAGGAGGTGGTAAGTGGAGCTGGCTTCTCGCTTGCCTTACTTTTTGACTCTGAAGATGGTGATATGTTCCTCTGAAACATTGGGCTCTCCCCACCCTACATGGCAATACAGCCCAGGAGCCTGCATTCTGCTATTAATGTTCTGAAGCTGTAGCAGCTCAGTAAAATTATTGGCACTATACAGACTTCTATCTTGAGACTAAAGGTTCTCTCAAAGATGTGTATGAAGGGTACCATCTTCTGGGATGTGATGTTTTGACAGAACGTACTGCTTCCACCTTTAAGGTCAAAGAATGAGCAAAGCAAAGAAGCAGCACTGCTTGCTGTTTGGTCAGCTTAATTTTCAGCCCTGAAGATGGAGACAGTATGCTCTTCCAAAACATCAGCACATTTATTTTCTTTACCACTATGTCCAGAAATGGCTGGTGTAGCCAACAAATCTTGTGTGAAGTGTGGTATTTCTGCCTGTCTTTAATACAATGGACATTTAAATTTGCAATGGATTTGCATCTATTTCTGACATGACCATGATACCAATATAAAACAAGCCTAATAAACAACGACAGCACATTCTAGCTAAGACTTACTTACTCACTCACTCATGGAGTTGAGC